AGCCTGTGAGTGGTCTACCTGGGTTGTAGGGAGACTTCGGTCTGAGCTATTTTTTTGGACTTTCATATTCAAGTTGCCTATAAGTCTTACGAAGGCTGTCCTCAAGAAAGAAGAGCAAAGGAGTTCCATGCTACGATGCGTTGTCCGCACACAGGAACAGTGGAGGTTACCTGTCCGGTCTTTTTGGTGAGTAAGAGTGGTGACACCATGGGGAGAGTTTCTGTGAGGTGCATCGCCGGGGTTGGGACCCCCTCGGAGAGTTTGGAACCGGGAGAGCTTGTCTTCTACCTGGGTCGATTGAGAGTTAAAGTGGGCTACCGGGGAGAGTGGGTGTCTCTGTGGGCTGTAGGTCTGCTGTTTAATGTTTACTACTATTGCTACTACTTTATTGCTTTCTACTACTACTACTACTTCTACTCTTGCTTCTACTTTCTACTACTACTACTACTACTACTACTTCTGCTTGCTACTACTACTACTACTACTACTACTACTACTACTACTACTACTACTACTACTACTACTACTACTACTACTGCTACTACTACTACTACTACTACTCTACTTACTACTACTACTACTACTACTACTACTACTACTACTACTACTACTACTAGCTACTTGCTACTACTACTACCACTACTAATACTACTACTACTAGTACTACTTTAGTTTAGTTGGTATTTTTGGTGTTTCTCTGTAAAAAGTCAGGTTATTTTAATCGATCCATGGATTAAACTCCTGATTCACATATTGATATATAAAGACACTGTTTCCCAGTTTTTGCATGAGCTCCCCCTGCAGGTGGAGCTTTGTCAGTGCAGTTTGGATCAGACACAGAGATACAGAATATTTGGAGCTTTTGTCATGTCTCCGTTTTAGTATTTTAAAATATCTCAATTGCTTTCACTTGGTTTTGTTGCCCCATTAATCATTACATAGAAGCTACTGACTTGAATTTAGATTCAAGGGTCATTACGTTTGTTGTTTCTTCATCACAAACAGACCTGGAGTTATGTTTGTTTTTTTCTTTCACACGTTAAACACACACATCCTGGATATTTAGGCTGAGTTCTTCTCTCAAATTGAAAACACTCTGTTGATCATTTGGATCATTTCAGCTCTGGAATTCCTGTCATTGAAGTAAAATTAAAAGGTCCTAAGGTGGAACAGAGCATCTGGAGCTTTGGAGATGTAGACAGACTAATAATAAAGATTTACTCAAACATGTGAATGAAACAAAACACAACTCCAGAAATGTTTCTGAGGAGGTTGTATGGCTTAAAGCTCACCACAGGCAATTTTAAGTACTATAGAACCTTAAAAAAAATAAATAAAAAATCTGCTTAATTTTCATGTTTTTACAGAAACACAGGAGACGACACCCCCGACCTCTGCACAGATGAGATACAGTAAGAAAACCTCTTCTGCTTCAACACATTCAGAAAATAACATTCATAACACACTTTAAACATGTTCTCTTTGTATCAATTCAATTCAGTCTTTATTAGGAACACATAATATCTGGTTCATAGTATGTATATAAAAATAAGAAGAATAAAACTTTAATTATACAATGCATCTTGTAATGTATACAAAGACCAGTGTAGGGCTGGGTATCATTAAGAAGTTGTATCGAGATATATATCTCGATACAGTGCACTTTTGATTCAGTACAATATATTTCAAATTGATTTGATACAATTCAATAAAAAATAAAGTCTAAATCATGGCTGTGATACTAAAAGTCTTTGTTAAACCACTTCTTGTGCAAAGTTCATATGAAACACAAACATTTTAATCATTAAAACTGTGAAAATATGAAATGTGTCTCATAAACGAGTTTCCAACAAAACTGTAGCACTGTAACAAAATAATTTAGTAAAATAAACCAAAATATACTCTTGGCAATAGCACACGATATCGATACTGTATCATCACATTAAACGATACGATATATCAATATTTTGATATTTTTGCACAGCCCTACGCCAGTGTGTTCACAGTTTAGAGGGGAATCTGACAGAGCCCCTCAGGACACACTAGAGCTCGAATGATCTGATTATTTAGACCAGACCTGGGCGTTTTCCAGCTCTGGGGCCACATATGACCCTTTGGTTGATTCTGACCAGCCCGTTTAAGCTCATTTGGAATTATAAAATAAACCTATTTTATAATTTTACCTCATGCATGGACTAAAGCTGCAGTGCTTTTACTTTAGTTGTTTGTTTGTTTTTATCATATTTTTTGTTCAGCAGCTAAACATAAACTCTTCCCAGTCTGACCGGCTCATCTAAACAATGCTATTTACTACTTTTTTATAAAGAAATAGAATTCATATTATGCAGAACTAAGTTAAGCATTTTGGTCTCCACAATACTTTCTGTTTCTATAAAATGTAAAAATATAAAATGTAATGTGTAAAAATGTAAAAAACATGTAAAAAAGAATTGCCCACCCCTGGTTTAGATTCATGGCTCTACACCTAAATGAATAAGTACAGTGTCTAACTGACAGTGCAGGATCTCACACTGCAGTTTACAGACAATTCTCTGGCACTACAGAACCCCAGCACACAATAATATTCTCAAAAAGAATAATTTGTTATTTGATTGGAGCAATAATTTTAGCTGCTCTTAAAAAGCGGGGGTATTATGCAAAATTGACTTTCTGGAGCTTTGTAACCTTGTTATAATGTTTGCTTATCAAAAACATGCCTGTAGAGGTTTTAGATGTATCCATGTATGTTTGAGTAATCTAGTGATCTCTTCCAGGCCTTATTCACGACAATTTTCCATAAATACACAAAACTGTACACAGCCACTGGACAAAATTGGAGGGGTTGTGCAGTAGTTTCATTGGACTGAGAGCATAAAAACAAAAGTCAAACTCATAAAACATGTTTTTGGCAAATATAGCACTTTCAGAACAATAAAAGGGAACATCTGTTGATCTAAATATATTATGTTTTAGCAGTTATTACCCCATAGAAGTCAAATACAGCCCCATTAAAAATTGTTTTGTGTTTTTTTTTTAGTTCTTCTTCACAACGGGATCCCCTTCGTTGGTTTTGGATTTCTGGACAACGCCATCATGATCGCAGCTGTGCGTCTGTCACATTCCTAATAAATGCATAAAAATGATCATCTGTTTAAATATGACATGTTTAAGTCTGATGTGGTGTTTTTCAGGGCACGCAGATTGAATTGTCCATTGGAGTGACTCTGGGAATCTCCACTATGGCAGGTCTGTCTCATTAGAATAACATCAGCCACAGTGTTACAATCAATCAATCAAAAACTCTTTATATGTCCCTGAGGTGCAGTTTAAACACACAGTAGTAAAATAGAATAACAGAATAGATAGCGTCATCAAAGGACAAAAGTGTGTCCTGTGTGTCCTGCAGCATCACAGTGGCCTCCAGGGGGCGCCAGCTGAGCTCTGCACACACAGGAAAGCCTCTCCTCCATCTCTACGCGCTCTGGTGTTTGGGTTGCCGAGATTCAGTCTGGAACCTCCCTGACAGATTTGGTGTAGAAAGTCTGTTGCATTTCAGAGGAGTCGTCATGTGTTATTTATTTTTCACATCATGACTGAACAGCCTGTAAACAGTCTCATTACACTGGGCTTAACCGATATCATGGAACAGGAATCAGCTGGAAAATCCCCCTGAATTGTTCCTTTATGAAAGTTACTTAAGCTATATACATATAAATAAAAACAAAAAGTAATGACTCTTCAGGAATAGTCTGCTAGTGGAAACTCCTGTGTTCTCCATAAATGTGCCACAACTAGTTCAGGAATTGATCATATTTTAACATATTTAAGACCTTCCTAAAAGTGATTCTGATGATTTTCTGTAGCTTTTTAAGTTTCTTTTGTTGAGCTGTGTACAAATTATGTTCATGGCAGCAGACAAGGAAATAATCAGTATTTCTTCTTAAATCAACAGTTAGATGCTGTAGGACATGGGGAACAAGAAAAAATAAATAAAAATATGATTTCATTGTAAACTTCTGTGAGCAAATGAGGATTATATTGATATTACAGAGTGAAAAAATGTGTGCCGCTTCAGGAAGATCAGTAAAATGACATAAACAAGGCCCCACATTTGGTCTGGTACATTCACATTTCATTTTATTATCATATAGAAGCTGATTTTCTAACTCAGTATATCACAGTGTGTGATGTGGGCCACTAAAGGCTGGCGAGAACGTCCCCCCTCTCCCGGGCACAGCAGGTGCCTGTGTGCCGCTCAAGAGAAGGGCACACCCAGAGGGAGGAGGGGGACGCTCGAGCCGGGATTCCATGGAACGATTCCTGATCTAGTGATATTTGATAACAGTATTAACATACACGAATATTCACACAGACAGTCTGCCCCTCTTTTCTTTATCACTCGTGGAAAAACAAAAATGAAAACATGTCTCTAATGGTGCGTCCCTAAAGATCCTGTGGTCAGTTGATTACATCTTTTCCATCTTTGTTGTGTTTGTGCAGCTGCGGCTCTGGGGAACCTGGTGTCTGACCTGGCTGGACTCGGGTCAGTGTCTTGTAGAATGTTCTGTGAAAGTGCCTGTGACGGGGTCTGGTGATTCTTAAATTTGTGTTTAATTTGGTGGAATGAAACCTGTTGTAAATCTAAATGATAGTTTTACACAAATCAAGAATTCATTTGTGAAGAACAGTTGAAAGAAAAGTTGGAAGTAGCGAGTTCTATTTTAGACAGTGGAAAAATCAAAAGGTTTAACAAAATTGACCCAAGATATACATTTTTTCCCAGTAACAATGTTTTGACAAAATATATGCTTTTTTTTTTTTTTACATTTTACATTTTTACATTTTACATTTTTAATCATTTCTGTGAGAGGAGAGACATCAGAGGACAACATGGAGGAAAGAATTATGGAATTTCCTAGTGTGATCTCATGATTTCCAATCAAAAAGTAACATTTTAAACCTAAGAAATTGCCAAATAAATAAAATGAATAGTCCAGCCTGTCATAGGTACTTTAAGTTTGTGCTTTATTTGAACACTTGAATAATATTCTGTGTGTGTGTGTGTGTGTGTGTGTGTGTGTCAGTCTGGCCGGGTACGTCGAGGCGCTGGCTTCCAGATTGGGGATGCAGGGTCCAGAGCTGACCCCCAAACAGGCGGACATGTGGCAGACGCGACTCAGCGCTCACCTGGTAAGAGTTTACCTTCACACAGGGGAGAATACGTCACCATGGAAACGGGGTACTGACCTCTCCTTCTGTCAGTATAAACGTCGTATACTGACAGAGAAGAGGTTTCTGAGAATTTGTGCCAGTTTTCGTTTCATGTACGAGTCCATCCACATATTATTAGCTTGCCTCAAATGTTCCGCAGTATGGCGTTAAACCTGTCTTTCTCCATGGAGACGAGCAGGTCAGAACTGTGGAGAGGCGACCCCACTCACCGTAAGAAAGCATCTGTTTCTATTCACAAACCTGTAATGAAACAGATGCAAAATGAATAAGTTGAAAGCCATACTGTGGAACATTCCTGGCAGAGTAATAATATCTCCATGGAGACAAGCAGGTGACTCACTACCAGAAAAGTTCCATAGAGCAGCTTTACTCCTTCCTCCATAGAAACCGTGTGGTGTGTTTCAGGGCAAAGCCATTGGCATTTGCATCGGCTGCCTTCTGGGAATGTTCCCTCTGCTCTTCATCAGTGAAGACGAGGAAGACGACAAGAAGTCTCACTCCTCCGACAACAACGGAACCCAATGAGCTGTCAACCAATCACAGGGCACCGTTCAAGAAGTCTCACTCGAACGAGCCAATCACAGGGCACCGTTCAACACTACAGCTGCTGCTATTGGTCAACACCCTCAAGCCTTTCAACCAATCAGAGCACAAGATCCAAGACACTATTGGCCAGCACTCCATTTGAACCAATCAGGACGCAGAATCAGACTTTATTGTCTTGTGGGTCAAAACGACCAATCAGAAAACAAGATCCAGCACTACAGTTCACATGGAGCCAACCTCTTGGTGCATTTCAGATTCAGGAGGTAAAATTTGTCTCATCTAAAAAATCTAAACATCAAGAGTCTGAAGGCGTGAAAGTTAAACATCTGTGAGGTTACCCATAGCAACAAAAAAAGGCCGAGTTACAGTAATATTTCAGATTTTTATTTATTAAAAATTTACAACAAAACATTAGTGAACCCCTGTATGAGCTGAAAGTGAGATTGTCTGACACTTAAAGAGAGGGGATTGAGCAAAACCATTTTTTTTAGATTATAAGATTCCCTCATCAAAAACATGTCTGAAGAGGTTTTAGGTGTCATCTGTTTGAGTAATCTAGTGATCTCTCCTCAAACACTCCTTACTGTTAGCAGAACAATCCTGTACAAGGCTCCGCCCACAAGTCTACATCACCCATGCTCCCACACGACTGTTCTCCATAAATACACAGATTCATTAGCAGGATGCATGTTGATTGTGTTGTGATAGTGATGTGAAGGGGGAGCAACTTAGCACGGAGAGACAGAGGAAGGAGAGACTTGACTTTTGTTTAAGCCAAAATTAAATAATAATACTTTGTTTTGAGAGAATATAGCATTTTCGAAAAAATAAAAGGTAACATGGTGATCTAATATGTTCATGTTACAGTTAAGAGCCCAGAGAAGTCCAATACTCCCTCTTTAAGTTTAAATGAATCACTCAAAATCCAGCTCTGAGTCACTGACAAGGGACAACTTTTTATAAGTCAGTTTAAAATATTGTGTTTTTTTTCTATGGGAAAAAAAGTTATGGAAATTTGACTTGAATCAGAAAAATATGCTCACTGCTGCACTTCATTGGTCAACGCTGAATCCTTTGTCCAACCACCACATGGGAGACGGGCAGACAAATTTTCAGCCAATCACAAAGACTGTTCCTCTTCTTATTGGTCAAATAGAAGTATTGAAGTACTGGGTGTGTTTAAGATGTGCAAAACGGTCAAGGCGACAAAAAGCAACTGCAGCAGCCTTCACCTGCTTTCATGAACTACAAACCCTAAAGGCATGATGGGAAATGCACATGTGCCTAACAGCTGAATGGATCTGATAAAAATGTGACGCAAACCCCGTTCTTACGTTCTTCTACTTTTATACAACACAGATGCTTCAAATGAGACTGAAGAGCTGCAGGTGCCTGAGCGTGTGAACTTCTTCGTGAGCTCTGTGTTCTTTGCTCTGGGGATGTGCGCTCCGTCCGTCCTTGTGGGGGAAACAGGAGTATGGTGGCTGGAGGAGGATGGAGTTCTATCCTGATCTGTCCTGTCAGCAGGACTCTGTGTGAGCTGAGGCACTGGCTGTTCTCGCGCTCGTGGACTGTCTGAACCATAGACTGTATAAAGAGAATATACAGTTATATACACAGTCATATACACAGTCCTATGTGCAGTCATGCACAGTTATATGCAGCCATATACAGTTTTATATAAACTTTTATGTACACAGCCATATACAGTCAAACATTCATATACACAGTTTTATACACAGTTATATACTGCCATATACAAAGTCATATATATACTCATACACCCTCATACACAGCCATACACAGCTATATACAGTCATATACACAGTTTTATACACAGACATATATATACTCATACACCTATACGGTCATATTTACACACTCATATACGATCTATGGCAGGGGTGTCCAAACTTTTTTCATCAAGGGCCACATATCTAAACACAGATGAAACAGAGGTCTGATCGAGGGCCACAGACTGATGCTCAGTACAGTGAATAATTGAAATATGTGCATGTTTAAACATCCTTAAAACCACACACTAAATATGAAATATTAGCTTCATCAAGGCAGATTTTCAAAAAATTTGCAGTGAAAATATTTTTTTAATTGATGCAAGGTAATTTGGGCCAATTCTCCTGGAAGTCTGAGGGCCAAGAAAAACTTGTCTGAGGGCTGCATTTGGCCCCCGGGCCAAAGTTTGGACATGCCTGATCTATGGTTTTTATAAAGAGTATACACAGTCATATATACAGTCATATACACAGTTATATACAAAGTCATATACAGCCTATGGTTCAAGGCGATTAGAGTCTTTTCCTCCTCCTCTTGTTGTTGATCCCGGTGAGGATGTGGCCGTCTTAAACACACCTATTGTCTTGTTTCTCAGCAGCGTCTACCTCACGTCAAAGTTTTACACATTTTAAAGAAATGCACAAAAACACAAAGCTGTTGTTTACCACGGACACATCAACCAAAGAGAGACACCCTGCTGGAGTCTGTCTGAAAACTAAAGACATGGTCTGGACAATGTGGGACTAAACTGGATTCAACTGGACTCAACTGGACAGAGGTGATAAGAGAGAATTATATATGTAGTACAATTTTTTTAGATCAAAATTTTGGAGACGTGAAGGAGCCCAAACCAAAAAGTCGATCTCTCTGAAGAGCACAATAACTGAAGACAAAGTGCATTTGACAGATTCATGTTTGTCTAATTCTGACTTGGTTTGGTGGACAGTACCTGTGCCTGATATGGATCATAATTTTACATCAGTTAAGTCAGTTTGTGGGAAAAAGTTGAGAACAAAAGTACAAAAATACAGGAAGTAGGTCTGAGTGGTAAAACAGAATCCCTCTGCCTATGTCACCAACACAGAAAACTTCATCCAAAATAGAGTTTATGCACAAGGAAGGACTTTCTCTGACAGTTTAAACCTTCATTTAACTAAATAAAGGTGATGTCATTTATTTCCATAAGTCTAATCATAACTATTGTGTAATTTAGACCCATTTTGGCCTTTGTTTATATTATGCTTGCTATAGAATTGTTATAGAATTACCTCGACGTATGTCACATGTGCTGCTGTGTCCAACCATCCAACCTTCACCGAAATGTCAATAGAACAAACCAGGCAAAGTTTTTTGTAATGATGTTTTTGATTTTGTAATAATGATGTTAACTTTGTTTTAGAGAAATGTATTTAACCTTTCATATGCACAATATGTAAGATTTAGATTTTAAATGTCATAAACCTGACCTCTCTTGTCCTCAGATATGTTCAAATCAAATTGTAATCCTGACTTATTCTTAATGAGAAAAGCACAGGACACGATGTCATTTATTTATGTTTTAATTGTGTGTTTTAGTCTGAAAAAAACAATTGAGTCAGAATGAGCCTCACATGACTCTCTCATTTGGGTTGCCAAGTTCAATGCTGAAATCCAGTGTGTTTAAACCTAAAATGCTTCTCTCTGATCTGATGGCCGTTCCCTAAACCCGAGCACTTGCACCAGCCTGAGTCAGTGCTAGTGCAGCCTCTGCAGCTCAGGGAGGGAATTCTGGAGGTTGTGAGCTTCACATGAGACCTCAACATAATCTGAGAATGAGACAAACTTGGATGTGTCTCTATCTGCAGGTGAAGACTCTGGAGACACAGGCTCCGATGTGATTGTAGTAACTTTTAAACAGTAAGAGGAGGACACAGCTCCTTTAATCATAAATATCTTTTCAGACAGATTTTTACACACAGAACCTACAGAAAGACATATCTTTGAGCCAAAGTTCAGGGTGTGGCTGCTGCTTATCTGCTGCTCCACTCCGCTTTAGACTGACTACACTGCTCTAACCAAAAGTGGAAATGAGCTGAACCAGCACAAACCTGCACACATTAAATATAATCATGTGATCTCTCAGCTTTACACTCCTGCACATTTCATCAGAACTGATCCGGAGCAGTTCATCACATTTGGATTGAGAAGGACACTCAGTCCTGTCCAATGGTCAGTGTGACTTTACAGCCAATCCTTCATCAGGAAAGACTGGTTTGGAGCAGACGCACGATGAAGGAGGAAGAAACTCAACTATTTTTGTTGAAGTGCCTTTCCTCAGAGCCTCTGCTTTGGCACAATCAATCATAGTTTCGACACCCTCCTAAAGTACCCTATAGCTACACCAACAAGACAAACCCTTATGTTTTTTTTTTGTGTGTTCAGACTCTTGAGAATCTTGTTCGGCTCTGGCTGAAGTATTAACATGTGACTGGTCCAAGACTGACCAATCATGTTGCAGCACTGTGCTTTGTGCAGAAGTCAGCATTGAATAAACCAAAATAAACCTGGAGATGCAGACAGATGTACTTTGACCTATTTGCAAAGAAATATGGACTGTTTAGTTTGTGAGAAACCTGTGGAGGGAAAGATGTCTGTGCTTTTCTGAAACTGAATTTAATTAAAGTTAGACTTTTTCATCTTGCTCTACTGTTGTGACCAATCAGAGTCAAGTATTTGTATGAACGCTGTGGTCGTTGGTTCTGATCTTTCAGTGAGAGCGTCCCAGACTGATGAGGACTCTGTTCAGAGGGACACACTGAGTCTGAGAGTCTGGATCTGAATAATGGTGCATGTTTTTTTTTCTCACAATTTTCAGGAAACAAAAAACTGAACCAATTGAAACCTGTACAACATGTGATCATACGAATAGAAGAGAAGTGATACACAACACTTCAGTCAGCTGTGCAACTCAAAACCCAGCCTTTGTATCTGAGGCCTCACTTTCTCTGACGTGTGGTGCTTATCTCAGAGGGAGTCCATTTAGAAGTGTTTTCTGGACACAGAGCAGTGGGCTCATCTGTATCCAATGTGGCTGCCCTCACAGAGCTCTGATACATGCAAAAACAAAACAAAAAAAAACACAGAATGTTATTTTAGTCCATTTTGAAGGTTTCATAACATGTGCAGCTTGTATTTTTTGTGTGTTTTTAGAATGAAGTAAACAGTATTGATTTATTTTGTCTCAGTCCCCCGAGTGGACTCTCTGCTACCCCCATGTGGACTGTCATGGAAATGAAAGTTTATGTTTGAAATGTTTGTGTAAGATTTATAGCAGTAAAATGGGTCTGTGCAGTTGACTCTGAAATGTGTGATTGGTAAAAAAAAGTTACATTAAAATTGTGGAAATAATTGTGCAGCCTTGTTCCTTTCTTCTCTCTCTCTCCCACTCTCTCTCAGTCTCAGTGTCCTCTCTCTTTTTTGTCTCTCCCTCCCTTTGTCTTTCGCTCTCCCTCTCTTCTTCCCTTCCCTCTCTCCCCTTTCTCTCTTTCCTTATGTTCATTTGCTTTTGGACTTCATCTCAGACACACTGCACTATAGGCTTTACAATCAAAGGATAAGATCCTGCTTTAGTCCCGTTTTAGTCCACATTTAGTCCTGGTTTAGTTCTGGTTTAGTCCTGCATTAGTCCTGGTTTAGGTCTTGGAGATGGACAGAGTTCTGGACCGAGTCTTGGATCGTCTGGATGCAACATTGTTCCTGCAGATCTGGCAGCACTTTGATGTTCATGGTAAGACCATGTTTACTATTCAAAAATACTTGGTGCATTTTTAATGTCTTTATTTTTTGACTCTTGTTTTCTTTGTTGGTGGAAAACTGCAGTTTTGGTGGTTTCAGTTTAAAGTTTCTGTACTACACAAATCTGACTCTTACGAACTTTAAGCCATGTGATAACAATGTTCCCTCTTCAAAAACACATCTGGAGTTATGTTTTGTTTCATTCACATGTTTGAGTAACTCTGTTTACATCTCCAAAGCTCCAAATGCTCTGTTCCACCTTGTGATGTCATGAAGTGGTAGTTTTCACATTAAAAGCTCCTTTTATTTTTAGTTCATTAGAGGTTTTTAATAGGGCAGAAATCTGCCAAATGATTCTGGTGAAGATGTGTGGAGTTTAAAACACAGTGGAGCACTTCCTGTATTACCACATGACATCACAAGGTGGAACAAAGTTTTCTGTTTGAGAGAGAACTCAGCCTAAATGTGCAGAGATTGTGAGTTAAACGTGTAAATGAAACTAAACACAACTCCAGGTGTGTTTGTGACGAGGAAACAACATTTGAACAGAGATCAGAAAATAGCACCACATGGGTCCACCTTTAAAAAGCTCTTAGGACCATTTTTAGATTAAATGTTTAAGTTTTAAAAAAAAGTTCTTATCTTATTTCCAGACCAGGGCCACTTGGAGAGACAGGATCTGGAGGAGTTCTTCCGTCACATGCTGCAGAAACTGGGACTGAAGGTGAGAAAAGTGTTTGATGTGCACAGTCGATGCTTAAAGGGCCCGTCTTACAATGTTTTCTGTTGTATGTTCTAATGTCGTTTCTTCATCACAAACACTCCTGGTGTTGTGTTTTAATTCATTCACACATGTTTAACACACAAACACTCAGGCTCACTTCTTCTCTCTCTTTGTGCTTTGATTACTGGTGGGAGTAAGGAGGTGACGGAGGAGGGGGGAGGCGACGGGGGGAGTGAGGAGGTTGGTGTGGGCTGATCTGAGGCAGTGGGTGGGACAGTGCTGATGGAGGAGGTCGGGGAGAGGGACCAGGTTATGGAGGGACTTGTAGGTGATGAGGAGGACCTTAATCCGTTCATTCGTTCATTCATTTTTCAATATAAAACCAAAAATAAGAAAACGAAAAAGCAACTGTTTTCTTCATTATTTGTCTCCAAAACCAAAATGAAAAAAACAAATAATGATTCGTTTTTTCAGTTTTAGATTTTGTGTTTAAATGAAGAATGGAAAAAACGGATAACGACCATTTCCCGTTTACGTGACTTCCGTAACTGCGATGCCGAACTTTTGCACAGCATACGGACTGAACCAGGACTGATCCAGGTCCGGGACCAGAGCGGGACCAAAGCGGGACCAGGGCGGACTCCAAGCTTTGACTCAGAGTCTCCGCGGGGTCCGAGCCTCAGCTTCGAGCTCTGGCTCTGCCGTGGGCTCGGAGCCTCCGGTCTGGTCTCGGTCTCAGTCCTTCTCTGGTCCCGGCCTGGTCCCGGCCTGGTCCCGGCCTGGTCCCGGCCTGGTCCCGGTCTCAGTTCCAGTCTCAGTCCCGGTCTGGTCCCAGTCTGGTCCTGGACTGGTCCCGGTCTAGTCTTGGACCTGGATCAGTCCTGGTTCAGTCCGTCTGCGGTGCAAAAGTCCGGCATCACAGTCACGGAAGTCACGTAAACGGGAAACGGCCGTATATTGAAAAACGAATGAACGAATGCTACACGGATTGACCTTGTATCGGATGCGGGGATCCTGTGGAGATGTTTGAGGACAGAGGACAGAGGTGATGCGGTGTGTGGAGAGGGGTGTGGGTGAGGAGGCGGGGAGCAGGGTTCTGGATGTATTTCAGGTTTTGCAGGTGGGTGGAGGGGAGCGCGTACAGAAGTCTGCTGCAGTAGTCGAGTCTGGAGGTGGTGAAGGCAAGAATGAGGATTTCTGCAGCGGGCCGAGGGAGGGAGGGGCGGAGACGGGTGTTTTGGGGATGTGGCTGATGCGGGCTCTGAATGAGAGGGGGGGTGTTCGTGATGATGCCATGAATACAGAGAGTACAGAGGGGAAGGAGCTAACTATGTGGCCATCAGTGAAGACGGAGATGTTCACAGGAGTTCTGTTTTATTGTTGTTAGTTTGTGATCTGTGGTGGAGAAAATAACTGGGTTGACGGATTTGACGAAGATGTAGACCTGAGTATCACTGGCGTAACAGCGGAAGTGGACTCCATGGTGACGGATGAAATGGCCGAGGGAAAGCATGTAGATGATGAAGAGGAGGGGGCCGAGCACCGAACCCTGGGGAACATCAGTAGTGACAGGAGAGGTGTGCGATTTGGAGTTTGACTTATTTGACTTAGATCAACTTTATTGACAAAGGGAATTATCTGGACAATATTTGGAAGTTATTTGGACATTATTTGGACATGATTCAGAGTTATTTATGGAGACGAAGTGGTGACGGTCAGAGAAGTAGGAGGAGAACCAGGAGAGTGCAGGTCCGGAGATACCAATGGACTGTAGATGGTGGTGGAGGATGGTGTGGTCAATGGTGTCAAAGACCAGACTGAAATGCTTCAAATAGCTGGAAATTGAGAAGATATTGTTGAAGTTGGGTAATGACGGCACGTTCTATTATTTTTCAGAGGAGAGGGAGATTGAAAATGTGTCTGCAGTTGTCCAGGTTGTCTGGGTCCAGGCCGGGTTTTTTAAGAAGGGGTGTAACTGTGGCTGTTTTGATTGGGCGTGGTAATTCCGGTGGTTTTGGGAGCGGGGTCGTAGGTGGAGGTGGAGAGTAGGCTTGAGAATGAACAGTGACACCAGTTTTGCAAAAGAGTCGCTCGAGTTCTCTGAGCTTTCGCTCATTGATTCTACAGAAATGTTTTTCAGACCCTGTGATATTTTTGTCTTTTCTTTTTTCCTCATAAGCAGGCATTTTTGTTTTGGTACAGATGCATGTTCCTGATTGGCTAATCCACCTGTCAGTCACACCCATCTGAACTCACACACTCACACAAAGTATAGAAGTGTGTGCTCTGGAGCTCAGGAGAACGATTGTAGGTTCCACTGCAAACAGGGTTCCTACAGGTTTCTTCAAGTTTATTTCAAGTCTTTTTAAGCCCTTTTTAAGACCGTTTATTTAAAAACGTACTACCTATTTCACAGCCTATTTCATAGTGCTACTCATTTATTTCTCAAATAAAGAATCTGGAGACTAAAGACACTCAGAACTCCAGCATGACATGTGTCGCTCGGTAACATAAAACCAACGATAAAAAACAAACATAACAATAATAACAGCGTTAGTAAAGCTTTGTGTTCTGCTGAGATTTTCTTTGATTTTACGCTCTTCTGCTTCGCTTGTTTCTTGTGAAGCTGTAGTTTGTGATCTCCAGTGACGTGTTTGGAGGATTCTGACTAGGGGCTGCGTTGCGTCCTCAATTATTGGTTCCGCTGCTCTATATTTAGGCGACATTATTTAACCAAATAATGGCGGAGTTTTTTTAAGGTATTATTTCCAAATTCATAAATTCAATGCTTTAAAGACTTTTTAAGACACCGGAGGAACCCTGTGCAAAAGAAATCGACAGAATAACATTTCCTTTCCATTAATTCAAGATTCACAAAATAAATAGACTTTTCCACTGGGCTCTCTGGAAGTAAACCCTGGCACAAATCATTCAACTCTTGGCCTCGGTTCCAGCTCAGGTCTGGTCTTTTGTTTCAGAGGGAGGAGGTGACGGAGCAGAGGGTGGAGATCCTCAGGGAGAAGGTGCTGTCTGCGTTTGACCCAAAAGATGATCAGCTGCAGATCCAGGAGGTAAGGAGAGTTACAGAGGTTTGGCTTTAAACAGGGTGGACAGGCGTCCCTATTTTCCCAAGACAGTCCCAGTTTTGAGCCTGTGTCCCCTGTCCCAGCAGATTTACAAAACCAGTGATTTGTCTCAGTTTTATACAAGAAATGTCCCAGGTGTGCCTATTTTGACTAATCTGATCTAAACTATAACTAAACCAAGAAAACATCAGGTCTAAACCAGGACTAAAACTGGACTATCACAATTTTTGATAGTAATCTGATCTTCAGAGCTCTGTCCCCTGGCTTCTCTCCCACACAACTGAGGAGAGAGAAGTCAGGGACCATTATATACTCTGTCTGATGAAGTGTGATTGGATAATTGGTAAAATGGACGGTGTAATGGGCGGTAACATGGGTGGTGACAAGTCATGTGGCGTAGGGGAAACCTGGGTTGGATCTGGATGACCGGATTGAATTTTACCCTGGTTACACTCACCAACAGTAAAGATGAGAATAAATTATCATTTGTTTTGCCAAAATATACAAAACCGTGTTTCCAAATGACAAGAAAGCAAAAAAATGCAGTGACAGAAGCCCATTCGATCATGACTGACATGAGAATCCACAATGTTACTCGCTTTTTTCACTATTTTATTTATAGCAACCATCCCAACCCAAGTGTGTCCCAGTTTAGAATTTTGAAAATCTGGTCACCCTGGATTTAAGCCATAGACTATACATTTCTCTGGACACAACTAACCCACTACTGCCAAGTTCTAAACAGGAAGTGAGCATGGACGCACTTCCGCCTCCATTGACTCACTTTCTATTGAAAAAGCGTGGCTGCTGTCAGGCTCCCCATTAAATCAAGATCTGAACATTAATAACAGACTAGTCAGGCGTCTTCTTTCCCTGTAGTCGTTCCTGCTGGCCTTAGCAACAGATTTAATTGACAGTGTTACTAAGCGGCCGCCCCCTGCTAAACGGGCGGTGAGAGCGGGAGGGGCGTTACCTAAACAGCCTCGCTCCTGATTGGCTCTAATCTACTGTTTCATACAGTCTGTGGTTTAAACATGAATTTGAGGGAGACTCCACTGCTCCAGGCCTGGACTTTGACTGACAGGTGTATTTGACTGACAGGTGTAATGACTCTGTGTCACAGGTGGCGGCGCTGTTGCTTCCTGAGGATGAGAACTTTCTGCTTCTGTTCAGACGAGAGACGCCTCTGAACAACAGCGTGGAGTTTATGAGGGTCAGACTCTTTAATACTTTTAAAACACTTAAAGTACTTTGAAATATATGACATTACAGAGGAGGTGTTACGCAAAATGTACTTTTCTCCATAAATATACAAAAACATGATACAAAACTGCAGCAACTGGACAAACCTGATGTGATGTGCAGGAGTTTCATCAGTAGGATGCACACTGACAGTTTTGTATAGTGCTCTGAAGGGGGAGCATGGATAGAGTGTCCAGATGTCCCTTTTCCCCTGGGACAGTTCCAGTTTTGAGCCTGTGTCCCCTGTCCCAGCAGTTTTATCCAAAACCAGTGATTTGTCCCAGCTTTATACAAGAAATGTCCCAGGTGTCCCTATTTTTGACCAGATGTTGAGGTAAAATACAGAAAAGCTGCTTTGTTAGTCAGGAATGGGTCAAGTGCAGAACAATTTTCATTAAAGGTTGTATAGAGGATTTTTTTAAGGGAAGAGAAATACAGCGACAGTCCTTGTGCGCATTCAGAATTACTGTTGAATTGACCTGTCTAGAAGTAATTCAGTTTTTAGACGCTTCATCTGCTTCGGTCGCGCCATCGCTGGACGAGATCTCCAAGAATCACCTCAGTTTGGCTTTGCTCCTTTTCCCCTTCTCTTCTTCTTTCAGTGACCTCAAAAACTGACTTTCTTTTGCGGCGAACCGGTCGTGGATTCTCGTCCGCCGTCGCGACAAACTTTGTGCGAAATGCGAGGAAGTGACAGTTTGAAAAAGCCTCTAAGAACCACCGCGTAAACCACATAATCCCCGCGCTCCGATGAGTCAGTTACACTAGGGAGTTTGATTGACAACCTAACAGCCAATAGAAAATGAGGGAGCCTCGTTTTCTATTGGCTGATGTTTATCTGGCCTCACTACGTCCACAGTTGATAGATTTTCATTATTTTTTTTTTGGTCATCATAATTACAAAGCTGCTGCGTCTCAGTAATGGTATTTTAATCTTTCACTGACAATTTGAAACAAAAAAAAATCCTCCATACAACCTTTAATTACACACTCATTTCACAATTGTATTATTACCAAACACCAAAATACTGGGATGTCCCCGTGTCACAGTACATTTTTTTGGAAATTCAAACTACCCGTGTTCTGACAGGGCATTGACTACTTTCACAGAAGTTAGATTTTGTAGGCTTGTTTTTACTATTTTCACAACAGAAACTTTTTAAAATGTTTAAATCTTCAAAGCACCAAATAGAACTATAAGCGCCCTTATAGTTCAATGAAGGGAGTGAGAGCGTCAAAAAGTAAGTGACATTTATAAAACATGAGATTAACATGGTGAACTAAATATGTTATGTGTTAGCAGTTAATGCCCACACAAGCCAAATACCCCATATCCTGCATCCTGTATTAAGTCTATGTAGAGTACAAAGTACCGGCAGAGGACGCAAGAACTCCCTCTGCAGGTACCATGTGGAGTGAAGCGATTTCAGCACACTCATATTTTTGACTCTTAATCACTTAAATCACTTGTTGTAGAAAGTTGTTTTTGTGTTTTTCAGATTTGGAGAAACTACGACCAGGACAGCAGCGGCTTCATCTCTGCGCTTGAGCTCAAGGTGTGAGAGAGACCATTTATTATGTCACTTCTAAACTCTTTTCCCTTACTCTGGGGTTAAAGGTCACTCTGGGGTACAGGTCACTCTGAGGTTAAAGGCCACTCTGGGGTTAAAGGTCATTGGAGTTTTTTTTTCTCTCTCACAGTGACATCTCTCTCATTTTTTTCTCCCGGCAGGGCTTCCTTCAGGACCTGTTTGTGCAGCACAGGAAGTCCATCAGCGCCGACAAACTGGACCAGTACACCGTCTCCATGGTAACAGTACACACCATCTCCATGGTAACAGTACACACAAGTCTCCATGGTTACATTACAGATTACAGTCACGGTACATTCCAGTCACTCTACAGTCACGTTGTTACTGTCACATTACATTACAGTCACATTACTGTCATGTTACATTACAATCACATCTATGTCACGTTACTGTCACGTTATATTACTGTCACGCAGCAGTCACGTTACATTACTGTCACGTTACATTACTGTCACGTTACATAACTGTCACGTTACATAACTGTCACGTTAGTAACGTAACTTCTGCGTGACTGTAATGTAATGTGACAGTACCGCAGAATTAACGTTACAGCCACGCTGCAGTCACGTTACATTACAATCACATTTCTGTCACGTTACATTACAGTCACGCTGCAGTCACGTTACATTACAATCACATTTCTGTCACGTTACATTACAGTTATTTCTGTCATGTTACATTACATTCACATAACAGTCACGTTACATTACAGTCACGCTGCAGTCACGTTACATCACAGTCACATCACAGTCACGTTACAGTCATGTTACAGTCAAGTTACATTACAGTCACGTTCCAGTGACATTATAATACAATTACATTACCGTGACGATAGTTGCTTTACAATAGTTATGTTACATTACCATTATATTACGTTGTAGTTATGTTACAGTCATGTTACATTACAGTTACGTTACAGTGGCATTGCAATTGTTACATTACAGTTATGTTACATAACCGTTATGTTACATTATTGTTATGTTACATTGTAGTTACATTACACTTACATCACAGTTACGTTACATTACAGTCACGTTACATATCTTGGTCTTAAGTCTCCTCCCCAAAGAAAAAAGTTTATTCAATTAAATATTCACTTGGAGAAACAATTTGTATGAAATCTCAAAGCACCATTTATTCACTCCACAGCTGCCTTGGGGCAGACTGACAGAAGCCAGGAAGCCAATCTGCACCACCTCCAACAGCACGCACACACTCATACTAGACAAAGTGGGTAAAATGTCTTGCCTAAGGACACAACAGTTTATGCCACAGGCGCCCCATCCAAGTAAGAAGAGATCAGACCAGATCAGGCTTTGATAAGGAGGTTTGAATTTAGGCTCTTTCACCTGCCCCTGTCTCACCTGTCCCTGTCTCACCTGTCCCTGTCTCACCTGTCCCCTGTCTCACCTGTCCCTGTCTCACCTGTCCCTGTCTCACCTGCCCCTGTCTCACCTGTCCCTGTCTCACCTGTCCCTGTCTCACCTGTCCCTGTCTCACCTGTTGACGGTTCACTCCTGGTTGTGTGTTTTAGATGAAGATGTTTGACAAAAACAGAGACGGGCGCTTGGACCTGGAAGAACTGGCCAGGTAAATTTTAGGTCTGGGCTCACCTGGAACCAGGCCTGGTCCAGTCCAAGTTTAGTCCTGGCCCAGTCCTGGTCCAATCCTGCTGTAACTCTCTCTTGTGACTCTGCAGGATCCTGGCAATGAAGGAGAACTTCCTGCTACGCTTCCAGATGGACGTAGGTACCTCTGCTCCATATAAGTTCAGTTCTGGTTAAGTCCTGGTTAAGTCCTGGTTTAGTCCTGGTTTAGTCCTGGTTCAGTCCTGGTTTAATCCTGGTTCAGTCCTGGTTCGGTCCTAGTTTAGTCCTAGTTTTTTGTGTTTCAGGGCTGCAGTCTGGAGGATCGTAGGAGAGACTTTGAGAAGATCTTTGCTCATTATGATGTGGTGAGCCAGGGTTTGTTTGTCTCTGACTTTTGTTGTGCTTTTGAGCAGGACACTTCCTCTAAAGTTAGCATAGCACCTTTAGTATTTTGAGCTGTTTAATCTTTGGTTGTATTGTTTGTGTCTGTGCTTCGTGTAAGCACCATGATGGTGCGTTGAGCTTCTTGCACATGTTTTCCAATGTGCTTTTTGGCAAATAAACCAAATAACAGTGAAATTACTCTGGTTGTGTTGTTCTCAGAGCGGGACTGGAGCTCTGGAGGGACCCGAAGTGGACGGTTTTGTTAAGGACATGATGGAACTTGTCAAGGTAAAAGTCCTGGTTCAGTCTGGTTGTACACATTTGGAATAGCGCTCCCTGAAAAAGCCCGGGAAAAGTTGGAACGTCCAGATGAATATTTAAAGTGTCGCAACATGTGTCACAAACTAAATAATGTGTGTTTGTGTGAAAATCTGCTCATGTACATGTGCCTGCGCTGCCATGTCGGTTCTAGTTTATTTGACCTTAGACTGTATGAAAGTGTGACGTGACCCACAGAGCTCGGCTTCAAATGCAGCTCATTGAGGCTGGCGGTTAAAGGGGTTAATCTGAAACCCAGTTCCATATTTGGAATTCTCACTGCCACTGTCATAGCAACCAAAGAACCAATCAGGAGCAAGGCTGTTGAAAGTAATGCACTACCATGGATTTATAATAAAAACTAATATAATAAAAGCCTCACCCCTCGGTCCCGGCTCCAGACAGACTAGTGGCCACTCCAGATACTGCAGCTCTGGGAGTTTGAGCCCACAGAGCGCAATGCATTTTGGGAATTCAAGCTGCCCGTGTTCTGACAGAGCATCTGACTTTCACACATGTCGGATTTTATAGGACACTTTTCTATTTTCACAACATAAACTTTAAAAGCTTTAAACACAAATAATAATAATAATAATAATAATAATAATAATGATAATAATAATAATAATAATAATAATAATTCTAGTGACATTGTGCATGAGAGAAATGATTGCACAGATGCATTATGGTTATCTTGTCAACAAGGAGGAATCACCTGATGGCCTCACTTCCGTCAGTCTGTCCCAGGGCAGCTGTGGCTCACCCCCAGAGCGTGTGGATGTGACAGGAGTGCTGTGAAGTGCTCTGGGGGGCTTGACAGGTGCTGTATAAGTCCAGTGTATTATTCCATGATGTAACACAGTGTGTCTGTTTCAGCCCAGTATCAGCGGGTTGGAACTGGATGGTTTCCGGAAGCTCCTCTTGAATCACTGCGACTTGAACCGAGACGGAAAAATCCAGAAGAATGAACTTGCCCTGTGTCTGGGAATAAAACTGTCCTAACACCTGCTCCTGTCTGCTCCTCTGACTTTGCTCCTCTGCTCCTTTTGCTCCTCTGGCTCTTCTTCTCTGCTTCTCTTGCTCTTGTCCTGCTCCTCTGGTTTCTCTCCACTGGTTCTGCTCCTCTTCTCCTCTGGTTCATCTCCTCTGGTTCTGCTTCTCTGGTTCTGCTCCTCTGGTTCAGCTTCTCTGGTTCTGCACCTCTGATTCTGCTCCTCTTGTTCTGCTCCTCTGATTCTGCTCCTCTTGTTCTGCTCCTCTGGTTCTGCTTCTCTGATTCTGCTCCTCTGATTCTGCTCCTCTTGTTCTGCTCCTCTGATTCTGCTCCTCTGATTCTGCTTCTCTGATTCTGCTTCTCTGGTTCCTCTTCTCTGGTTCTGCTCCTCTGCATGAAGATAATCCTTTGCTCTAAAACAAATTGAAATTGTGGAAAAAACAGAATTGTGTGGTAGCATGACAACAAAGTTAGTGTCATGAGAAGGATTTAGACTTGGTTAGTCCTGGTTTAGTCTTGTTAGTTCCAGTTTAGCTCTGGTTTAATCCTGATTTAGTCTGTCTTTTCCAGCATTATTCCTTCTTTAGTCCTGGTTTAATCCTGGTTTAGTCCCAGGTTAAACCCGGTTTAGCCCTGGTATGGTCCTGATTTAGTCCCATGGAGTTTAGTCCTGGTTTAGTCCTGATTCAGTGGTTCAGTTCTGATTTAGCTGAGGTTTCACCCAATTTTTTATTTTATTTTTTTTACACTAGATTTTGCATGTAACACAACTTGGTGAACTTATTTGTATTTTATTAGTAAATTGTAAAAGTTAAATGCAGTTTTGTGTGAAAGAACAATAAAGAAACATTAAAATAAAAATTGTGTGTGTGTTTTTTGTTCATTTTGTTTTTTACATTTCTACAGTATTTGAAACATAAACAGCCTCGTGTTAATGAGCTCTGACAGACTTCACCTGAGCATGGTAGGCTGCGCTCTGATTGGTCTATTCAGAGACAGGTGAGCTGTGATTGGTCTGTTCAGAGCCAAACGTTATAAATCTCTGTGGTTAGCCCCGCCTCCTGTCTGTTGATCAGTTTTTGGGTGGAGGTCGTCCCATGGGTGTGGAGGTCAAACTCAGGTGAGAGATTGAAAGAGTGTTTAGAGTCATGTTATGTTTTATTGTCTTTTTTATTTCTAATGAACAGAGCACAAAAGAAGCAAATAACATGAGTTTTATTGATTCTTTGTAGAAGAGGTGGGGACATGCAGGTTGTGACTGAGGCAACATTCACACTGAACCTGAAGTGACTCAGATCTGATTATTTGACCATTTATGCACAGCGGCGAGGACTTTTTTTTTAAGGACTTTTTTTTTTGTAGGGGGACGCGATTCATGACTGAACCAGGACTGAATCAGGTCTGAACCAGGTCTAAACAAGGTCTAAACCAGGACTACACCAGGTCTAAACCAGGTCTAAACCAGGACTACACCAGGTCTAAACCAGGACTGAACCAGGACTAAACCAGGATTAAACTGGTTCAGTCCTGGTTTAGACCTGTTTTAGTCCTGGTTCAGTCCTGGTCTCTCATGTCTCAGGCCTCTATAGGACAGTAGTGCAGATTTCATGAGCCTATGCAGGTTGTTTTTTAAGTTATAGCTATTTTATATTTGTTATTTTTTATATCTCACGTCGGGAGAAGTGTGTGGACGGCGTAACCCTCTGTACCACGCCCTCTACGCCCCTGCCTATGTGACCTGTATCTGATCTTTTAATGACAGTCTGAATGACACAGATTAATTTTTGTCAAATGTGTGCCAGGACACTTGGACATGTGCTCCTAAAACCCAAACATATCTGATCTTTTGACATGTGACTTCAGTCTGAAGGTCAGCTCACACCTACACATTATGACAACACAGTAACAAGCCCAACACCAACCATGTTTTCTCAATATAATAGGCCGTCGAAGACGTGTTTCCTCCTGTGAGAGTGGTATAAGTAGGCACTCACAAATGTCCTTCTGGTCAGATGAAAATTGTGTGTGACTCTGTGAGAGAAGCAGTGGAGCACAGATCAATCCCTCCACTATGTGACTCTGCAAAGACGCGTTTCTTTCTACAGATGTTGCTGCCACTGCCCCACAAAACTCCACGGCCAAAAACCTCATCCTTCTCCTTAAAACAAATCATTTGTTCATGTTCTGGCTCTGGTACGACAGCAGCTTTAAAATCTCCAGGTGCTCGATTCCGTGTCCATGTTTATGCAACTTCCGTAAACACTGTGTGTGACGTTGTTGTGTCCTCTAATGCTCATGCAGGACACTTTTGGGGCGTTCACACTACAAATCACATTTCACTGGAAATGTGAACGACCTTGCAAAAAAAAAAAATAAAAAAATAAATAAAAAAACAGATTTCACAAACAAACTCTGCAGTCTGAAAATAGCCTCAAGACTTGAGTCAGTATTTTGAGACTCAGTTTGATAAAATTGGATTCAGACTCGAGACTTGACTTGGACTTGAGGCCTGTGGCTTGAGGTGACTTGATGCTTCTCACATTTTTCTGGACAGTTGATTGACTCAGTGCTTAATTATACTGGAACAAACAGGATCATGTCCCTTCCACTTCTTTGTTAGTCAAGGGTGTAGGTTTGCGTGGGGACGGTGGGGACATGTCACAACCAGGACAACATAGTCCCCACCAATATTTTACGTTTTATTTTAATAAACAATAATATACATTTATTCTGATACTTTTCTAAACTGAATAGTATTAATTTAACAACTTTAGTTCACTTTTTGTTTTTCAGACATTGAGATGTATTCAGTGATATGACGACAGGGTTACACCTGCCACTGTTTCACTGGCTGCAGCAGAGTGATACAGTAAACAGTATGAGTGAAGACACTGCACCAAACTTTGAAAAACTTTTCAAAAGGAACTTACTCAGCTTCATCTTCAATTAAACTTGTCTTATAATGAGTCACCAGATAAAGAGCGACTATCAGCACAAGTGCACCTCCCAAACAGAGAGCTGCTCATGCTCTGTTAACAACCCGACTCTACTGACAATATCCCAGAAATGTACGGACATGAACTCACAAATATCTCATCACCAACAAGAAAAGGGAAATCTGCACAAACTTCTACATCTCGGTTTTCTGCTAAACAATCATCTTAAAAGGCAATGGACACAAACTGCAATGGACCAAACCTCCGCCCTTGTTATTCGTTAACAGGGATGTGATGCTGTTCTAGTGAATGTCACTGGTGGATAAATCTGAGTCAGTTCTGACATCTGTTGTAAATGTGTTCCATTGCAACATAAAGGAAAATATGGGATGCTCGAGAATGCTCAATGTTTATTTTGTTAGCTTAAGAAAACCATAAGTAAGCAATCCTAGTCTGAACTGAATGCCATTTTTGCCGTGACGAGTCTGAACGTGCCCGAGTTTGTGTTTGGATCTCCAGTTTAACAGGCCGTTCCATTGACTTCCTCGAGGTGGAGGTCTGTTTTTTCTGAGTCCCGAGTACAAGAGAACGCAGCATAACAGTAACTGAAATATTCTGATACGTATCTGTAAATGCTTTACAGTAAAACTGCGGCTCTCACAGTAAATGAGGTTATAAATAATCTCCTTTTTTTAAATCATTGTTTTGTTGCAGCAACAGATGAATTAGAAACTTGAAGGCATGTTAGAATGCTGTTACCTCGTCAGAAACACAAGCTTCCTGGAGATGTTTAGTCTGATTCACACATTTGAGTAACACTTTGTCAGTCCTTATCAGTCTTTATCTCCAAACCTCAACATGCTCTGATCCATCAGAAGAGAAAATAACATAATAAAGCAAAAAACAAAAACAAAGCTAGAAATGTAAACAATATAAATTAGGTGAAATATAGTTTTATTTTCACTGTTTTATAAATCTGTTTTTCTGTGGTGTTTACACAGTTCTCATTAGTTTGTTTATATGTATATATTGTTATATGCAACACTTTTGTTGATTTGAAGCAGACCCAGGCCCTTCTTTTTCTTCTAAATTCTAGTGATTTTTTTTTTTTTTACCTCAATCTTACATGTTTCTAAATGTATTGGTCAAGAGTAGAAGTGTGGGACATCAGTGTAGACCAGGAGTCTCCAGCCTGTAGTTTGGGAACTACCAGCTCTCCACCTCCTTCCAAGTAGTTTACCAAGGGATTTCTGAATTATACATATTTGCCACGTTTATGTGAGAGCTTTAATTCTGAATAAAAATAATTAAGTTCTAAATGAAATGAATTCCGATTTAATAAGATCATGTAAACATTTAATTCCTAATGAAAATGATTATTCAAAATTAAACTTAATTCCAAAGTAAGTAGGTGGTTTATTCCGAATGAATTTATTTCTGGATCATGTAAATGTTTATTCTTCTTAAAAATAATTCTGGAATGACTGCAGAAAAAGTTTGGATGGTGTTTGTGTCCGTGGCGTAACAACAAACCGAGATGAGCCGGTAGCAGCTGAAGTGTGTGTCTCTGTCCAATCAGAACCTTCCCCTCCCCCAGACGCTCAGTCACATTACATAAAGACCATTTAACCAGTTTTACATCTAAACCTCAATTTGGAATTATTATTTCCATGTAAACGCCAAGGAGAACATTTTAGTTCCAAACAATTTAATTCAGAACAATTCATTTGGAATAAAAAAACCCAAAGATCCTGTAAACATGGCCACTGTGCTCAATCACTCAAATTATCAATATTATTACAACTACTGTCTCACCATTGTGCTGTTACATCACGTAGATGCATCATTTCTTGCACCCTCTAAAAGTGGGAGCTCACTTGTATTTGTTTTTGTAAAGGTAGTTCACCAAAGGAAGAAGGCTGGAGACCCCTGGAGTAGACCCTTCCTACACAACTGGAAATGAAGATAAAAAAATATATATACCGTATTTTCTGGGCTATTAGATGCGCTCTTAAGCCTCCAACCCCATCAAAAAATGACTGCGCCCCACAATCCAGAGCCACTCAGGTGTTCCAGCACGACTTCAGTAAACTACAAAGCCGCACCACCCACAGAACACACAAACACACACGGAGCAGACAGCGACCGCACAGAGAAACACACCCACAGACACACTCATCACTCCACGCCGACGAGGAACGGAACAGAGGAATGGACCGAAAAAGCCACGAGTGCAATGTGCCACTTCTAGACACGACTGAACAACTGAGTCACTGCGAACACGCCGACAATCCGTTGGTCCCAGACAGCACCCTCCCTACACGCCACAACTGAACAAAGCCCAGAGTCACCGTGAACGAACAAACAAACAAAACCACTCACCCATCACACTGTTGTGTTTCCTTTAAAGTCCCACGCGGTTTATTTGTGAAAAAAGCTCGAAAATAGACCATTTAATGACAGTGCGTCTTATAATCCAGAGCACCTAATAGTGCGGAAAATACAGTAAACTAAAAAAACTGTGAAATGCTGAAGTGTGGATTTGAAATAAATTCCACTTTTTTTGTTTTGTTCCAGGCTGCTCCTTCTCCTCTCAGCTCTGGCCTGCGCTCCTCTGCTCACAGGTAAGGCAGCTGCTAAAGCCACAGTGTGGAACCTCCAGAAACTTTTACTGTCAGAGAATCAGGAAGTGTGCAGTTAGCATGTTAGTTGACCCCCGTGGCTCATTATGCTATAATTTGCACATTTTAAATCACAATATTGATCTAAAACCACTTCATAAAAGAAACAAGTGCACTGACTTCTGTGTTACAAAACTGTGGTGTCCAGTGGGAGCTGACGTGGCCGTAAACGTCATGACGACAAAGCTCTGCAGACTGTGGTCCTCCTCTGGAGAACTGCACGTCACACTAGAGCAGAGGCGTTTTGTCCTTTTGGTCAAAATGACAATTTGACACTGCCAAATTCTACGTGGATCACAGATTAAGAAAATACAATTGAAGTACAGAGCAGGTAAATGCTCTACAAAGGCAAAGAGTTTAACTCTCCAGAGAGTGATTTCAAAGTTTCTGTTTAGTTCAGAAAAAGTAAAATAGGCTCCCAAAATGTGACAACTAGTTGCTATAATGAAGAAATATTTGTATGTGAAAAATATTGAGCTCAAAATTAACCTTTGACCTTCTTTGTCAGTTCCTGTTCCTGAGTTTTGGATTTCCTGTTTAGTGTTGATCAGGATCGTGCAGCGACACTTTTTCACCACAGTGAAACAGTTTAACACAAGTGACTTTGCAGTAGAGTGGGTACAGTATGAAGAAATACACACAAGTTTAAATGAATACAAAAGTTTTATTTATTGAATGTTCATTCAATAAATAATTAAGACCCTGTGCCGAGGAGACCAGAGGTTAGATTTTAAAGGGATAGTTCGGATTTTTTGACATAAATCTGTATGGCATCCCCGTCATCAGTGTTGTGCATCCACACCGACTTACCCCCGAAAGCGTCTGGTGAGCCCAGATACTGGCCCGTTTTGGTGCTGAGGAAAGTAGTTCGGCAAGTTGTGTGGGGACTGTATAATAAAGCGTCTCAGAGCAATATGTGTTCAAAAGAGTGATACATTTGCATCACAAAACCATCGTCCTCTAAAAAGTCAGCCCTCATAATCGCTTGGCGCTATTTTCTCTCTGTACGTACGACTGCGTGCGGCCGCCAGGTGACAGCCGCGCACGGATCCATCACTTTCTGCAGTTGTTTGTCAGTGTTTACATGCACAGACGCCGCCACGCGAGAGAGCTAACGAGAGAGCTAACGAGAGAGCTAACGAGAGAGCTAACGAGAGAGCTAACGAGAGAGCTAACGAGAGAGCTAACGAGAGAGCTAACGAGAGAGCTAACGAGAGAGCTAACGAGAGAGCTAACGAGAGAGCTAACGTGAGAGCTAGAGCCATAAGTATATAAGTTTGTATAAGATACATAAGAATATATCTAAAAAATGGAGCGAACTCTTGATTCTCCAGGCTGTAACAACAAAAATCTGTCTGAATCTCCACACACGTCACTGTTTTCCTGTCACGGACTTTGTGCTGAGGAAACTTTCGCTTCTTGCCTTAAATCTTCAACGTGGAAACCAAACCAGGTAAGAACGAAGAAATGCCGCTATGTTTACAAGACGACAGGTTCAAGAATCAGCTGTAACGCTGTGTGCAGTAAATCACTCAGTGTCATATCGCCAGTGAAGCTTCTACAAAACATAACTTTATAAGTCGACTGTTATTACTAGTCTAAATGTCTCGTACACTGTTGGCAGCAGCGACGTGGACGTGTGGATGATTCATGTTTCTATTAGTCGTCCATGCTTCAGTCACAGTGTCGACTCTATGTTCACTGTATACGAGTTTCTAAATGACGTGATGGTGATTGGTCTCTCTTCTCTCTCTGCTCGTTCTAACTCCATCTGGTGAAATTCTTCATCAGTATATTCGGGTTCACAAAGATCTCCCCTTGTCTTTGTGGTAAAGGCAAAGTCTTTATTGTCGGTGTCATAATCAGACATGTTGTCGCTAACATTCTGAGCAGTAAACAAAGTGAACCAGGCTCATATACTTATGGCTCTAGCTCTCTCGTTAGCTCTCTTGCTGTTATTTCTGTTTTTAAACAAAATCTTAAAACATACCTTTTTACTAAAGCCTTTTGTTAATTGTATTTTATTCTTGTTTTATCTTATAAATTCCTGCACTGGTTTTAGCTTGATCCACTGTTTCTGATGCACCTTTTTACTCATTGTTTTTACCTGTAGCACTTTGAGATTATTTTATGTAAAGTGCAATATAAATAAAATGTATTATTATTATTCTTGCGTCGCGGCGGTCTGCACATGTAAACACTGCCGAACAACTGAAGAAACAGATGGATCCGTGCACGGCTGTCACCTGGCGGCCGCGCGCAGTGGTACGTACGGAGAGAAAATAGCGCCAAGCGATTATGAGGGCTGACTTTTTAGAGGACGATGGTTTTGTGATGCAAATGTATCACTCTTTTGAACACAGATTGTTTTGAGAAGAAAAACGCTTTATTATACAGTCCCCACACAACTTGCCGAACTACTTTCCTCAGCACCAAAACCGGCCAGTATCTCGGCTCACCAGACGCTTTCGGGGGGTAAGTTGGTGTGGATGCACAACACTGATGACGGGGATGACACACAGATTTATGTCAAAAAATCCGAACTATCCCTTTAAAATAAAATATATTTATGAACTAAATCACACACAAAAAAAACACACTGTTGTCTTTGGATCATGAGACACAAATAAGGAGTCGTGCAGAGAACAGGAACTGACAAATAAGGTCAAAGGTTAATTTTTAGCTCAATATGATAAAGGAGCTCTCAAATACAAACAAAATGACATGAACTCAGTTTTGACCAAACACGTTACGGCGTTTCGCCTTTGTAGAGCAGTACTGGTGTCAGTGAAAACTGGTGGATCGGTAAAATGACGTGTTAAAATAAGTGATTAAAGATTGCTCAAGATCACTCTGTGCATGTTTGCGTTAGTAAATGATGAGAGGAAACCACCATAACATGGTTAAAGCTCTGAGAAGGTGATTTTGGAGAATGTGTCTGATTCATCTGATGCACCTCTTCCTGTAGGGGGCGCTGGTGTGATGCCACAAACTCCTGTGGTGTCCAGTGGAGGGACACAGATGCTGCCGTCACAGTCGAAACCAACGCAGGAAAATACAAACATCAACTTTGAGCAAAAACCTGATGATCCACCAAAACAAGTGAATGTCTCCAAGAACCGTCAAAGTCTAATCTGGTCTGGTCTTCAACATCCAGCCAATAATGCACAGTCCGATTTGAGATTCAAACAGTTACATTCATTACAGAACCTGTCTCTAAAACAACTTTCAAATCTTTCCATCGCAAAAGACCCAGATGCCCCGGAAATGCAGACAGCCAAGATTGTATTGCCCAAACCAAATTTTCACAACAATCTAAATACGAGTCAATTGAAGCCACTGTTTGTTGAAAAGCAAGTGTCCAGCCCGTCTCCTGTATCATCCAATATTGGAGTTTCTAATCCAAAATCGCAGCCATTGGAGTCTGAAACACCCGCCTTCCCGAGTGGACTAGTTCACGTTCAAAATGGAGAACTTCAGTCTCAGACAATTGTCTATGATGCAAGAAATCAACAAACACCAAATGAGTCTCAAGAATCAAGAAATTATGAGACCAGTTCTTCAAGAGACCAATATTTTAAACACGGAAAACCAAGCTCTCAGAATCAAAAAAACACAGGACCATCTTCTCAAACAAGTGAGCAAAACCTATGGGACAAATCTTTGAACAAGCAAGAACTTCTCCCTCAAGATGTTCCCATGACGACAAAATCACAACCAACCAGAGAACGACAGCTATTTCAAACAATGAGTCTTCAAAGCAGCGGCAGCGCAGGTAGACAGGACCAAAGCTATGAAGCAAAACAAACTCCTCCCAGGTTCATCACGGTGCCTCCACTCGGGAAAGATCACGTCGTCTCTGGTAAAGTGTTTTTTAGTCGATCACAAAATGGTGGTAAGTCTCAAAGTTTATCCCAGAATAAGCTTCAAGAACCTTCTCTGAAACAAACCAAGCCATCCAAAAACGCTGTTCTACCATCAGGATTAGACTCAAGCACCGTTAAGGAAGGTTATAGCCAAGAAATGACCTTAAAGCCAGTTACAGTTCCAATTAAAACTACAGTCGGTCTCCCATCTCGGTTACAGTCAAGTTACTCTGTTGAGCAATTACAGCCGAATTTTGCTGCTTTAACCTTTTCACAGCAAAACATCTCACAAACCAGCTTCAATCAGCCACAATCGAACTTCAAAATCCACCAAAAAGAACCAAAAGAAGTTGATTTTGCACAATTCAGAAACCAATTTGGACAAAACTTTCTAAACTTTCTTTCCAAACTAGAACCTCAAATGCAACCTCAAAAATCACAAAATTACCAGGTATTCAACCCACAAAATTCAGAAATTCTACTTTCAAGATCTCAAATGAGCTACACCAATCCAACATTTTACTTTCATTCTAATCAACTTTCACAGAGTAACCCATCAAATTTCTTTCCTAGTTCACCCGAGGAGTCCTGGAGTTTGGAATCTTCAAATTCATGGGAAAACATGGCACAAAGTCTTCCTTCGTCTCAGGGTTCTACACAAGAGTCCAGGGTCCAACCAGGAAATGCAAACTCGAACTTTAACTACAGAAGAGGAACTCTGCTTTCCACAAAGCAACAACCGTCTTTGTTTAATCTAAAACCATTTGGGAGTCAGTCTAACCGCCAGTTCGCCCCCATTCCAAATCCTCAGGTCCCACTTTCTGATCGTCTTTCAGGGCTGCAGTGGTTAGGACGTCCTGGGGCACCTCCACCACAGAGGGATAACATGGATTCTGAGCATTTCGGAAAGTCTCAAAAGGTTGTTGGTTTGAATCTGTACTCAAACTTTCATAATCCTCATGGCTTGTATGTTCAAAAACCATTCCAAATGTCCAATACTCCATACGACAGGCAACAAGTTTTGCAAAATCTATTTCAAAATCGCAATCCAGGTTACAGATTTTACCAAAATTCTCCAAGATTTGTTCAAACTCCTATCTCTCCTAGTGCCTCTTTGCAGAAATCACCACAACTTGGTTCATTTTCCAGACAGAACCAGAACTCCCAGAACCAAGGCGTGTTTCTGAGGCTCCACAGCCCAGCCTCGGTGCACTTTTCTGGGCATCAAACACTGCCTCTGCGCCCTAAACATCCCTGGAACCAAAACATCGGCGCTGGTTCTATTTCACACAAACATAGAGTCTACACAAAACCACAAAAGTACCCCAGCTCTGGGCTCAGATCCTGGGATCGAAGTCAGATGCCCTTGCTGTGGGACTGGACACGAGCGTGAGTGTGAGTGATTAAAATGTGTTTACAATCTCATGATTGTTCTTTTGTCTTTTATTTTCAGATCCTGAGAAATAGTTCTGATTAAACCATGAGTCAGGAACACGCTGATATTGCTAAGATCATGAATTTTGGGAGTTCCCAAACTGTTGAGAGTCCATCTTGTTCAGTTTTAGTTGACTTGCCTGTGACAGACTGACCAATCACAGCTGTGTGGTTTGGGCAGAGTCAGCACCAAAAGAACCAAAACAGACGTGGGAGAGCAGACAGACGTCCTTCAGCCTGTTCATACAGACTATTTAGTGTGTGAAAAATGTGCAGAGAGAAGCTCTTTGTGCATTTGTGGAGGGAAAGATGTCCTCTTGTTGTGCTGTAGTGACACTTTGACCAATCAGAGTGAAGTATCTGAACACTCTGGTCGTTGGTTCTGATCTTCCAGTGAGAATCGCCCCACACTGATGAAGACTCTGTTCAGAGGGACACACATCAGTCTGAGAGTCTGACTATCACATCATCACCAGCCTCATGCGCCTGACGATTAAAGGTGACCTTGTCCCTGACCCTGTCAGCTGTCAGGTGTTTCTGTGTTGGTTTTTACTTGAGAAAATGCTGTAAAATGAATAGATTATATTTTACATTCTGTTTTCTCTGTATCTGTTTTATACAATAATTTAAAATCAGACACAGGGACTTTTAAGATGTTTGAAGCTGGTCAGTGGTGGTAAAAGTGAACACGTGTATAATAATCATGATGTCTGTTGTATGTTAACGTCTGTCTCCCTACAGGTCTGTCCAACAACACCCAGAGACAAAGGAGACATGGACTTGTTTAAATAAAATGAGCCACTTCTGCTTCATTTCTGTTCACTTCTGACTTTTATTCTGTATTTGTGCAGCGAACATAAGTGAACATAAGTGTTATAAAAGTAGATTTTTATCCATGCAAAACATTTAACGTTTAAACATTTTAAAGGTACAGTGTGTAACTTTCTGGAGATGGCACTGGTACGTGACCTGCATGTTTCCATGGAAACAAAGTTCAAACCATATTTCTGAACATTCTCCATGGAGATAGATGGATTATATGTGATGCTGTGAAGATTTCAGCTAAAAGAACATTTCCATGGAAACAAGCAGGAGGCCAAATGAGAGTCAAGTTTGTGGAGATGCGAGCCTGCTCACAGTAAGACATGTTCAGACTAAAATAAAAATGCTTTAATGTTACACACTGTGGCTTTACAGAGGAGTATTTGACTTCTGTGGAGTCTTAACTGTAACACGTCACATATTTACATCTCCATGTTCCCTTTTAGGGTTTTGAAAATGCTCAATTTTCCAGAAACAACATATTAATTAGGCATTAAAAAGTTTCACTTTACCCCTTGTGCTAAGTCACCCCCCCTTCAGAGCACCATCACAACATGGTCACAGTGCATCTCACTAATGAAGCTCCTGCACATCTCATCAGGTTTGTCATGTGTTTGTCATGGTGCTGTGTGCAGTTTTGTCTCATGTTTTTATACATTTGTGGAGAATTGTGGTGTGTTCAGGAGAGGCACTGCCTCACCAGTCCTTCTGGGAATAAAAAACTGCTCAGTGCCAATAATAAATACTTGATATATTTTATATATAATATTTACCCTCAACTAAGTCTGTTTATTATATTGTGGAGTTTAGCTCAGTAGTTTCAGTCGATTGGCTTTAGTGTGTCTGCTCAGGGTTCAAGACTCTGTTATTTCTGTATAAAATGTCCTCTTTCATGTGCAAACAGAAAAATGAATTCAAACTCAATGTTTTGATTAGTTAAAGTGATTTATGTGTGTAAAGAAAAGCAGCTTGGTGCACATCAACATTTGTGAGTCTAGTGCACTTTGCCTCAGCTGCAAACCTCCACACGTCTGTGTGGGGGCACGGGTGATGTAAGCTTGTGGGCGGAGTCTTGTACTGGCTCATACAGCTAAGGAAGGCTTGAATGGGGCCTGGGAGAGATCACTAGATTACTTAAACATGCATAGATATATTTAAGACCTCTTCAGGCAAGTTTTTGATGAAGTAACAACGTTTTTATTACCAACAATAAAAAAAATGAATGAAACAAAACAAATCAAAATGATCATTTGTGGATTTGACTTTTGGAGATTTGGGATGAAAACAGCAGAGGAAGAGCTGTGCTTGTGTGAAAGCTCCAGTCTGTAGTTAGTCTAGTGGTTGGTGTGATGGGTCTTTTTACAGAACACTCCTGACTCTGACGGGCTCCCAGGGCTCAGATGGTGAACTGGCTCAGACCCAAAACTCAAACACACTGATTTAACCCGACTTAATGACACAGAGAAGTGAGAGAATGCTCATTTAAGATAAAGACTGAAATTGAACAGACATGAGGCCGGAAAGGATGAGAGGAGAGAGAAGAGAGAGAAGTCGACTCACAACAGAACTACAAACTACTGGGACGTATGAATCAGTAACAAACCTGTTTGTGGGGAGTTTGATTGTTCTCTATTTTTGGGTCATAGACTGTAAGAAGTGGACTAAGTAAGTGTGACGTCCCCTAGAGCGCTCAGCTCCTAATAATAATAATAATAATAATAATAATAATAATAATATTAATAATAATAATAATAATGCATCTTCATTTATCAAGCACTTTTAAAAAACAGGTTTACATAGTGCTGTACAAGCAGCAAAGAACAATAGAAAAAAACATACAAATACAAACGGAAAGCACAAAAATGGGCAATGATGCGATGAGAGAATGAATCAAAATAAATATATGGACTAAAATCAAGCTAAAAGTAGTTAAAGGAAGGCCGACCTATAAAAATTATGGTGCAAGCTTTATCTCCTCAGGCAGGTCGTTCCAAAGCGCTCGGACTGAAAAGGTTCAGCCACAGAGGAACAGCTGCATGGACCTGCTGAGGATCTGCTGCTGAAGAGGAACAGCTGCATGGACCTGCTGAGGATCTGCTGCTGAAGAGGAACAGCCGCATGGACCTGCTGAGGATCTGCTGCTGAAGAGGAACAGCCGCATGGACCTGCCTGAGGATCTGCGGCCACAGGAGGCTTGTATGGGGTTAAAAGATTTGAAATGTAACTTGGTGCAAGACCTAAACGAGCTTGAAAAGTGATCAGTAAAATCTTTAAATCGATTCTAAAACACACAGGCAGCCAGTGAATTGAAGCTAAAACAGGGGTCATGTGTTGATGTTAAACCCAGTGAGGAGCCACTGGAGGCGGGGGATGGATGAAGCTCATTGACGCCAGCAGTTATAAGGGTGAATTTACAGCCCAGTTCCATATTTGGAATTCTGACCCCAAGTATCATAGCAACACTGTCAATCAAAAACTTGTTGCTAACGTTAGTGAAAGCGACCTCAGGGAAAGAAGACACCTGACTGGTCTGTTATTAATGTTCAGATCTGGATTTAAAGACAAAATAATGAAATAAAAACCTCAAGATCATGGTTCAAACCAACATTCTCAGGTCTGAATGAGGAGCCTGAGAGCAGCAGGTACAGAGAGAAATCCAAATTGTCCAGCTAAGGTCCTGACCGAGACTAGACCAAGATCTGGAGATGGGACACTGAAGGACGGGGCAGATGTAGAGAATTACTTTGTCTGTCTTGTCCCCACACTCTGTTAGGACGCGGCTGCCAGCATGCCAGACATGTCCTGAAATTAATTACCAAGAGTCCAGCTTTAGTCCTGGTCAAGTCCTGGTTTAGACAACATCAGTATTGGGACAAAATCTGAGGACTAAACCAGAACCAAACCAGGACCAAACCAAGACTGTACCAGAACTGAACCAGGACTAAACAAAGACTGTGCCAGAACTGAACCAGGACTAAACCAGGACTGTAAGCAGGACTCCTTTAGTCCTTTAGTTAGAGTTATTTAGTTAGAGTTAATTAGAGTTAGTTAGAGTTAGAGTTAGGTAGTTTGTTAGAGTTAATTAGAGTTATTTAGTTAGTTCGAGTTATTTAGTTCGAGTTATTTATTTATTTATTTAGAGTTAGTTAGTTAGAGTTAATTAGAGTTATTTAGTTAGAGTTAGTTAGTTATTTAGTTGCAGTTAGAGTTATTTATTTAGTTAGAATTTGTTAAAGTTATTTATTTAGTTAGTTAGAGTTATTTATTTAGTTAGAGTTAGTTTGAGTTATTTAGTTAGTTGGTTTGAGTTATATATTTAGAGGTAGTTAGAGTTAATTAGAGTTATTTAGTTATTTAGAGTTAGTTAATTAGAGTTAGTTAGAGTTATTTATTAAGTTAGAGTTATTTAGTTAGTTAGTTAGTTAGTTAGTTAGTTAGTTAAGAGTTAGTTTGAGATATTTATTTAGTTATAGTTAGTTAGAGTTAATTAGAGGTTTTTTGTTAGAGTTAGTTAATTAGACTTAGAGTTATTTAGTGACTTAGTGTTAGTTTGAATTATTTATTCAGTTAGAGTTAGTTAGTTAGAGTTCGGTAGAGTTATTTCTTTGGAGTTAGTTAGTTGGAGTTGGTCTCTTAAGCTCCTCGTCAGCTGTATGTGTCAGGAGTGTTTTAGTCCCAGATTAAACACAGCTCTGTCCTCGTCCTCGTCTTCGTCCTCTGTTATTACTCTCGGTCTACAGCTGAAGCCGCCCCCGCACAGATGCTCCTGTGGCAGAGTGGTTAGCCTGGCCCCTCTCTCTGGGAGGTTGGGGGTTAGACTCCTGATCTCTGAGTGGAGTTTGCATGTGCTCCTTGTGTGTCTGTGGCAGAGTGGTTAGCTGGTGCCTTCTCTCATCGTACCGCCAGGAGGCGCTGTTGTCCACCTTTTTGACTCACTAATATTTATGTAGTTCTAATGTCGTTTTCTCGTCACAAACAGACCTGGAGTTGTGTTTTGTTTAACATGTTTAACACACAAACCCTGCAAATACTCTGTTTCACCTTATGATGTCATGTGGTGACACAGGAAGTGCTCCACTGTGTTTGTAACCTTCACTGTAAGTCTGGACTGTTTCATCTGCACACAGCAAAAACTAGAGGGTTAAAATTTCAGGGTAAAATATTTTAGGGGGTTTATTTGCCAGAGTTGATTTGGTTAAAGTTTATGTTAGTGCTAGTGTTACTTTAACTTCCCTTAGTGTTAATTTGGCTCCTCCCACCACCACTTCACACTCCCGCTAGAAAAGACCAGTTTGAACCAGTTTTGTACAGAATTTCAACTTCAATGAATGAAAATAAAACACCTCTGAGTGTTGTTTAGCTAAATCAGGATAACCCTACAAAGTGTTATCCATTTACTTTAAAAATATTAATATAACTCTTGATTTTGGGGTTAAACAGGAGCTTAATATTTCCTGAAATGTTTAATGAACTCTAGACCAGACTGGACGGTCTGTGTACCATTCATTCTTTTGAATTTCAATTAATAAATTAACAAACAATAAAATGGGAAAACAGTTTACCGGTATTTCATTTTTCCATTTTAGTGTCAAACAAAAAAACAGATTTCGACCTCAATTTCCAATATTTAATTTAAAGTTTATTTCAAATAACACCAATCAAAAAAAAAAAAAAAAAACATGCATGGTGCCTATTTTAATTTCAATATTTTACTTTCTCTGCTTTATTTGCCCTGGAGGTTCTGCTGCTTGAAGGATTCACCTGAGAAATGGTTGCAGTTTTGTGTCTCTTCTTTTATAGCGGCGCGTTTACTTTCACGTCGTAGAAAGTCATTGTTGATCTCCATGATGAGAAACAAGAAGCAGAGATAAACTCTCCTTTGTTCATTTGACTCCATAGAACTAGAATAAAAATAGTTTTATTATCGATCCATAGCTGACACTGCAGCAGAACATCTGGGGCAAATAAACCAGACTGAATAAAATATCTAAATTAAAATAGGCACTGAGGCTGGTTTTTGATTGGTGTTATTTGAAATAAACTTTAAATTAAATATTGGGAATAGAGGTAAAAAAAAGTTTAGTTTTTTTTTTTTTTTTTTTTTTTTTTTTTTTTTGACAAATAAACATTTTATTGTTTTTTGTTCTTAGTTGAAATTCAAAAGAACAAATGGTACACAGACCTTGGATTCATATAAACCCAGAGAAAATGTTAAACTGGATTCTGTGAGAGTCAGTTTTAACACTAAATGTTTTGCTGTGACTGAATTAAAGGTAAAAGGAGCTGTTAATTACTTCATGACATCACGAGGTCGATCAGCATTTAGAGCTTTGGAAATGTAGACAGACATCTGTGAATGACACAGACGCAGCTCCAGGTGTGTTTTTGGGGAAGAAACATCATTAGATCGTAGCTCAGTGTGATCGTAGACGGTATAGATTGTTTTATTCAATCTATAGTGTGACTGTAGACCATATAGATTCTTTTATATAGTCTATGGTGTCATTGTAGTTCATATAGATTCTTTTATACAGTCTATGGTGTGACTGTAGACCGTATAGATTCTTTTATACAGTCTATGGTGTCATCCGGGGCCTTTCAGGAGCTCACTGTGGCTCCTCGCGCTGGTATCCTCGTGCTGGGGGGGCGTGGTCGCTGTAGTGCGCGCTCACGGCTCGCATGCGCGCGCCAGGGCCCTTCGCATCAGACAGCGGCGCGTGGTGGTGTGCGCGTGCGTGCGGCAGTGCGGACTGTTTTCCTCCAGGCTCCGTCCTCAGCGCCATGCTTCCACCCGCCTGAGGCTCACCTGAGGCCGGCTAAACCCTGCGGCGCGGCCCGCTCTTCCGGAGCTCCGGTCTGGTTCTCAGAGCGGGGAGTGGAGGCTGACGAGGCCGGCGACAGAGGCTCATAGAGCGCGGGATATACAACATGGAGACGGTGATGGAGAGAGAGTGCAGCGCGCTGGGGGGCCTCTTCCAGACCGTTATCTCCGACATGAAGGTACCACACACCGGGTCTGGTCCTGGTTTTCACCCAGTTTGTACCGGGTTCAGGCCCGGTTTAGACCTGGTTCAGACCCGGTTTAGACCCGGTTTAGACCTGGTTCAGAGCGGGTTCTGCAGTGCAGTTAGTGGGTCAGTGTGTCAGACAGACGCAGACAGCTCAAAGTGACGTCACTGTTGCAAAATGTAAACCAAGTCTCGCTGTGGTCTCACCGCTCTGGTCTAGACCTGGTTTAGTCCTGGTCTAGTCCGGGTTTAATCCTGGTTTAGTCCTGGTTTAATCCTGGTCTAGTCCTGGTTTAGTTCTGGTTTGGTAAAGGTTTAATCAGAGTTTAGTCCAGGATAAATCATGCAGAGCATCATTCAGTGAATGAATAAAATGATTCTCAATAATAAAATGTGTTTCAAATGAAGAATGAAAAGAATGGAACATATCTCTGATGTGATTGGTCGAGCTTTGACCAATAAGGCGCCTAGTGCTTAGTTCTTTAGACCTGGTTTAGTCCTGGTTTTGCTGTAGATCTTGTTGTAGGTGTGTGTGTGTGTGTTTTGTTTATTATTACTGTGTTGTGTATGCATGGGTCAGAACTCCATGGCTTAGTCCAGATTTAGTCTTGATTAAGTCCTGTTTCAGTCCTGGTCTAGTCCTGGTCTAGACCTGATCTAGTCCTGGTTTAGTCCTGGTTTAGTCCTGGTCTCTTCCTGGTTTCGTCCTGTTCTAGTCCTGGTTTTGTCCTGGTTTAGTCCTGGTTCAGTCCTGGTCTAGTCCTGACTCCTGGTTTAGTCCTGGTTTAGTCCTGGTTCAGTCCTGGTCTAGTCCTGGTCTAGTCCTGGTCTCGTCCTTTTCTAGTCCTGATCTAGTCCTGGTTCAGTTCTGGTTTAGTCCAAAGGAACGTCTTTTTGGGAATAAAAAAATAAACAAAAGAAAGAGGAGGATGTGAGGAGAGGAGCGCGGGATGAATGAACGGAGGAGAAGAGGAGTGCGGCCCCTCCCCCTGCAGCACTGTTGCCATGGTTACAGGGTCTGACGCGGGACACACCCCTCAGCATCAGCACCGACTCCAGCATCACCAGAGAGAAAGAGAGACAGAGAGAAAGGGGGATAAAGAGACAGAAAGAGGTGAGGAGGGAGAGAAGAGAGCGGAGAGTGAGGCAGGGATGAGACGGAGAGATAGCACGTTGGAGAGAAGAGGGATGGAAGGGAGGGAGGGGGCTGTGAAGTGAGCGAGAGGAGAGAGAGATAGAATGGAAGGGGGAGGAGGGGCAGAGGAGAGAGGAGAAAGAGAGAGCAGGGACAGGAACAGGGGGAAGAAAAAAGGGAAGGGTAAAGAGAGAGTGACAGATGGGAAGGTGAAAGTTGAGAGAGGAGGGGAGAAAGAGAGACAGAAGGAGAGAAGGGAGAGAGAGAGAGAGAGGAGAGATAGAGGAGTTAGAAGAGAGGAACGAGGAAAGAAGAGAAGAGGAAAAAGGGGAAATCTAAAAAAGTACAAATGTAAAATTGTGTATAAATGTTTCTTTTTTTTTTTTTTTCCCTCAGGGCAGTTTTCCGATTTGGGACGATTTCATCAACAAAGCTGGAAAGCTTCACTCTCAGATCAGGTCGGTTTGAAAAGATTCATAAAATATAATGTCAATAAACTCACAAAGTCCTGCCAAAAATGAAATGAAATATAAAAAAAAAAAAAAAAAAAATCATGTGTTTAAAAAAAAAACAATGAAATGAGTAAAAGATGAAACGTGTGCTTCCTCAGAGCGACGGTTGTGGCTGTAGCTGCTTTTCTCGACGCCTTTCAGAAAGTGGCCGACCTCGCCTCCAACAGCAGAGGTAAGCCAGATGCCCTCCCGTCCCCCTGTGTCCCTGTGTGTCAGATGCCCTCCCGTCCTCCTGTGTCCCCGTGTGTCAGATGCCCTCCCGTCCTCCTGTGTCCCCGTGTGTCAGATGCCCTCCCGTCCTCCTGTGTCCCCGTGTGTCAGCCTGAGACGGGGGCAGGTCAAATGTCTCCAGTGAATCTGCAGATGTTGTGGTCCAGTTGGGAAAATACAGCAAGAGAATGGACCGTATTTCCTGATCTGGCTCATTGTATTTTAGTCCTGGTTTAGTCCTGGTTTAGACCTGGGTTAGACCTGGTTTTGTCCTGGTTATATTTTTCTGATGCTAAACCTCCATTGGGCAGTGGTTTCCATAGTAACATTGTCATCCTCTGTTACCGAGGGCAACAGGAGACAGGGAACAAGGAAGGAAGGAATTAAGGAACCAGTTCTAAACCAGGTCTAAATCAGAACTAAATCAGGACTGAATCAGTATTAAACCAGGACCCCAGCAGGACTAAACCAGGACTAAACCAAGACTAAACCAGGACTAAACCAGATCTAAAGCAAATCTAAAGCAGGTCTAAAGCAGTTCTAAAGCAGGCCTAAAAAAGGACTAAACCAAGTCTAAAAGAGGACTAAAACAGGTCTAAACCAAGTCTAAAGCAGTTCTATAGCAGGTCTAGACCAGGTCTAATGCCGGTTGCACAGGTTTCTGGTACTTGTGGTGTCCTCTGGTCTGTAGTTCTGTTTGGTCCAGAGGCTCAGGTCTATGTTTAGAGGAGTGTTTGAGTTATGGACCAGGGCCTCTGAGCAGCTGCAGGCGGGTGGAGACGGTCCCCCAGGAGTCTGCACCTGGGTCCAGCGTGAGCTTAGGCTCACGGCACAGACCTGGTTTAGACCTGGTTTAGACCTAGTTTAGTCCTGGTTCAGCCCCGGATTATTCCTGGTTTAGACCTGGTATTAGTCTTGGTTTAGACCTGGTTTAGACCTGGTTATCAGCTTCTGGTGGCCCTATGGCATTAAAAGAAATAAAAAAATGTACAGAGATTTTTTGATGCTCCTAAATTAAGAAAATTTGCATTCAAGTTTAAATCAGATCTAAACCAAGACTAAACCAAGATTACACCAAGTCTACAGCCGGGCTAACCCAGAGCTAAACCTAGACTAAACTAGGTCTAAACCAGGTCTAAATCTGCATTCTGTCATTGAAGAAACACTCTCTGCTCTGATTGGTTCATCCTGCCCTCAGACACACACACACACACACACACACCACACACACACACACACACCTACACCACACACGCACACACCACACACACACACACACACACACACACACACACACACACACACACACACACACACACACACACACACACACACACACACACACACACCACACACACACACACACACACACACACCTACACCACACACACGCACACACCACACACACACACACCACACACACACACACACACACACACACACACGCACACACCACACACCACACACACCACACACACACACACACACACACCACACACACACACACACACCACACCACACACACGCACCTACACCACACACACACACAACCACACCACACACACACACACACACACACACACACACACACACACACACACACACACACACACCACACACACACACACACACACACACACCACACACACACACACGCACACACGTACACCCCCCACACACACACACCACACACCACACACACACACACACACACACACACACACACACACACACACGCACACACCACACCGCACATGCACACACCCACACACACACCCACACCACACACACACGCACACACACACACACACACACACCACACACGCACACACACACCCACACACACACACACACACGTACACCCCCAACACACACACACCCACACCACACACGCACACACACACCACACACACACACACACACACACACACACACACACACACACACACACACACACACACACACACACACACACACACACACACACACACACACACACACACACACCACACACCACACACCACACACACACACACACACACACACCCACACACCATACACACACACACACACACCCACACCACACACACCCACACACACACGCGCACACACACCACACACGCAAACACACACACACGCACACCCCCACACCACGCACACAGACACACACGCACGCAGACACACTTTGGACACACAGTGTAAGCGTGCACCTGATGGGGGTCTGGGGTCGTGATGGTTTTCTCTCCTTCTCAGTGTGAGGTTTGGGACCAGTGGAGTGTGTGAAGCTGCTCCATCTGCTCCTGGGGTTTAGTCCTGGTTTAGTACTGGTTTAGTACTGGTTTAGTCCTGGTTTGGTCCTGGTTTAGTCCTGGTTTAGTCCTAGTTTGGTCCTGGTTTCAGTCTGGGTTTCAGTCCTGACACAGTGGACCATGAGATTCTTCTGTCCTGGTTGGACACTGGGTGGGGATTGGTGGTCCAGCTCTGCTTTGGTTTATCACACTGACAGACTGACACTGACACTTTCTGTGTTGGTTTTGGTAATGATGTTTCCTGTCATACCCAGAGATCAAGACTAGGGACTTTGCTTTTTTCCCTTCATATGCTCCTCTGGGCATCATTCTGAGGAAACATGGCATCTCATTCCACTGTTATGCTCATGACAGCCTGATCTATCTGCCATTAAAGATACTGGATCCACAGGCTGCCAGACCTTTTACACTTTTAGACTGTATCAGTGACATCAAATCTTGGACGTCACAGAACTTTCTGCACCTCAGTTATTAAAAATCAGAAGTTATGGCTTTTGGCCCTAGCTCTTAATTCTTTTTTTCCTGTGGACCTGAGTTCACTAAATCATTTAGTGGAACCTGGAAACACGAGAGCATCTCACCTATTTTAGCCTCTCTCCATTGTCTCCCAGTCGATTTTAAAATGATTTTATTTATTTTTAGGTGTTTACATGGCCACGCAGCTTCGTGGAGACCGTGTGTTTTCTGTTGTGGCCCCTCGGCTGTGGAACCAGTTGCCATAAGAGATTAGAGGCGGATTTTGTACCTGTTTTTAAATCACTCTTAAAAACCGCCTTTTTCACAGGTTTTTAACAAGTAACATGTACATTTCTTGTTGTTGAGTATCTTATTATTTTCTATGTTTTTTTTAGTAGTTGCATTGTGTTTGTATTGTGTATTGTCTTGTACTGCAATTGTCCTTGTCAGCTGTAAAGGTTTAAAGTGCTTTGTAGTTGGTACGGTATGATTTAGTCCTGATTTGGTCCTGGTTTAGTCCTTGTTTAAATTAACCATAATCCTGTTGAACAAATTTGTTCCGTCCTGCTCCTGTCTGTGCTCCAGATTGTGTTTTTACATTAAAGCTTTATGACTGACTGTATTTATCTTCGACTCTTCATGTTTGTAAATGACTTTTTTACTGTTGTTTTGTTTTTTCAGGAGGAACGAGGGACCTGGGCTCAGCTCTGACCAAAATGTGTTTGCGACATCGCAGCATCGAGACCAGACTCAGACACCTGTCCATGTACGCACCTGTCACACACTGAACGCACCTGTCACACATCATACGCACCTGTCACACACCAAACGCACCTGTCACACACCGAATGCACCTGTCACACATCATACGCACCTGTCACACACCGAACACACACGTCACACATCATATGCACCTGTCACACACCGAACGCACCTGTCACACATCATATGCACCTGTCACACACCGAACGCACCTGTCACACATCATACGCACCTGTCACACATCATATGCACCTGTCACACACCGAACGCACCTGTCACACATCATACGCACCTGTCACACATACGCACCTGTCACACATCATACGCACCTGTCACACATCATACGCACCTGTCACACATCATATGCACCTGTCACACACCGAACGCACCTGTCACACATCATACGCACCTGTCACACATACGCACCTGTCACACATCATACGCACCTGTCACACATCATACGCACCTACAGAGACCATGATCCTTTGCTCTGTTTCTGTGCAGACTACAGAAGAAATAACTGTTATTAATTATGACAGAACCAAGGTCTGCTGAAGGAGTAAAAAAAAAAAACATATTCCCAGGAGATTTGAATACTGTTTATTCCCTTCACTTGACATGCACCTGTCCAGATCTGTCAATTTTAGCAATCTCTCCTGAGCCCTATTCAAACTCTCCTTACTGTTAGCAGTACAAGTCTGTACAAGGCTCCGCCCACAAACCTACGTCACCCATGCTCCCACACGACAGTTCTCCATAACTATACAAAAACATGATACAAACCTGTACACAGCAACTTGACAAACCTGATGTGATGCGTAAGAGTTGCATTAGCAGGATGCATGCTGATGGTCGTGCGTTGCGACACAGAGAGTCTGTGTTGCCTTGAACCTTCTCCACAGAGCGTCTGCGTCGACAGACGTGCACCGACGCAGACAGCAGGGAGAAGCGACCATAGACTTTATAAAACAAGTGGACTAAGTGAATGTGACATCACAGGGTTCAGCGCCGCTCAGATGAGGCTCGTGATGCTCACGGTTACCAGAGTCATTCTGGAGCCAGGCTCTTTTATGAATAAGATTTTTTGGACAGATAAAATAGTGAAAAAAAAATTCAGGATCATGTGTCACGGGTTAATATGAACATTTTAAGACCAAAATGACGAGGCTCACAGCAGCAGGTACAGAGAGAGGAGCCACAAGATCCTAATGCAGGGGTGTCCAAACTTTTTTCATCAAACGCCACAAATCTAAACACAGATGAAGCAGAGGGCTGATCGAGGGTCACAGACTGGTGCTCAGTACAGTGACTAATTGAAATATATGCATGTTTAAACATGCTAAGATCCTTAAAACCCTTAAAACCACACACTAAATATTAAATATTAGCTTTATCAAGGCAGATTTTAAAAAAACTTGCAGTAAAAAGTAAATTTTTAATTCATGCAAGGTAATTTGGACAAATTTGACCCACGCATTTGACCCACGGGCCATAGTTTGGACATGCCTGGCCTAATGTAAGTCAGTTGGAGCCAGAGTCAGAAGATCCTCCTGGAGCACTTCCTGTTTGGCACGTGGCAGCTAGCACGTGAGCTCTGTCCACTCATATATACAGTCTATGGAAGCAACACAGACGATAAAGGCTGTGATTGCTCCTCTCTACCACTGCTCTACAGACAGACGTTTCCTTTTTATTTTCTTTACACGAACACCAGTTTTAAATCATCGCCTCCTAGTGTTGTGATGGTGAATTACTTTGCAGTGCATAGACTTCGACACAGATCTATAATTCAAAAACAAAGGCAACAAGGCGACGGTGACAGTGTGTGTTGAGTCACAGAAACACAGAACTATAAAACGGCCTTTGTGTTGTGATGTCACTCTGTAGGGGGAGTGACTTAGTGCTGAGAGCAAAGGGAAGACTCAAAAATGAAAATGAAATTTATAAAACATGTTAACATGTTGTTTTGGGTGAATATAGCATGTTTTAAACTATCAAAGGTAACAGTGATCTACATTTGTGATGTGTTATAATATAAGTTTTTATGAGACCAAACCAAATGAACTTGAGTGTAAAACTTCTTGGTGCAGGGTGTTTGTGGACTGTCTCATAAACCCTCTTCAGGAGCAGATGGAGGACTGGAGGAGAACCACCAACTCCCTGGACAAGGACCATGCCAAAGGTAGTCCTGGTTCAGTCCTGGTTCAGACCTGGTTTAGTTCTGGTTTAGTCCTGATTTAATTTTAGTTTAGATCTATCTAGACCTGGTTTAGTCCTAGTTTAGTCCCAGTTTATACCTGGTTATTTCTTGTTCAGACCTGGTTCTAATGCTGGTTTCTCTCTTGTTTCCCCAGAGTATAAAAAGGCTCGTCAGGAGATAAAGAAGCGTTCTTCAGACACTCTCAAACTGCAGAAAAAAGCAAAGAAAGGTTCAAACTTTCCTCACATTATCTACACACAACAGGAGTCTAACCTGCACCCTCCTCGTGACAGGGAGGACAACCTCTCTGCCATAGCAGCACACTCCTCTCAGAGAGTTCAGGAGTCCAACCATAGTCTATATACATGAGCGTGATTCAGGTCCATTGACTCTGGTTCCAGTTCAGTTTCTATTGAAAAAACTTGGCCCCTGTCTCTGTAACTGCTGCTGTCAGGCTCCTCAGTTGGTCTTACAGTGGCGGTTTTAACCCAAGTCTCGTGAACCCCAGGTGCATGTAGACTGGGTTTTTTCACTGTTTTGTCCATAAATAAAAATATGAACATTATTAGCATTTAAGTAACATTTTCACTGAGGTCGCATTCACTGGTTACATGCTGCTATTTCGACATGCGATTCAAAACGTTTATTGTCAAATTTCCATATGAACATATGAAAAAATGAAATTATGTTCTCACTCTCAAATTCCAAATTAAATAATAATAATTTAAAAAAAAAACATTGACGTCTAATTGTCGGAGTAGCTGCATTTTTTTAGCATCCCACTACTTCGACATTTTTTTTTCATTGTTGGAGTAGCGGCACGTTACTATTTTTCAAACAATCAATTTTTCCAACATGAATAATATGCTAGCCGCTTGTTCTATAGCTGTGGTAGTAAACAGTGCACAGTACATTGCAGACGCCAATGCAGGTTTTTGAATATTTTGTTAAGCGTAGAATTAACTAGCCATTAACTGCAAGTGGTGTGTAGCTGATCTGATCCTCAGTGTGTCACGGACTGGGTGTAGTCCAATGATTTATTACCCGTTTACATACTATGCTCCCCAGTCCTGAGGAGAATAATTTGTATTAAATTGACCTAGCCTAGTAAGCGAGAGATGCTATTGGGCAGGAAGGGCCTTTACCTTCAACAGCCTCACTCCTGATTGGCTCTTTGGTTACTATGATCGCAGCTGGAATTCCAAATATGGAACTGGGCTCCAAATTTGCCCCTGCCTGTCTTGATGAGCTTCATTTGACTGGAGCCATACGCTCTGGGTGATGTCACACTCACTTGATCCACTTCTTTATACAGTCTGTGAGTCTAACCCACAACCTCCTCATGACAGGGAGGAGACAGGATAACCACTCTGCCACAGTAACACAGGGAGGACATGCACACTCAGAGATGGGGAGTCTAACCCACAACCCTGTGGTGTGTTGCTCAGTGCGGGCAGAGCAGGCGGCCCTGGACAGTGCGCTTCAGCTGGTGTCGGGTCAGTACCAGGTTCTGGAGGAGGCTGAGACCTGCGCCGTGAGGAGAGCCCTGGTGGAGGAGAGGGGGAGGTTCTGCTGCCTCGTGTCCATGCTCCGACCCATCATGGTACGGCCTAGAGATAGACCGCCTTTAGTCCTGGTTTAGTCCTGAGTTAGTCCAGGGTTAGTCCACTTGGTTTAGAGAAGGTTTGACCTGTGTCACACTCTACTGACTCGTATTGGTGCATTAAAAATTCTGGTGTGTTTCAGGATGAGGAGGTGTCTTTACTGGGAGAAATGTCTCACCTCCAGAGTCTGAGTGAAGACCTCAGGACCCTGAGCATGGACCCCCACAAACTGCCCCCCTCCAGTGAGCAGGTAACACCCTAAAGCAGGAGCTATACAAAGCAACTACAGTCTCAAAGCAAGCACTGCAAAGAACTCTCCCTCTTTTACCCTTTGACTTTACTACTAATAAAGCCTTGCACTTGTAAAACACCACACTGTTGTTATTCTGACCCCAAACAGCTTCAGATCTTCTATGAGCTGGATCTCTCTGCTCATTTCCTCTCACTCTCTGGCACTTACATATCTCTGTTTCTTAGTGTCTAGGCCTGTCACAATAGAACATTTTGAAGAACGATATATTGCTACAGTTAAATACTGCAATAAATGATCATATTAAAACTACTTGATGCCACAAAGCAGGAGAATCCCAGTGAACCGGTTTTAAATAGACAGTATCATTAAAAGGCCTGAACTGCAACAAATAAAAAAGAAAATGAAACAATTATTCCATAGAAGCTGCATCATTTTCCCAAGGACTAAACCAGGACTAAACCAGGACTAAACCAGGACTAAACCAGGACTAAACCAGGACTAAACCAGGTCTAAACCAGGTCTAAACCAGGTCTAAACCAGGACTCTGTTTGTCTCTGGTCCAGGTGCTCACAGACCTGAAGTCCTCAGACTGCTCCTGGTCCTTTCAGAGTCCACCTTCATCTCCAGGCTCCACCTCCAGGAAGTCCAGCATGTCCAGGTCTGTTTCCATGGAGACACTTCCTCCATCCAGGACAGAACCAAGACTAAACTAAGACTTAACCAGGACTAAACCAGGTGTAACCCTGGTCTAAACCTGGTCTGAAGCTGGTCTAACTCAGGTCTTTTCTTCCTGTAGCTCTGTGAACAGTGTGAGCAGTGGAGACTCGCGCTCTTCTGGCTCTCCTCACTTCCGGTTCAGATCTGGTTCTGGTCCGGTCCAGAGCGGCTCGGTCCGGCTCTCCTCCGTCTCATCCCATGACTCTGGGTTCAACTCGCAGGACTACAGCTCCCGAAGCCCCACGGCCCTGGTATGTCCCTGCACTTGATCCTGTATGTATCATTCACTTTGCTGTGCCTTTGTTAACATTATTAATAGTTTGTACAATCATAAACAAAAGAAAAAAATAAAAATAAAAAACTGTCATCTTTAAAAAAAAAAGAAGATCAAAACTAAGAAATGAAGTGATTGTATTTCTGTTAGAGGGGTGAGTGTTTGGAACATCCTGAGTGATGATATAAAAAAAAAAAAAAGTCTAATACTGTAGAAACAGTAAAAAAACAAAAACAGTATAAAGCATTATATTTTGAAAGATATAGAGCTCTGGAATGAATAAATTATGCATTAAATTTATTTTATTTATATAGCGCTTTTCTAAACACATAAAAATGCTGCATAAATAATACAATTAAAAAGAGTATCCTACACTGTGCACAAAGTTCAAAATTATACATTTACAATGGGAATAGGAATATAATTTAGCAGATTTTAGTTATTCAGCACAATACATACAGTCTAATTCACAAGCTCCTCATAGCCTCACAGCTGAAAGTTGGAAATCTTGATCAACGTACATAAAAACAATAAATGTGTCAAAGGCATTTGAGTTAAAACATGTGGTAGTAGTCTAATCACAGTTGATGCATGTGAGAAGTGAGAAGTGTTTGGATCGATGGTCTCCAAACTTTTTCCTCTGGTGAGCTACTTTTACCAAACAAAAATGCCAGAGGCTGCTCATTTTAGTGGCTGCATGAAACAGATGATTATAAGAAAGAGGGCGAGCGTTTGGTTACAGTTAGACACCAATAAAACATAAACCATTGTCCATTTATTAGTTAGTATTAAAGGCTTCAGAATGATACAGTGGTAGTACAATGGTATAACTCAGAAATCCCCTGGAGAGCTATTTCAATGTTTGAGGTCCAAGATCTATTTACTCCAAGCAGATATTTACAAACTAACTGTTGAACCTGAATATTTGAGAGAATGACCATTTCTGACAATAATCTCACACTTTTCTGAGTTTTCATGTGGACGGTGTGGAGTCCCATATATGGTCACAGACCAAACGTGATCTTTTTTGCCCCTTCTTTTGACCCTCAGTTCTCCATGTGGGCACAGAGTGAGGCTGTTAAAACAATTTTTACTAGAGAAACTTTGGCATATTCTGATTAGTTTAAAGTTACTTCAGCCTGAACCTTTTCGGTCATGATCCATGGGGTTGTAGTCTATGTTTTGTTTTGTTTTATTTTGTAGTGCTGCAACATGACCAAATAAACTACTAAACTAAACTTTATATCTCTTACCTTCAACAACCTCTCTCCTGATTGGCTCTTTGGTCTCCATCAGCTCGATTTGGAGCCAAACACTGTGGGGGTGGGACATCACCGTCACTTCATCAGTGTTGCCATAGTTACTTTGAAATAGTAATCTGACTACTGACTACTGATTACTTCTTTAAAAAGTAACAAGTAGTAAGTAAGTAGTTAAATTACTGACTACTTGCTTTTAACAGTAACTAAGTTAGATTACAAGTTACTTTATTAGTTACTTTCAGCTGCGGCTGATCCCCCACCTCCTTCTTGAAGACAGACAACACTTTGTCTCCAGCACAGAGTGAACAACCAACCTTTATGTTGCCATCCTTCGCTGAAATCAAATCAAAATAATGTTTGTATTTCCAGCTGTAAAAGTCGTCTCTCTCCCCTCCAGTGTTTACATCTGACTCATGCCGGAGCGGAGATGATGACATCATAGGAAACGTGTCACCAGAGACAATTTATACGATCTTTGGGATCACATAACCCACGTCACCAAAAAATTAAAATAAATAAATAAACTACGTCACCCTGAAATGCAAAAATAGTAACGCACACTGTATTAGATAAGTAACTTAAATCTGACTACTGGTTTGGAAATAGCACTGTGTCAGACTACAGTAACGCGTTATTAAGTATCTAAGCATCACTGCACTTCATCTACTTCATTATAGCGTCTGTGGGTAGATCGGCGCAATGACGTCTTAAATACAGAGATTAAAAATGACTCAAACATGAATCACTCCAAATCCAACTTCAGAGAGTCAGTGAGAAGAAACTTCTAGAACATGGTCAAAGCTCTGAAAAGTGTCTGTATCTTCAGCCTTCAGTGAGCGCTCTGAAGAGGAGCCGCACTGCAGATCCCATCAACCACCACAGTGATGACATCACTGCGGGGGAGGAGCCTCGAGCCCAGCGCCATCTCACTGTCCAGACCAAGGAGCACAGGGACCCCAGGGAGGAGCTGGTCCAGGCTCTGGCCCGAGGACTAAGCCTGGACTCTAAATTGTCTTACAGGGACTCAGCCTACAGCAGCCAGACCCACACCCCCTCCTGCTCTGAAGACCAGACAGGTACTGAACCAGGACTAAACCAGGACTAAACCAGGTTTGAATCAGGAGTGACCCAGGACTGGACAAAGACTAAACTGTCACGGGTTCGTCCGAAATAAATGTAAAAATTATGGCTCAGTCAAAAAACTTCACTTAAGTGGGTTTTTATTCGCACCACAGCTCCAAGTGCAGAGTGAAATATTTACAGTGACAAAAAAAAAAATGAGGTGGTCGACAGAAGTATTTACAAACATATGTACACTAATCACTTACAGTTGCAGCACCCACGTAGTCAGGCCAAATACCAACTCCCAAATGACTGGAGCTCCCTCCTTTTATACCCCCTTAGCCCCTCCCCCCGGGCTAACCAATTAACGAAAATGGGGTTTTAAGGAATTAACATAAGCAAAATGGTATTGAGGAACACAAATCAACTTGGAAATAAACATAATAAAAATAACTTAAAGAACCCCTCATAAGGTTAACATAAGTTTCATTAAACAACTTCAAAAACCCACAAATGACCCCAAATAGACCACAATGGTCGAGTCCACGATCACATGTCCCCCTTGAGCGCGCCACTATGCGCTATTTAAAGCACAACCAGGAAGTGCCTCGGTTTGGCCCTAAACTCAAGAACGGCGCGGAGGCTGCTGCAGGTAGGAAAGCAGCGTCGGTGTCGAGTGTGCACCTCGAACGCACGAGCCGGGAAACCGTTCAGATGTTGGGGGAAAACAGGACCGCGAGACACACGAGCTTCCTGCATAAACCAGTCTATCGGAGCTTAGCTCCGCAAAACGGGGAGGGAAGGAAGCGTCGTGCTCTTTGGCCAGATGCAGACGCGCCAGTCGGGAGATGACGGGGCAACACAGGCGCTCCGTCACATAAACCAGGACTAAACCAGGACTGAAATAGAACTAAACCAGGTCTGAATCAGGAGTGAACCAGGACTGGACCAGGACTAAACCAGACTTGAATCAGATCTAAACCAGGACTAAACCGGGACTGAAATAGGACTGAACCAGACCTGAACCAGAACTTAACCAGGACTTAACCAAGACTAAACCAGGACTGTATTTTCTTTCTCTCCAGGCTCAGATGGAGATAACTTCTCTGTAAGTTCTGAAGCCGACCCTCAGACTCCGGATCAGGAAAAGTTTGGTTTTCCTCGGAATTCCGACCAGTCCCTGTCGTACCGGAGACTGTACCAGACCAAGTGCACCTCCTCTGCTCCAACACCAGGGGTCGCCACCATCCGCCGGGCTCCCTCCTCCAAACCTAGCCTCCGAAGGCCCTCTCTGGGTCTGAACCTGGGACTAAACCCTGGTCCCGTCAGACCCCCCATGATCCCGGTCAAAACCCCCACGGTCCCGGAGGCGAGGGGAGGTCCAGAGCCGCCCAGCCCGCCTCCGCAGCCCTCCGCTCGGGTAGAGGCGGAGCGACGGGCCCCTGTGCTGCCGGAGCTCCTGGAGGAAACAGAGACGGAGGATTACCTGGTCCTGATCCGAAGAGGAGTCAAACTGAAGAGAAACCGCGACGTGAGGGACCGGTCAGCGCCGTTCATTCACTGACCGCAGGAAGTCTGACATGTAAACGGTTTAAATGTGCTTAGGACGGAATATTCGGAGCAAGTGGCAGTGAGAAATTAGTCGGGAAAACTAAATTTGACTATTGGTTAAAATAAGATGTTGCTCTGTTATGAGGAAATTCTCAGCCAAAAAACGTCAAATAGAATTGAATGATTGATGCAAATTTGGAGACATCCAAATATAAAATATTATCACCAAGTTAAACTAAACCACCTGGGCTTAGTTTTTGGGTTACATGTGGGAGTCACAGTCTCCACCAGAAGCCCTGATGAAGCGGCCTGGTGGGCAGCCAAACATCCACTGGTACAAAGTTAAGTCCGTTTGAAGGGAAGGAAACAGAAAACCACATGTAACGCATTAAAAGATGTTCGGACAATCAGAGGCTACGTTCAGACTGCAGGGGTTAATGCTCAGTTCAGATTTTTTGTGAAATCCGATTATTTGTGAGATCATTCACATTTCCATTTAAATGTGACTTGTATGTGATCTCCAGAGTGAACTTTAAACGCCCCAAAAGTGTCTCACATGTGCACTGGAGGACACGACCACGTCACACACAGCGAGCGTGCTCTGTGTTTATGGAAGTCGCCTAAACTCTGAGTTTGTCTCCCAAAATCCGGTCCCGTTTTCAGTAAAATGGACAGGTGACGTGTCCACGGCCGCTTCATTTGTTTGAGTCTTTAGCCTCCTTGTATTTGGCTCGCAGGCTCTTTATTTTTTGTTGACATTGGAGTCGGTCACTTCTTTTCAAAAAACGCCCGGTTCAGATAAGACCCCTCCAATTTAACCTGAAGACAGTGATCCCCCCTAAATATGAATGGACTCACTAACCTCGCTTTCCCACTTTTGACGAGACTCTGAGCCTGACGTGTAGATGGATGAATGTGACCTGGTCGTTCAGACTGAAGTCACATGTCAAAGATCAGATATGTATCAGTTTCAGGAGCACATATCCAAGTGTCCTGAGTCACATTTGAAAAAATCGGATCTGTGTGGTTCAGACTGTCATTAAAAGATCAGATACAGGAACATAGGGGCCAAAAAATCTGATTTGAGTCATTTCAGGCTGCAGTGTGAATGGAGCCAAAATGTGGTTCTGATCTTAAGTATTGATCTTTGAAAGTGAAATGTCAAAAGCATTGAGTCTGTAGTTAATCTTTTTGAGTATATTTAAATGTAAGGAGTTGTCTGGTGGAGGGTCTGCCAGCCGCTGTCAGTGCCATGAGAATGTTACTGGTGGGTTTCAGATTCTAGAATGTGATCATGTCTTACTCCCAGATGTAGTCAGAGACAGATTACTCTATAGATTACTTTGTACTCTAATAAGTTATGTCCACATGGTCAGTTCATAAATGTTGTACCTGATCATTGTAAGAGCGACTAGAGAGCTCACTATATCTGAACAAGATTAGTTTTAGCTGCCCCCATCTGTATTCCATGTTATTGGCCTGTAACTGTTATCATGTCATCTGAAACACAGCGAATGCTTTGCCTGGAATGTTCCACAGTGTGGCATTAAACTGATAGATCTATTGATTCAATCACAGGTGTTTTATTGCTACAAATACTTGATGTATTCTTGGTTTGGTGGAGTTGTTGCTGCTTTTGTGCCATATTGTGGAACATTTCAGGCAAAACTCATATCTCCATGGAGAATAGAAGGTTCCATCTCTCCACCAGAAAAGTTACATAGTGTTCCTTTAATATGGAATTTTAGAAACAACAATGAAAAGTCCAGATTAGCAATTTGAACAAAAATCTGGATTAGTTCTGATTTCAACTGTACATTTTGGTCAGTCAAATGTTCTGTTCTGCTAAACTGCTCCCCTGGTGTAAAATGAACTAACACTCCTCTGCGTTTTTAAAGTCACCCCTGAATACAGCAGGATATAGAGGCTTTAAAATAGTTTATCTTTAAGGTTTAGATCCTGCAGGCGGCACTGTTGCAGAATCATGTAAATAGAACATTTAAGTGAGATCGAAAAGTATCGAAAATAACAATATTAAAGATGGATTTTTATGAGAATTTAAACCAACTAAAAGATTTACGTTAATATTTAAGAATGTGTTGTTTAAAACCACACAGTTACAGAGTGCTCTCACAGTGCCAGATTTTATATGCCTTTGATTTCACTTTGTTTTTTATCTAAATAAAGTATGAAATTAAAATAAAAAGTTATAAATGTACAAAAGCATTTAACTTAAAGAGGAGGTATTATGCAAAATGGACTTTTTGGAGCTTTTTACCATGATACAAAGTTGTTCCCTCATCAGAAACCCACCTGAAGAGCTTTTAGAGTCTTCCATGCGTGTTTGACTAATCTAGTGATCTCTCCCAGAGCCCTCCTCAAACCCTCCTTATGGTCACCAGTACGGGCCTTTACAAGGCTCCACCCACAAGCCTACTTCCCCCATGCTCCCACCCGACAAATCTACACAAATGTACAACAACTGAACACAGCAACTACACAAACTTGATGTGATGTGCAGGAGTTTCAGGACACACACTGACTGTGTTGTGATAGTGCTCTGAAGGAGGTGACGTCCCTGTTTACCCGGGACAGTCCCAGTTTTGAGCCTGTGTCCTCTGTCCCAGCAGATTTATACAAACCACTGATTTGTCCCAGTTTTATACAAGAAATGTCCCAAGAGTCCCTATTTTTGACCAGTCTGATCCCTGCCAACAGTAAAGAGACACATGTCATTTGTTTCAGTAAAATGCAGAAAAACTGCTTAAAAATGACCAAAACACACATAAATGTGACTATACTGACTCACATGTTCATCATGAATGGGCCAAGTGCAGAACAGTTTTCATTAATTACGCACTTGTTGTACTTCTTGTAACAATAACCAAAATATCATGATATTGTGTTGTCGAAAGTCTCACAATAACAGTGGACAAAAAAAGTGTCCTATCTACAACTATACCAGCCTCTCCAAAATATCACAATAAAAATGAAACCATGATAATATCATACCGAGAACTTTGGATATCATTACATCCCTGCAGAACAGCCCAAACCAGGGATGTCCCAGTTTTTGTTTTTGAAATAACGGTCACTCTAGGGCCCCGTTTACACGTACACAGGTGTTTTTAAAACTGAGACATTTCCCTTCATTTGTTCTCATCTTTTACACCGAAATGGTAAATGTGCCTCTGAAAACTCGAGCTAGAGTGGAAATTCTGGAAAACTCTGGCGTTTACATGTAAAGTGAGATTATTGGAGTTTTAGGAGTTGACGCGCCAAAAGTACGACCAGTGTTTCCCTTTTGCTCTGATGATGATGAGGATGATGAGGATGAGGATGATGAGGATGATAAAGCATCAGTGGCAATTCTTCTGGTGAAACTCTTTTCATGTGTTTCATTTGCACACACAGCTGATGTTTCATATCCATGACCCAAGACCAATGAGGCTCAGAGTTCAGTGATGTTGCCACTTCTTTAACAGATCTGTGGAGAGGCGAGTCCGCTCATTTATACACCTTTTTCAAGGCATTTTTTAGTCAAATTTACAAGTGTAATGAAATAAAAGCTACAGGTTTGAATCTAATCCCGGCGCCGCCCAGAGGCTCGGTGTTGTTCTGACGGTGCTCGATGGAGGATTTATGTGGGTCGATGTAAACCAAAACTTTTTTGAAAATGATGCTTTGTGCACAATGTTATTTTGGAAAACAGAGGGAGGGAAATATTTGTTTCTCATCATACCCGGCATGTGTAAACACAGCCTCGCTTTGAAAGGAACATGGGTAGAGTGACCAGATTTTCATAAAACTGTGAAACAAATGCAATTAATGAAAACTGTTCTGCACTCGGCCCATTCATGACAAACATGAGTCTGTATAGTCACATTTTCTTTGTGCTGGAAAACATTTTCCATGACTTTTTCATGAGCTTAAGTGAATTTTCCATGACTTTACAGCACCTACATGTGTAGAACTGATCAGACTTTTAGAGCCAAATATGAAATGTGAACTCTTTCCACTCACCTTCTGGTTTGAGATTATAGTTTTTAACATTCTAAATCCTGTCAGTGCATTTACTGTTGTCTCTTTTAAACCAAAGGTGCAGACGTTCTGAAATAATCAGAAACAATCAGTTTAATGAGAAATGAACAGAACACTGTAAAAGAGAGACTAAAATTCCATGACTGAAAAATAACATGTTTAACTTCCATGTCTTTTCAAGGATTTCCATGACCGTGGGAACATTCAGACATGACAAAGCGTTCAGGTGAATAAACAACAGTGACGGTAAAACGAGGAGCTGGTGCAGCCTGAGACAGAACTGACTCTAGTCTCCTGCAGCTACACAATATAAAGTCATGATGAGAGCAGATTCAACAATTCTCATCTAAACTCCACATGATCTGTTCTTCTGACGGTGTCAGCAAGAACGCACAAACCACACCAAAGTCTACAAGAGCCAGAGCACCACAAAAGCTCTTTGAATCACACAGTGTACAGAGCTCCAATAACACCTGGAGTGTTAAACCTCCAGACACTCTGTCCACGTGAACATAAAGATCTGAACAAAACCAGCCAGTTTACCAAAAAGACTCATTCAAGCTGAACCAGGTCTAAACCAGAACTAAACCAGAACTAAACCAGGACTGAATCAGGACTAAACCAGAATTAAACCAGAATTAAACCAGATCTAAACCAGGTCTAAACCAGGACTAAACCAGGACTAAACCAGGTCTAAACCAGGACTAAACCAGGACTAAACCAGGACTAAACCAGGTCTAAACCAGGACTAAACCAGATCTAAACCAGGACTAAGATTGTCAAAATCGAATGTTTTGGGAAAAAGCCTCTGGTTCCTAAAGGTTAACCACTCTGCCGCTGAGCGTGTCTTGCTCGTCGGCTGCGAGTGCATCTCCCAATGTTTGTGAACAGGACATTTTCTCAAAATAAAACATTAATTCAAGTCATTTTCATGTGTATTCAGCATTTAAAGTGATTATCCAGAGTCATTTGAGTGTCAGATCCTTTGTGTCATCACGTCTGTGTCACCTCTGTGTGATCTGGAGGGAACAGACCGAGTGGAACTGATGACCAAACTGGGAGAAAATGGGATAAAATCTGATTGATGATAAAGGAAATGTGGGAATATAGGGCCTAATTAAAAACAAAAACCTTAGAAATGAGGGAACATAAGGCTGAGGGAACACGCTCTGTTCTGTGTTGGAGGAATAACTCATCCAAGTGTAATTCCTCCTCTTTAAACAATGACCCAGTGCCAATCTAACCCCACTTAACCCGCCTCCAGGATCCTTTAGCACACTTCTACTTGAATTCTTTTGATATTGTTTCGCTGGATAAACCGTGACGCTTTTGTAGGCTTTTTAAATGAATGTTAAGCTACAGAAACAACACTGAACCTGGTGTTAGTGTCGAGTAAAACACTGAAATGGTCCAGAATAAACGTCAGGACTTGAAGCTTTTGAATGTAACAGCAGAACAAATGTGTGTGTGGTGTTTCCAGCGTTTGGGCTGATCACTGTTACATCGTCTTCGCCTCGTCGTTAAAGATCAAATGTGTGAACGTCCCAGTGTTGGATTTTTATTGATCTATTTGTTTTTATTTGTTCATTTGGTTGTAAAATGTGCTCAGCTGCTCATGTCACCCGGGCTCACGCTAAAAACCAACTACATGAACTGTTCAGAACCTCCACACGGTCACAGGTTCCATTCCCACATCTAGGGGAGTGTTGTGGCTTTGTTGTGTCCTTAGGCAAGACACTTCAGCTCCCGTGCCTGTAGTGTGAAGCAGAGCAGGCTCACACTTGTCCGCCGCTGAAGCCGAGACTCTGGAGGACGGCTCTCGTTCCAGGTTAGAGGACGCTGCTCCTGATCAAAACCACCATGATTTGACCTCCACAGTGACCTCTGACCCCGCAGCGGAGCAGATCCCTGTGACCTCTGACCTAACAACCCCCGCCTTCTCTCTCTCCCTCTCTCCTCTCCTCCTCTTCTCTTCTCTCTCCTCCTCTCCCCCTCTCCTCTCTCTCATCTCCTCTATCTCCTCTGTCTCATTCTCTTTCGCTCCTCTCCTCCTCTCTCCTTCTCTTTCTCTTTCCTCCTCTCTTCTCTTCCTCCTCTCCTCTCTCTCTCCTCCTCTATCTCCTGTCTCCTTCTCTTTCGTTCATTTCCCCCGTCTCTTTCCTCTCACTCTCTCTCCTCCTCCTCCTCTCTCTTCTTTCTCTCCTCCTCTCTCTCTTTTCTGTCTCCTCCTCTCCTCCTTCTTCTCTCCTCTCTCTCTCTCCTTATCCTCCTCCTCTCTCTCCCTCTGTCTCCTCCTCTCCTGCTTCTTCTCTTCTCTCTCTCTCTCCTTATCCTCCTCCTCTCTCTCCCTCTGTCTCCTCCTCTCCTGCTTCTTCTCTTCTCTCTCTCTCTCTCTCTCTCTCTCTCTCCTTGTCCTCTCCTCCTCCTCTCTCTCTTCTGTCTCCTCCCGTCCTTCTTCTCTCCTCTCCCCATCTCTCCCTCCTCTTCCTCTCTCTCTTCCCTCTGCCTCCTCCCCTTCTCCTCTCTCCTCCTCTTCCTCTCGCTCTCTCTCCTCCTCCTCTCTCTCTTCTGTCTCCTCTCCTCTTTCTCTCCTCTCCCCATCTCTCCCTCCCCTTTCTCTCTCTCCCCTCTTCCTCTCTCTCCTCCTCTCTCCTCTCTCTCTCTTCTCTGTAAATGTCTGTCCTGCAGCATGTGTCTCTTTATAACCTGTTTTTGTGCCAAACAAACTTGTTTTTACGACAGAACTTTGATTTCAAATGAAATGAAGACTTGATGTGTCTGTTACTTGGTGAAGCTGAAGCGCTTTTACGCAAATGACGCTTTTACCCTGAAATGCTCTACATGACTTCAAGCTCTGGTGTTACACAAACGGACTCTCGTGAGTTTAAAGACATGTTTGAATGTTGTTCCTCCTCAAAAACACACCTGGACTTGTGTTTGTTTCACTCACATGTTTGACTAACTCTGTCTACATTTCCAAAGCTCAGCAGTTTCAAGTTCATGTTTTTACCTGTAGTTCAGTCGAGATTGGTGATTCCAAGGGTGAAATGATCCAAATGATTCTTGTGAAGGTGTGTGGAGTTTAAAAACACAGTGGAGCACTTCCTGTATTACTAGGTTTGTTTGTGATGAGGAAACAACATTAACGCTTTAACCAGAACTGAGCAGAGATGAAGTCTCAAGTTTGTGTTTTGAGGACAGAAAAAAGTTGCCAAATTTTTCTAATGTTTTTGCGCCGCTCTGATTTGTGCTTTTGACTGTATTTCAGAGCCACAGGAATCCTGTCGTTCTTTTGGAATAAAACCTCTCAAAGCTTCGTGTGTGTCTGTGGTTCTTACACAGTTATACTTAAAGTTTAAGACCCCCACTTTACTCCTCCGTGAGTAAGATATGACACTGTCAAAGTATCAAAGTCAGACACACATGGATAACCAGTGTGATGTGGTGAGTGTGTCTCGTCTCTCTCACGTGTGTGTCTCTCATGTGTGTACTGTACTTCTGACCTCACACACTCTGCTTCAGCCCTCAGCAGCTCCACACTGTTCTCATGACTGGTTTGTTCCTGAACTCAGCTCTCCAGAGGCTCCTCATGCAAATGTCTGACACTTTGCATGAACAGCTGCAGGGTCCACTGGGACAGCTGCAGGGTCCACTGGGATTTGCACAAAGACCTAAAGGAACAATTTATATTTTTATTTGTTAGTTTTATATGTTAACATTTTGGCATCTACACATTTATAATATGATAATGGATTTTAACTGAGATTTAAAATTAAAAAAAGGAACAGACAAAACAAGTGGACAGAGCCGAGTGCAGTTTTTTTTTTTTTCTCTGTGTTTTTATTGAAGTGAAGTGGAGCTGTAGCTGTAGAGGCGTGAGCTGACAGCAGAGGGCGCTCTGCAGGCTGATCCCAGTGACTGTGTCAGTGGTGGGAACACTGCAGTGTGCTCAGTGTGTGGGACACTGGACTCTGGGAGCCCTGGCTGGCCTCACAGCTCACAGCCACGCCCCCCTCCCTCCACTGCTGTGCGGGGAGCGTCAGGCTGCTGCTCCAGCTGTAGTGGCCGTCCTTTTGCGGCACCGCGGGGCTCCGGCTCTGCTCCCCGCCCGCACCGCCACCGGACACCTTCCAGGACACGCTCCAGTCTGACGGGAAGCCCTTGTTGGCCAGGCACACGAGGGTGGCCTTCCCCTGGGCCAGCTCCTCTCTGGAGGGGGGCAGCACCCAGAGGCTGGGCTCCACTCGGCCCACTGTGGACACACACACAACACACACTTACACACACTGAAGGGAACATTTTTCATCATATTTGATACAATATGTACATTTTGTTCCAAGGAATTATCCAGAAAAAGACAAAAGGTGGCTTTTTTTTCCCTTTTTAAAAAAAATAATAAAAAACACCTGCAACTGTGTAAATTATATTATGTTTAAATAGTTTTGTGGAACATTTCAGGCAAAGCAAAAACATTTTAGCAATTTTCAGATGGTGATCCTCACACCAGTAACACTTTGACTTTTTTATTTCCAAAAATTAAGGCAAAGCTACATCGAAACCTGTGAATTGTTCTAGAATAGTAATAAAACATTTCACAATAAAATCAACTTTTCACCTGAAATGAGTGAAAACAGAACTGAGAGACTCACTGAAGCTGAACAATGGAAGTTTCAGAGCTAAAGATACATTCTAGAAAATCTCCAGAGTTAAACGTAAAAAGAAAACTATATACACATGTTTTTCTTTTCAAACACTCACATTTTTTTTTTTTTTTCAATTATAAACAAAAACTTAAATGAAATTAAATGTAACCTTGAACCTTGAAATGACTGTGGGGATGATAAGAAGACACTGCTCACCCAGAACTCCAAACAGTATTTAGAATAAAACAGAAAACAATCAAATGATGTCAGGCTTCAGAAATAGAAACAGATGAATCACAAACTAAACCAAAGTGTCATTTAAAATGAACATAAAGAGATGACTTACAGTTGAGCTCCAGTCTGGTTCCTCCACCGAACGTGAGCCACAGTGATACAAACTCATGGAGTGGTCGTACAAAAACCTGCAGCCGCTCAGAGAACACCACAAAACCATTCAGCTGTACAGAGACTGATAAACAACTGACAAACAGCTCACATTTACACATTTAAACTGAAAAACACTGTTCAGAAGAAGATGACAATGTGCTTGCTGGGAAAAATGAACAACTCTAATTATTTTACAAAATTAAAATAAAGTCACAGCATAATCATGAGAATAGTTGATTAATATACTGTCAATTGATATGGTTCAAAATAATATGAATAATGTAAAGATCAAATCTAGACTAAACTAGAAAATAACTAGATTAAAACCTGTATTTAATTTTAAAATACAACAGTGAAAAAAACAAAAAAACAAAAAACACTTCCCTGGTCTTCCAAAAAACAATTTGAAAATGGAAGCAGTGTTGGTCTGATTGTGATGACACAGACCCTGCAGCTGTTCAGGTGCGCTCCATTTCTGTGTGGGAGATGTTATTTGTTTTGCCTCAAATGTTCCCAGTAAACATATCCATCTAGCATTTATTCTTTACAGGTGTTTTTCTTGCTCCAAAACACAGTAATTCATTCATTGTGTAGGGCGCCTCTCCACAGATCAGGGGCCTCATTTATAAAACTTGCTTACGCAAAAATCCTTGCGTAGTCGCTCTCTACGCCAACCGCGATATTTATAAAACTCGACTAAGGCGTGGCTCTTGGCTTAACTCTACGCCAACTCGGAACTTCCTGTAAGCTCTACGCAAAGTCTGGAGACACGGGGAAAAGCGACACTCGTGGAGAGAAGCAGAAGTGAACAGAGTTTGAGGAAGTGTTTGATCAGAAAATCCATGTATATAGAAGAATGACCTTCAGATTTGCGCATTTAAGTGTTTGGTTCACCAAAACACGGAGAAGGGCTGTTTATTCCACTCATTATTCTCCACAATATTATACATTTGAAACTCGTGCACGAGCGCGGCCACGTTCCCGGACCCGGTGTAGCGCAGAGTCTCCCACAGTCCACACCGCGACCATAGACTTCTATAGAAACACAGACTGTGACCAACACAGAGGACGAAATAATGACCCGACCTGTAAGAAAACTCTTCCCTTGGACACTGTAGGAGCCAGGCTTTGATTTAATGAACGCAACTTTAACACTTTTACTTTAGTCTTTATGCACCGAGCGCCAGAGTGACCCGAGTTTGCGGACAACACAAAGTCTACTGCCCGAACCTGACCCGAACCAAAATCTTTCCGACATTTTTGTGTAATGGGGAACTCTTGCACATGAGAGCTGCTCTCTGACTGTATGAAGAACAGAATAATGCCCGTGCCCGTCCCGACCCAGACCCACACTCACAGAGGTCAGACCCACACTCACAGGTGAGCAGTTTGGATGTTTCGTGTGGACTTTCATTGGCAGAATAACATCTGTATCTGATGTGTTTCGTGCTAAATCTGTGTCCTCGTATCCTCGTATCCGTCACTCGCTCCTTTCCCTCTCCAGGGGAGGGCATCTGAATCTCTCGCACGCGCTCATAATTTGACCATTCAGATCAGCGCGTGCACGTATCTACGTATATGTATATACACATATACATATATATATACAGGGCCAGTCCCCACACACAGACTTAAAAATATAGCGATAAAACTCTTGAAACAGCGAAAAAACACATGGTCTTTACTGCAAAGATGTGCTGCCTAAATATTATAAAATATGATTAAATGAACAGACGTTGTCACTTTTAGTTTTGTATTTATTTATTAATCCTTGTTTAATAAAGTCTTTAATAAAGTCTTTGTCGTGATCACGTGGTGCTGCGTGGAGCGTCCTCTTCCCTCTGTCCCACGTGTCTCGGTCAAACCCACTGCTCATGTTTAGGGAAATGCAACACGAATAGCACAAGGGATCATGAAAATTTGTGGGCTCAAGTAGATACTTAAACTTTAATATGCACATAAAAAAAGTACAAAAATGTATGTGCATGACAACATACCGGTAATACATAAATCAACAGTTCAATATGTGTTCAGTTAAAAATGTTACATTTTAATTGTCAACACTGCATTGTCATGTTAACTTGATACACAACAAGAGTTCAACATCTGTTCACGGTTTAAACCTGTACAACTATTTACATTGTTGTCTGAAACTGTCGGCTGCTTAGTTGATTTTTCTGCTGAAATACAAGTAATATTTGGTATACTGTGACCTTCTTTAATAAGTAATTCATTTCAGTTGTTTCTTTTTCTTTCATTCAGTGCTGTCATGGATTTAACTGAGGTTGCAAATTACATAACCCTGCACAAATAGTTACAATCTCATCGACACTTTGCAACCTACCAGAGAAAACATGACACAAAATGTTAAAACCTTTCAGTCTTCGTATTGCTCTCTCAACGTGAATTCTGACATTTGCTAAGCGACGGCCGGATGTCACCTCACGTTCAGACAGCTTCTTACGTCCACGTGTGAATGCAGGAAGAGCGAGACGCACTCCTGGAGGCAATAGATCCTGGATGGTGAATCCGTGATCTGCTAAGATCTCATCTCCAGGTATGAGGTGATGAAGAAAACCACAGTTCTTTGTGATGTATTTATCACTGGCCCTTCCACCAAAAAGTCTGGATACAAACATGACATAGCCATTGGGGGTATACAGTATAGGAGTTTGTATGTGTTATGATGTTTGTAATTGCTATAAGTTTGTGATCTTTTTCTTAAGTTCTTTGTGTTTGTACAAAGACCTCTGTACAGTCAGTAATGCATGTGGCTTTAGGATAATGTTTGTGAAATGTCTTGGGCCTGATTCTGTTCAGTGAATGCCTGGGCAGCCAAACAATTACCTTTTCCCTCATAAACCTGGCAAGGATTGGTCTCCAAAATGCAAATACTTTAGATGCCAAGGTTCTACTCACCCCAAACCGTTTCCCCAAGTCAGTAAACAATAAACCCAGACGCAATCTCATTAAAACAAGCAAAACTTGTTCATGGATGGCCAATCTGGTATTAAGAAGTGGTTGTGAGCAAAAAGTCAAAACGACGTGCAGAAGTTGCCAGAAACTGTCAGCGCATAAACCAGTAAAAAACACAAAGTCTTTCTCATTTAAATGTTGTGCTGACACTGACGGTGTAAGATCTGTTTGAGTGCCACAGTCCTTCATCGCCGGCTTGTTACTGTAGCTGAAACTGTAATTATGGTCGATGTGATCTGGCCACTGAATTCCAACATCACACGTCTGCAGAGGCATCTCTGTGACATCTGTTTCCATAGCTTCAGGTTCAGTTTCAGGTCCAGGTTCAGTACTTGAGTTCATGTGCAATGGCTGAAGACATCTTCTTTTGGGAGGAGGTCTAGCTGATGCAACCTAAAGGGGAAAAAAGAGAGCTGTGTATTAGTTAAACATGACAATGAAGCGTTAAATTAACAACATGCGATGTGGCAACATGGCTATGCAAGAGATCTACTTACACAACAATCATAACCCATGGACAAAACAGGATATGGATTTTCTGTTGTAGGTTGTCCATCAGGAAAATGTATCCCACACGCCTTAGAAGTATTGAAGATAAATAATTAGCAATGCATTGGTTATACGTGCTTCAAATAAGTGTGCACAAGACAGCACTTTAAATAGCACTCTGCACTCTTATTTAATGTCAAACATGCACAATTGCACTTTACCATCCTATTTATGATGTCTGAAGGGGGTTTATATAACTGCATGTAACTTTATATAACTTCTATATAACATAAAAGTAGATTACAGGTCATACAAAGCAGTAATGTCAGAGCTGAAATCATATTTGCACTTGAAAACGCTCAAGCCCAACGCACATGGCGAAACATTTTGGACAAACATGGAACAAAACAAGAAACAAACCATCAAACCATTTTGATTACACAGAACTAGGGGTGTAACGTACAAAAATTACGGTTCAGTCGGTACCTCGATTTTGAGGTCACAGTTCAGTTCATTTTCGGTACAGTATGGGAGCAAAATGCAAAACCATTTGCTTGTTGTTTATTTGTATGTTTATTAAATGAAAGATTTGTTTGAACATTATACAAACATGTGTTCTATGTTGGCTGAAAATGTTCCGTCGTGTGCCTTGGGCTTCAGCGACACGAAAGCCACAGCTTTGCTTTAGCTTGTGGCTAATGATCTCGCCAACAGCTCCCGCTGTTCCCTTGTATGTTCCAACCACTCCATGCAACCTGTGGCACACTGAATCAAAGCCAAACTTACCACACTATTCTTGTTTGGCTCGAAGCCTTGTCGGTTTATGTATTTCAGCCACTTCTGACGCAAATCTTGGTCCTTCACTCTCCCAGGCAATCTCTGCCTCCATCCGGCCGTAAACACGGACTATCAAGGTGCAACAGCGGCTTGGGAACTTCACACACGCTCTTGTTCCAGGCCTGTCATTTCACACTGTTGTTAAAACAGCCCAACACACAACAAGATCTTCCCGGCATTACTGAACACACGCACTTGAACAATATAGAAACTGAACTCTAGACGGACTTTGGCGAACATGTAAACAACTCCCGCTACGGCCTACACACTACTACTCCTGCTACTTCCTTAGCCGCACAGCACCGCAGGAATGGCGCCGCGGCTTCACTTCCGCTCTACTTCCGCGTTTTGCGGGATTTGTCTATAGAACGCGCCAAGACGCCAGCGTGCTTACGTCAGTGCGCACGTGCGTGCTGTTGTTATTTTTGTTGCTACGTGCATCTTTCAAACATTGCAATCTTTGCAAACTTTGGTCGAGACCAGAAAGTGCGCAATTAAACCTACTCTGAACTTTTCTACGGACACCAGCCTCATCTTTGGGATATTTCTACAAAGACAGCTTCTGACCGTCCCCTGATTCGGACTCCACGACTCTCGGGAGGAAAAAGCACAGGTTTGTGACATATTTGACTCGGTACAAATGTCAGTAACGCGCCTTACAAAGCTTTTTAAACCGGGATTAAAATGGCGGCTTTTTCGTTTTTCTTGATACAAATTCACTCAAATCAGCTGCAGAGAAACGCCGGAGGTGCACCCGCGTAGGTTTAGTCCTGGTTTAGTCCTGGTTTAGACCTGGTTTAGTCCTGGTTTAGACCTGGTTTTAGTCCTGGTTTAGACCTGGTTTAGACCTCCTGGTTTTAGACCTGGTTTAGTCCTGGTTAGTCCTGGTTTAGACCTGGTTTAGTCCTGGTTTAGACCTGGTTTAGACCTGGTTTAGTCCTGGTTTAGACCTGGTTTAGACCTGGTTTAGTCCTGGTTTAGACCTGGTTTAGTCCTAGTTTAGACCTGGTTTGGTTCTGGTTCCTGATTTAGTTTTGGTTCAGTCCATATATGGTACAAAAGTTGGGCATCTTGGCACAGTTCTTTTGGTGAGAGGAAGTGAAAAGTACTACAGTAGTCGTGTCATGTTTTACATTTTAAATGCAGTAATATTGTAATGTAACGAATTACAACAAGTTGTACATCCACATTACAGTTTTGAAGTCACTTGCGCAACAGTTTTTTTTCACCCACTGAAAATTCATAAAAGAAGCGTCATTTATAATCCAGTGAGATTCCTGAACATAGACAAAATCAGATTTAAACTGTTTGGCTAAAATAAATAAAACTTTGCATTTGGTGTTAGTTCACAAACCCCCATCACGGAGAAAGAAGATAGAAAGATTCCAGATTAAAGTAGTAACTCTAATGAACAGAGAGAAACAAAAGAGAATGCTCTAAGTTAAACCCTTAGACTCGCTCAAAGTACCTGCTGTCTGTATATGCATTTTTTTCTATTAGAGTCAAATCGAAAAATGTTTTAATAAGACTCTAAATCAGTCACTAACAACAGTCATATCTTCATAAGAGAATATAGTTGAACCTGAGAACACGAAGCACCAAACCAGACGTCCTCTTCTGTGGAACCCACGTTAATAGTCACTTTTTTGATTGAAGGAGACAGCTCCAAGCCACTGATGAATCCTCTTTCTATCTTTAAGTGGTGCGTCCTGTTGGTTCTGGTGTTTGACACAAATGTTTCTTCCCACAGGTCTGTGTGAGCCAAGACCCAATAGTGCTCCTGGCCCCCGGGCCTTCAGGCCCCCAGACCTCCAAACCTCCACATCTACAGATCTACAGATCTACAGACCTCCACATCTACACATCTACAGACCTCCACATCTACAGATCTACAGACCTCCACATCTACACACCTCCACATCTACACATCTACAGACCTCCACATCTACACATCTACAGATCTACAGACCTCCACATCTACACATCTACAGACCTCCACATCTACAGCACATCTTACTCTAAATCACAAACAGACACTAACACACATCCCCATAAACTCACGCACACACAAATTCACACAAACACACACTAACACCAGCACACTCACACAAACACACAAAGATTCACACACAAGCACACTCACACACCACTGCTCCTGCCACGCCTGCTGCTGCTCCTGCCGCTTCTGCTCCTGCCACGCCTGCTCCAACCGCACCCCTGCCCGCTTCTCCTACCGCGTCTCCGCCTGCCACTCCTGCCGCGTCTCCATCCACCGCTCCTGCCATGTCTCCGCCTGCCGCTCCTGCCGCGTCTCCATCCACCGCTCCTGCCATGTCTCCGCCTGCTGCTCCTGCCGCGCCCGCTGCTCCTATCGCGTCCCCGTTCGCCGCTCCTGCCACGCCTCCGCCCACTGGTCCTGCTGCGGCCCCCGCCCGCCGCTTCTTGCGCCCCCGCCGCTCCTGCCTCACGCCCACCACTCCTAGTGCGCCCACGCCCGCCTCTCCTGCCGCGCCTCCACCCGCTGCTCCTGCCCCGCCCGCCGCTTCTGCCACACCTGCTGCTCCCGCCACACCACCGGTGCTCCTGCCGCGCTCACGCCCGCGGTTCCTGCCACGCCCGCTGCTCCTATCGCGTCCCCGTCCGCGTCTCCTGCCGCGCCTCCGCCCGCCTCTCCTGCTGCGCCCACGCCCGCCTCTCCTGCCGCGCCTCCGCCCGCCGCTCCTGCTGCGCCCACATCCGCGTCTCCTGCCGCGCCTACACCCGCCGCTCCTGCTGCTCCCCCGCCCACCACTCCTGCCGCGCCCACGCCCGCCTCTCCTGCCGCGCTCACGCCCGCCTCTCCTGCCGTGCCCACGTCCGCGTCACCTGCCGCGCCCACGCCCGCCGCTCCTGACACGCCCACGCACGTCTCTCTTGCCGCGTCTCCATCCACCGCTCCTGCCATGCCTCCGCCCGCTGCTCCTATCGCGTCCCTGTCCGCCGCGCCTTCGCCCGCTGGTCCTGCTGTGGCCCCCGCCCGCCGCTTCTTGCGCGCCCGCCGCTCCTGCCTCACGCCAGCCACTTCTGCTGCGCCCACGTCCGCGTCTCCTGCCGCGCCTACACCCGCCGCTCCTGCTGCGCATACGCCCGCCTCTCCCGCCGCGTCTCCATCCAGTGTTCCTGCCACACCTGCAACTACTATTGCGTCCCCGTCCTCCGCTCCGCCGCCCGCGGGGCCTGCCGCGGCCCCCGCCCGCCGCTTAAGCCACGCCCGCCGCTCCTGCCACGCCCACTGCTCCTATCGCGTTCCCGTCCACCGCTCCTGCCATGTCCCTACCTGCTGCTCCTGCCGCGCCCACGTCCGCTGCTCCTGCCGCGTCTCCACCCGCCGCTCCTGCTGCGCCCCTGCCTGCTCCTTCTGGCCTGTCCTCTCCTCCTCCTCCTCCTCTTCCTCCTCTTCCTCCTCTTCCTCTTCCTATGCCCCGCTTCGCTTCTCTCGCCAGGCGCCCCAAGACCTCTACGCCTCCTCCTACTGTTTCCCTCTTTGCTGCACCTGCCATGCCCCCGCCTGCTGCACCTGCCATGCCCCCGCCTGCTGCACCTGCCATGCCCCCGCCTGCTGCACCTGCCATGCCCCCGCCTGCTGCACCTGCCATGCCCCCGCCTGCTGCTCCTCCTGTTTCTCTTCTTTCAGCTTGCAGATCTTTCTTGTCTTGGGTTTTGTCTTTTCTGAAGCGCTCGTCCTTCCTTCTCCCTCTGCTTTCTCTCTCTCTCTCGCTTCTCCTTTTCTCTCTCTCCTGCTTCTCTCTCTCCCTCCCTCTTCTCTCTCTCCCTCCCTCTTCTCTCTCTCCCCCTCACTCTCTCTTTTGCTTCCTTTCTCTTATCTCTCTCTTTCGCTCTCAGTCTTCTCTTTTTTTCTTTCTCTTTCTCTCTCCCTCCCCCTCTCTCTCTGTCTCTCTCTTCCTCTCTCTCTCTCCCTCTCTCTAATCTGCTGTCCCTCCCTCCCTCTCTCTCTCTCTCTCTCTCTCTCTAATCTGCTGTCCCTCCCTCCCTCTCTCTCTCTCTCTCTCTCTAACTCCCTCTCTCTCCCTCCCTGTCTCTCTCGCCCCTTCTCTCTCCTCTCCCTCCCTCCCTCTCTCTCTCCTCTCTCTCTCTCTCTCTCTCTCTCCTCCCTCTCTCTCTCCTTCTCTCTCTCTCTCCCTGTCTCTCTCTTTCTCCCTGTCTCTCTCTCTCTCTCTCTCTCCCTCCCTCTCTCTCTCCCTGTCCTCTCTCTTTCTCCCTCTCTCTCTCCCTCCCTCTCTTCCGTTCTTTTTCCTCCCATCGTGTCCTGTCCTGTCGTCTCCTTTTTCCTCCCCTCCTTGAGTCGTCACCTTACCGTGGTGGAGGGGTTTCGGAGCCTGAATGATCCCAGGAGCCGTGCTGCTGGGGGACGGCTCACACCAAGAACGGCTCTCTCCCTGTTCTCCTCCTCCTCTCCTGTTCTCCTCTTCTTCTCTCCTGTTCTCCTCCTCTTCTCTCCTGTTCTCCTCTCTTCTTCTCTCCTGTTCTCCTCTTCTTCTCTCCTGTTCTCCTCTTCTTCTCTCCTGTTCTCCTCTTCTTCTCTCCTGTTCTCCTCTCTTCTCTCCTGTTCTCCTCTTCTTCTCTCCTGTTCTCCTCTTCTTCTCTCCTGTTCTCTTCCTCCTCTCCTGGACGTGTGGATCTTCAGTTCTTCTGTGTGTAAAAATGAACCTGTAACAGAACTTTTCTCATGTACAGAACCAGAAAGGACAAAATCCGGGTGGACGTGTTTGCAGTTTGACAGAGAGCGAGAGACGAGGGGATGAAGAGAGAGAGAGACCTCCTGGTGAAGACCTCTGCCACAAATCAAATCTTCAGCTGGACTTGGTGATTTTTATTCTTTATTCATTTCATGTTTCTATTTTTCACTCGTCTACACTGGACTTTTCAACACGTGGACAGTCTGAGATCAGCTTCATAGTCATTGATTTTCATGCTAAGAATCACGTGGACAATGTGTTTTAGAACTGGGATTGTGTTCACTACGTCCACATTTGAAGCGTCTGGACGAGAAAAGAGCACAGGTGAAATTCAACTGAACACGACACAAATCTGATATCAACACTTCCATTTCTTCCATTCCACTTCTGTCAGTGTGTTTACATCAAGTCCACTGGAATCCAACTTTATACACAGACTTAATACTGTGAGCTGTTTAGACGACTTTAAACAGGACTAAACCAGGTCTAAACCAGGACTAAACCAGGACTAAACCAGGACTAAACCAGGTCTAAACCAGGTCTAAACCAGGTCTAAACCAGGACTAAACCAGGTCTATACCAGGTCTATACCAGGTCTAAACCAGGTCTAAACCAGGACTAAACCAGGTCTAAACCAGGTCTAAACCAGGTCTAAACCAGGACTAAACCAGGACTAAACCAGGTCTAAACAAGGACTAAACCAGGACTAAACGAGGTCTGAACCAGGTCTAAACCAGGTCTGAACCAGGTCTAAACCAGGACTAAACCAGGACTAAACCATCTCCTACCATCAGCTTTAGAAAAGTCCCAACGCTCAGTGATAGACTAGTGAACAGTGTATCTCCCTCCATCCAAACAAAAGACATGGTTGGACACTCAGGCTGCTCCAGGTGGTAACTGTACCTGTTGTGAACACTACTACACACTAACTCGATCATGGACATTAACTCAGGTCAAAGTTTGGATATTAGGATATTCATTCATTGTAACACCACTTATGTAGTGTACAGACTTGAATGTCCATGTGGTCGTTTTTACACAGGCCGAACAAAACCAAGCTGAAAAACAGACTGAACACAAACAGGCTGTAAGGACCTGGAACCCCCTGTATCCTCTGGCCGTGCATTACAAAGAAGCCAACCATGGCAGCTGGAAAAGCCTCAAAATCTGTGCTATTGAACATATTAAAGAAACAATAAGAGGAGGAGATAGACTGAAAAAATGATTACAGAGAGAGTCCTATAACAGTGAAAAAGACTCGTACAAAAACCTCCCTCAGAGCAGTGCTCTGTGAGAAGAATCTACACATGAAAGCATCCAGCTTCATTTACTTTAATAATAATAATAATAATAATAGTTTTATTATTATTATTATTATTATTATTATTATTATTATTATTAGTAGTAGTAGTAGTAGTAGTAGTAGTAGTAGTAGTAGTAGTAGTAGTAGTAGTAGCAGTAGTATTTTCTTTATTACATTCATGCATTCGAAAATTCATTAAATTTTAATTGCTTGCAAAAAATATGTATCTTATACTGATTGCATTTTGTTATTTATAGTTTGTTACATTATACATGAAAAACCCTCCTGTTTATATTTGTGAATTTAAATCCCACTCAGAGTCACTGTGTTTTGATCTTTAAGGGTTTTGTTCTTCTGGGCCCCAACTCAATATGTAGAAAACATTTTGTATTTAAACTGTGAGGAACATGAACATTCTGATATTCTGTGTTTGTACTCAGACCCTGACCACAGCGTGGCTGACCATGTGCCCCAGTCTCTGTACAGCTGAATGGTTTTGTGGTGTTCTCTGAGCGGCTGCAGGTTTTTGTACGACCACTCCATGAGTTTGTATCACTGTGGTGGACGTTCGGTGGAGGAACCAGACTGGAGCTCAACTGTAAGTCATTTCATGTTTCTTCTCAACTTCAAAAACTTGTATATTTCTTTGAATACTCTATTCATTTTTACTTAAAAAAACAAACAAACAAAAAAAACCTTCACACATTTTTTACAAGTTGGTAAAGTAAATCTAATCTAAACTTCTTCCATCTTTGAGGTTTAACTTTCTAGTTCTATATTTATTTTACTAAATTGAATGATTTCATTTTATTGACACCACTGTTCAACAGCTTGGACACCTTCTTTTTCATGTAAAAATAAATTCACTTAACAACTTTCTACATGTTATAAACACACAGAAGATATCAAATGTATGGAGCAGGACATCTGGACGAGGATGAAGGCTATTAAAACAAACAAACAAACAAACAAACAAACAAACACAAAATTAGAATATAAAACAGGTTTGGAGTTATTTTGAGTTGTTTTTTGTTAAATACATTCACATGTGTCATTCAGAGTTTAGATGCAGTGTCCACACTTCTGGCTGGTCGTGTGTGTGTTTCCCTTTTATCCACTGCACTATTGGATTCAAAGACACTAAAAGACTCTAAAATAAAATGTAAAATAATAAATGTAGTTTAAGTCAAAATGCCCCTGTTGCAAATTTTAAAATACCTTTAGCTCAGAAACCTTTTTGTCCTTCAGCTTCAGAGGAACTTCTGCTTCTGCTGCAATCTCAAAAATACTATTCATAATCATATTTCCAGTGTACTTTTAAAGATTACTTTTCACACCACTTACTTTACCACCTTACTTCACAATGGAGTGTAGTTATAAAGTTACAGTTTGAATCAGTTCTTGATTTAATGCAGAATAAATTGTGGATAATGTAATATCGTCTGCCTTTTTTATGTTTTTATTTTTATTATTATTATTATTTTTTTTTAATATTACTATTATTATTTTAATAAATATTACATCATCTGTCTGTATCTGTTGCTCCTCTGGTGCAGAGCACTGTTGGGGTCTAAACCCTTGTTTATTTCAGTCTGTGTTTGCCACTGTTGGGCTTGTGTATCCGTTCATTTTACTCTTTTCTTTCTAGTTTTTCCACTGAGACCCAGTTTATTTTGTTTTTCAGCATTTGGCCGAGTGGAGCCCAGCCTCTGGGTGCTGCCCCCCTCCAGAGAGGAGCTGGCCCAGGGGAAGGCCACCCTCGTGTGCCTGGCCAACAAGGGCTTCCCGTCAGACTGGAGCGTGTCCTGGAAGGTGTCCGGTGGCGGTGCGGGCGGGGAGCAGAGCCGGAGCCCCGCGGTGCCGCAAAAGGACGGCCACTACAGCTGGAGCAGCAGCCTGACGCTCCCCGCACAGCAGTGGAGGGAGGGGGGCGTGGCTGTGAGCTGTGAGGCCAGCCAGGGCTCCCAGAGTCCAGTGTCCCACACACTGAGCACACTGCAGTGTTCCCACCACTGACACAGTCACTGGGATCAGCCTGCAGAGCGCCCTCTGCTGTCAGCTCACGCCTCTACAGCTACAGCTCCACTTCACTTACTGCAGCACAGCACACAGGCCTCTGTCCCAACTGGAGCTTCTGCTCCAAATAAAGAGCTGTGCATCAAAAGCATCTTTGTGTCTTTACATCATTTCAATGGAATTCTTCCTTTTTTCTATCACACACTTTAGTGTTTGGAATAAATGTAGGTTTGAGGTCAGGTTATGAGGGTTGGCTTTTCATTCACATGCTTCATATGTGTATTTATAAATCCTGAATGTTGTGAATAAATCCATGAATATATTCATCAAGGAAATGGGACAAATCTTTGTTGAGGGTAAGGTAGGGCTTCAGGCTCTGAAGGTGGAAAGAAAAGCTTTGACTTCAATATTTAGCTGCTGTTCATTGTAACATTTTTAATTGACTCTGTATCATTTAGGGAATACGGCTTTTGTTTGATGTGTAAGAGCTGTATGAATAAGGTTTCATATAGTGTTCATATTTCCAACTCATGAATAATGGTTTTAGATTGTTTATTTAGCTCCCATTGTTAAACTGACTGCGGTTAGGCCTTTCAGCTGGTCAGTTTTGTTGGAAAGTATTATTATTGTTATAATAATAATAATAATAATAATTATTATTATTATTTTGTAGTAGTAGTAGTAGTAGTAGTAGTATACACTTTTTTTTTTCATGAATCACAATCAAAAACTAAATACAATTATTAAACAATGAACACAGTATCTGCAGTGTCTGTGTCAAACTCAATGAAGTGTGAATCGTTTCAGTTCAGCCTGAGGAGGTTTTTGTAAGAGTTTTTTCACTGTGTGATCAGTGAGCTGCTACTCTGCTGACAGTAATAAACTCCTGCATCTTCAGCCTCAAATCCACTGATGGTCAGAGAATAATCAGATCCAGAACCACTTCCACTGAAACGACTGGAGACTCCAAAGTGACGAGAAGTAGCATGATATATCAGAGACTTTGGAGGTTCTAAGCCTTTCTGAAGATACCAGGCGAGATAATTCTCTACACTTGAACTGGTCTGACACCTGAGAGTAACAGAGGCTCCTTTGTCCACAGCTGCAGCTTTAGGAGTCTGAGTCAGGCTGATTTCTCCTGAAGAACCTGAAAAACAGAAGAAGAGTTATTGAGATAGACCCCGCAGGTGTCCAGAGGAGCAGTGCTGTGGCCCTGATGTCCTCACCCCGAACCAGGAGCCCCAGGGCCAGCAGGAACAGTTTCAGTGTTTTAGGATTTAAAGGTTAAATTGAGCATTTATTCCGTCTGGTGTATTATTATTTTTTTATTCTCATCTTCATGTGCACAAATAAAAATGAATCATATTGTGTTAGTAAAATGTCCATGTTTGTGTTAATATTGTGGTTTAGATGTATCGTACTTTGGAACAGCTTGAATAAAAAAATAAAAACATTTAAATGACATCAATGTGTAACTGTAAGTGAATGTGTTTAATAAGCATCAGAAACCAGAGCTGAACCTTTCAGGTGTTTGTAGAATCATACAACAATACAGGATTTCAGAGTCTGTATTTTGATTATAGAACAGTTTCATTGCATTTATTAAATATAAAAGACAAGGACCAACTCATTTTCCCGTTTGGACACATGTTTTGTCTCTTTCTATGGACCTGTGCTCCTTTTGTATTTCAAAATCAACGACATATTGATGAGATGGAGCAATGTTACTTTCCTTTCATTCATTGAGGCAAAGAAAAGTTATATTTTCAAAGCAGATGAAATCAGAATCTACAACTTCTGCTAAATCAGTCCATTATGGTCAGATGGTGTTAAAACAAAAATCAGATTAAAGTCTAACCTGTGTAACAGAGTTTAGACAGAGAAGAGCCTCCTGTTACCTCCAGCCCCCAGAGAATGTTGATGACATCAGCTGCCAAGTATCAAAACTGGACTAAACCAAAAAGCACAAACCACATTTACACCACTTTTTTATTGACTAAATAAATGCACAGATTTGATCTCAGAATCCACCGTCACCTCCAATAAAGATTAAAGATCAGATTACACTCCTCATAATCAGACTAAACTCTTATCATAATCAGATTACATACCAGTAAATTCCACTTTCCATTTACACATAACATAGGTACATATTTACACAATAAAGTTTGTACAAAAAATGTAAAAAAAAAAAAAAAAAAGTAAAGTAGCAAATGTCTCTGATGGCCGCAGGTGCAAAAAGTACAAAAGTAACTGATAAATACTAAAAATAGTTTTAATATACTTATCTTTGGTAGCCATAGTCTCAAGGATTGAAAATGGACTAAAGAGGATTAAATCAGGACTAAACCAGGACTAAACCAGAACTAAACCAAGACTAAATGGTGCCTGAACCAGAACTGAACCAGCACTAAACCAGGACCAAACAAGGACTGAACCAGGATAAAGACAGGACTAAACCAGGACTAAACCAGGGACTTAACCGAACCTGAATGGGGCCTGAACCAAAACTAAACAAGGATTAAACCAGGACTCAACCAGGATTAAACTGGGACTAAACTAGGACCAAACCAGGACTAAACCAGGTCTAAACAAGGACAAACTTAACCTATACATTTGTGACTTTGTGGTACAACACTAATCACAATTTTGTTCTTAAAACTGTGTTAAAGGTTGTAACACTGTAATATTCACATGATCAAGTTGTAAACAGGTGAGAGAATTTTAATAACATAAACAATCATAAATAAACTCATCAAAAACTTTGAAAATAAGAATTCCGCCTCAGTTTTGGAGATAATTTGTTCAGTTGCTGCTTAAAAAGTGTAAAAAAGCTGTAAATATTTGGTGAAATTGGCTTTATCCAGTGAAAACAATGCTCAGTTGTATCTCTGTTATAATCACTCAAACATTTCACAATAAATGGACAGTTATTGATCAAATAAAAACAAAAAAAAGTTACCTGTATATTTAGGGATGAGTACAAAATGCTGAGTTCAGGTAACTTATAAAAGCTCTTATAAAAATGATTTATTTTAAAAGGTGACACAGTTCAGAGCCACGCCCCTCCTCTGCTCCTCCTGATTGGTCATTTGTGCTCCTCTAGTCCTCTGATTGGTTAGGTTTGTTCCACAGCTCCTCTGATTGGCTGATTCTTCTCCTGAGGTCTTCTGATGGGTTAGATTGGTTGGTTCTTTTCTTCGGCTCTTCTGATTGGTCAGTATCTAACTCTCTGCTGTTTCATTGTGCGCCTCGTCCTCCTCTGACCCACAGGAGGCGCTCTGCTCTTCCTCTGCACCGTCTGAGTCAGAGCCGCACGGAGGAGACCCAGAGAGAGCTGCAAAAGACATGAGACCTGTCATCCTCTGCACCATCTGCTCCTCTGACCCTCTCCTCTGACCCTCTACATCTTCTGACCCTCTACATCTTCTGACCCTCTCCTCTGCTCCATCTGACCCCCTCCTCTGCTCTTCTGACCGTCTCCTCTGCTCTTCTGACCCTCTCCTCTGCATCCTCTGACCCTCTCCTCTGCTCTTCTGACCCTGTCCGCTGCTCTACTGACCCTCTCCTCTGACTCTCTCTGCTCTCTGACTGACCCTCTCCTCTGCTCCTCTACATCATCTGACCCTCTCCTCTGCTCTTCTGACCCTCTTCTCTCCACCTCTGACCCTCTCTTCTGCTCCTCTACATCTCTGACCCTCTCCTCTGCTCCTGAGTTTTTTGTTTTTTTTTGTTTTTTACCATAGTTTGGGAGTGACTTGGCTCTCTCTCTCTCCTCTTTCTCCTCAGATTCTGGACTCTGGTTTCTCTTCAGAGATGACCAGGCTCTGCTGTCGACGCCCACATTTCCCATGGTCACCGGGGACTCGAACGCATCACTGTCGCAGGCACACTCACCTGACAAAACAAAACACTCATCTATCATCAACAGTCAGGAACATCAGGAACATGTTATCTCTAACATTTGGACAGAATACAAATACAGAACAAACTGAAATGACGTGATCTCATTAAAGCTCCTATATTACACAGAACTGACTCTTCTGAACTCCAAGCATGAGTAACCCTTCATTATTGATCTGTCTACATCTCCAAAGCTCCAAATGCTCTCTTCCACTTTGTGATGTCATACAGTGGTAGTTTTCAAGTGAACAGCTTTTTACCTTTAGTTCAGTAGAGACGGGCAATTCCAGGACTGATTTTGTCCAAATGATTCTAGTGAAGGTGATTCTAGAGACTTTAAAAACATGGGGGGGGGCTTCCTGTATCACCACATGACATCACAAGGTGGAACAGAGTGTTTTCAGTTTGAGAACAGGACACAGAATAAATATGCAGGGTGTGAGGAAACATCAGAAAATAGTGTGATATGAGCTTTTCAGGATTCTGTGTCCTCTTATATTTTCATCAGAGAGCTCCAAAACTCAAATCCACAAATGTTTTGTTTTTTTGGATTAACCTGTGGAATAACTTCTTGGGTTCGTTGTTAAAGACGGTACAGTAAAGGACGGGGCTCGGGTCACTGGATCGGAGGACAACAAGCTCAGACGCTGGATCAGGGAGCACAGTGAAATCAGGAAACGAGGCACAGACAGAATTAAACATGATGGAGTGTTCCTCCTTTCACACAACTAGGACACCGTCCTCCAGAGAACATGGGGTGACGGGAGGCGTGGTCAGTCTGAGCGACCTGCCAGCTCCATCAGGCTGACCACGCCCACAGGAAGTAACAACAGCTGACTACGCCTACAAGAAGTAAATGGTCACATTTTTCTATAGCGCTTTTCCACCTTCAAGGCACTCAAAGCACTTTACAACAAGGAACCACTCACCCATTCACACACCAGTGTACGCAGACACTGTAGGCAAGGTGGGTTAAGTGTCTTGCCCAAGGACACAACAACAGCACTCATCTGTGGGAGCTGGAATCACACCAGGGGGTCAGTGGATCTGACCGCTCAACCTGTGATGTTTATGTCGAGAGCTGGAATCAAACCACCAACCTTCAGATCAGTGGGCGAATGCTCTACCAACTGAGCTACTGTAACAACATCCGACCACGCCCACACGATGTAAGAACAGCTGTCCACGCCTACAGGAAGTAAACAACATCTGACCACGCCCACACGAAGTAAGAACAGCTGACCACGCCTACAGAAAGTAAACAACATCTGACCACGCCCACACGAAGTAAGAACAGCTGACCACGCCTACAGGAAGTAAACAACATCTGACCACGCCCACACGAAGTAAGAACAGCTGTCCACGCCTACAGAAAGTAAACAACATCTGACCACGCCCACACGAAGTAAGAACAGCTGACCACGCCTACAGGAAGTAAACAACATCTGACCACGCCCACACGAAGTAAGAACAGCTGACCACGCCTACAGGAAGTAAACAACATCTGACCACGCCCACACGAAGTAAGAACAGCTGACCACGCCTACAGGAGGTAAACAACATCTGACCACGCCCACACAAAGTAACAACATCTGACCACGCCTACAGGAAGTAAACAACATCTGACCACGCCTACAGGAAGTAACAACAACCGACCATGCCTACAGGAAGTAACAACATCTGACCACGCCTACAGGAAGTAAACAACATCTGACCACGCCCACACGAAGTAAGAACAGCTGACCACGCCTACAGGAAGTAAACAACATCTGACCACGCCCACATGAAGTAACATCTGACCATGCCTACAGGAAGTAACAACATCTGACCATGCCCACAGGAAGTAAACAACATCTGACCACGCCCACAGGAAGTAACAGCTGATATACGACACATCACCACCAACACCGGGGATAGTTCTGAAGATGCAGCAGCAGAAACATGTCCTCAAGGTAAATACACTTGACTGTATTGAACCCAGGAAGTTAAAGTACATAAGAAGACAAAATTAACATTGGTTTAGAAATGGAACAAGCTCCATTCTTCTGCTGTATTTCTCCAACCACACCCCAACATCTGGGAGGGCATCTGACACAACATAAAATGTGCAGATTAGAGACTAGAGACAGCATATATAATTAGGGCTGGGTATCATTAAGAAGTTGCCGATACGATACATACCTCGATACACAGGCCACGATATGACACAAATCTCGATACAGTGCACTTGATTCGATATATATTTCAAATCGATTTGATACAGTTCAATAAAAAATAAAGGCTAAATCATGGCTGTGATACTAAAATTCTTTGTTAAACCACTTCTTGTGCAAAGTTCATATGAAACACAAACATTTTAATCCTCAAAATAGAGTCAAAATGTCAAATGTGTCACATAAATGAGTTTCCTTCCACTCCACAAGCAACAAAACTGTAGCACTGTAACAAAATAATTTAGTAAAACACACATAAAAATACTCTTGCTGATATATCGATACAGTAGCCCACGATATTGATACTGTATCATCACATTAAATGATACGGTATATCGATATTCCGGTATTTTTGCACACCCCTATCTATAATTCTCCTGTATATCTACAGTCTGTGGTTTAGGTCTGTTGGTTGGGGTTGTCTCCATGTTGCCTAAAACTCTTCCCCCGTCACAGAAGTCCTGTGATTGGGCCACCACTGCTCAGGTTAGATTTAAAGTGTACAGCGGTAACATCACAAGATGGATTCTTGTGAGTTTATGATCACACAAATATCATGAGAATCCATCATGCTGTGCAAGGTTAAAATCCCCCTGATCACACATTTCCTTGATAATTCGTGTTTTATTTGTGATTATTGTGAGTTTGAGCACTGACTGTCGACAGGAGACGTCACAGACACAGACACTCCACAGTCCTGCTCTGAAGGCGTCCTCTTCAGACGAGGAGCGGGAAGTGGAGGGACCGGGAACTCCTCTGGGAAACAAAGACAGTTTAGACCTGGTTTAGTCCTAGTTTAGTTCTATTTATTCCTTCTTTAGTCCTGGTTAAGTTTTGGTTTAATCCTGGTTTATTTACCCTGCAGACTGACAGTTGGACTGGTTGGACTTTTGGGTCCACTGGAGATAGAAGTCCTGGCTCTAGATCTTGGGGCTGGTTCTGGTCTGGACTCTTCTGGATCTGATGGTGGCGGGGCATCTGGTTTATCTTTGGGGGCAGATACGAGTGGTGGGGCATCTGGTTTATCTTTGGGGGCAGATACGAGTGGTGGGGCATCTGGTTTATCTCTGGGGGCAGACACGTGCGGCGGGGCATCTGGTTTATCTCTGGGGGCAGACACGTGCGGCGGGGCATCTGGTTTATCTTTAAAGCACACAGGAGTTAGAGAGAGGGTCAAAAATAAGACATTTCAGAGCTGCTCCTGCTTCTCACCTGGAGCTTTGCTCTTGGACTCAGCTTCAGCCACTTCAGGTCTGGTCTTCTCAACCTGAAAAACATTTCATTATAGTCTTTAGTCTGAAGGACTAAAGGGGGATGTGAGAGATATATATATATATATATATATATATATATATATATATATATATATATATATATATATATAACAAATATATTTTGTAACTACAGGACAGCTTTGTAAAAATACAAGGTTAATATTATGAGACATTTTTTGGCCAGTAAATCATCTTTTTACACCAATTTATCGCCCTAAATGGGACCTAGGAAGAAGCAATATCTTGGAAGCTGATCCCATCCACCAACGTCTTCAACATCTGCACTGATATTTGATACCAGTATCGTGTCAGTGCAGCCCTAGTCTATTCCTCAGTATCAAAATTGAGTGTGAATTTTTTTATCAGTGACAACACAGCACTGTGGTTGATAGTGATGTCTGCCACAGCTGCCCTGGGACAGTCTGGTTCAAACCTTCTGTGCTGCCAGTTTGGCCTTCATCTCAGCCATCAGCCCCATCCCCAGAATTGGCACCCCCATGTGGCGCGGGACGGGAGGGGCTGGGAGGGCATCCGGCTTCTTCTCCTGTCTCTGGGGCTCTGGTCTGGTCTCTGGTCTGGGCTCTTCAGATTCATTTGTATGGTTCTCTTCTGCTGGTTCCTGGGTTCAGAGGGTGACATGGGCAGCAGATATGACATATATAGAGGTAATTCCGTAACAGTTACACAATAGTTAATAGTGTAGTTACTAATACAAATCAGTGACATCAGATTTAGTTAAATGTAGGATTAAAGTGTCAGATAAAGTCGTTCCTTGTGTGTAAACTGGCTTGATGTGAGTGAGAACCCTGGCAGCAGAGTTTTGGATGTATTGAAGCCTGTCCAGAAGCTTCTGGAGTATCCCGGTCAGGACTCTGCTGCAATATTCCAGGCAGGAGGCAATGGATGAGTGGATGAGTGTTTGAGAAACCGAATCCAGAAGAGATCAACAGAGGCAGGAGATGTTGTGGAGGTGGTAAAAGGCAGATTTTGTGTAACATAGGAGATTTAAGTAAAAGTAATTCAAACTCCCCTCACCTCCTCCTGTGATGTGGCTCTGTGCAGTTGGTGGTTGGTTCTGGGGGACTGATCTGGAGACACTGGAGGAGACACTGAAGGTGAGACAGGGGACAGCCCCTCCCCTGGGACACTAGGGGGCAGAGTGTGAGGACCAACAGGGTGCAGTGTGGTGTTCAGAGCAGCAGGGGGCGGCGTGGAGGAGGCTGGAGGACTTATGGCCCCCGAGCCGTGGGACTTTTCGGAGCGAGACGTTCTGGACTTTATGTAGTTGAAGAATCCACTCTTTCGTTTCTTCTCTGGGTCCTGAGAGTTTGATTTCACCAAAGGACGTCTAAGGAAGAGATTTAAAACAGTTCAAGCACAATTCTGCAAAATGTACTTTTCAAAGCTTTAAACCATCTTCTAGTTGTTTCCTTCTCAGTGACCCCCTGAAGTTGTGTGTTAAATGATCCATGTTTGAGTCATCTTAATGTGTCTACTTTTAAGACGCCATTGCTCCAGTCTACCCCCGTTTTTACCTCCACAACCCACTGCGATGTCTATGCACAACTGGATTTTCTTAATCGGTGACACATGTAGGATTCAACAGTGTCGTGAAGTCAACAAATGAAAAAAAAAACACTGTTCAGTAGAGTCCCTCTGTGGTGCGAGGTCCATTAGTGGCTGCTCCAAGTACTGCAGCTCTGGGAGCATGGGCCCAGAAAGAATTCTCTCACAGTGCACAATGCATTTATGGAAATTCAAAGTGGAATTCTTATCTGCAACATGAACACTTAAAAAACATCTCAAAATGCCTAAACACTTTGTAAACTTTAGCCTAGCCCACTTCTTGAGCTCGCACTAGCTCCGCTCTAGATACTTTCGCTCTGATTGGTCAGAACTGGTTATGTGGTGCATGTTTCTGGCATCACATATTGTTCTCTTTCACAATCCCTCCTTAATAGGAGCTGAGGAAGGATTACAGAAGAAAATTTGATTTTTTTGAGCCCATGCTACAGTGAGCACAGGCCATTGAAAACAATAACAATCTACATTGGGTTCACCTTCAGATGTGATGATACTTAACAGCATGCGGTGCTCTGTTGTGATGACGTTTACGGTGGCCTCAGTTTCCATCATAAACTGTATAAATAACTGGAATACTGTGGCTCCTCTCTGTACCTGCTGCTGTGAGCCTCGTCATTTTGGTCTTAAAATGTTCGTATTAACCCACGACACATGATCCTGGTGTTTTTATTTCACTATTATGGCCTTTAAAAAATTCCTATTCCTCATATGAAGCCTGGCTCCAGATTCGGTCCTGTAACCGTGAGCATCATGAGCTTCATATGAGCGGAGCTGAACGCTGTGGGTGACGTCACACTAACTTAGTCCACTTCTTTATACAGTTTATGGCTCCCATTGGGCACCACAGTTTTCTAAGGAGGAAGACAGCGGACTTGTTTCTGTTTAGATCTATATTAGGATTTTAACTGTGAAAATGAAAACATAATGGTCCTCGTGTGTCATCGATTATAACTACAGAGCACACACAAGCACTATATGTGCTTTAAAAACTTTATTTGAAACAGTTTGCAGTGGTCCAAAGTCATTCTTCACTTACCTTATGCATTCAGAGCATCCAAATGATTCACCACGATGAGTTTATAAGCACAGTGTGTGGTGTGTGTGCTCACTTTACACAAATACATGTGTGTGCTCTCACTTGAAGCTGAGTTTGGAGACGGTTTTGTTGAAGAATTCGTCAAATCCTTCGTCCAGTTTCTCCACTAAGCTGTTGTGCTCTAAATCCACAACACCAGCAGAGGGCGCCACCACACGCTGGAGAGAGAGAGAGAGAGAGAGAGAGAGAGAGAGAGAGAGAGAGAGAGAGAGAGAGAGAGAGAGGGGGGCACAGAGCTCAAATACTTGGTACTTCATAGACCTATTTTGACCTATTTGTAAAGCCACATGCCCGTCAAGGTAGGCAGTTGAATACCTTGACTCTTGAGGGTCTGGTCCGTTTCTTAGGTTTGGGTCTGGTCTTGGTTTGGTGCTCTAGAGTCTGGACTTGGACTGGGGGCAGGTCAGGGGGTGGGGTTTCATCGTGACGGACAGACACTCTGTCCAGTGATGTCACAGCGGGAGGAGGAGGGGGTGGGTCTTCGATGTGAATGGGGACTTCCTCCAAAGCTTTGTCCAGATCAAACTCCATCTCTGAGAGCGACGGATGTGAGGAGGAGAGAGTTACACACAGCTTTACTTATGCTATCCTCATATACACACACATGCATGCACACACACACACACACACACACACACACACACACACGCATGCAAACACACACACACACGCACGCACGCACGCACGCACGCACGCACACACACACACACACACACACACACACACACACACACACACACACACACACACACACACAGAGCTGAGTAAAGTCTGACTTGAGTAACACAGAAAACTTTGAGGGTTCTGCTCAAATACCATTGTTTTTGTTTCTGTTTGTAAGATTAAACTCTGTGAAAGAGTCAAACTTTGATCTGAATACTGTATTTTTCGGACTATAAATTTTTTCATGGTTTGGGTGTTTCCTGAGACTTATACTTTGGTGCAATGCGCGAGAGGCTCTTGTCTTGTGTGTGAGTATCTGCTGCTCCTGTTCCTCCTGTACTACTGTCACTTCTACTCTACTGCACATGTCTCCTGCAGAAAGAGCCTCTGTTCTGTTGTTTATGCTCTAGTGATGTGAGGAACTGTTCATATGTGACGTTAACAGTCTGTTGTTCTATTCTGTTCAACTGTTATTACTAGAACTTGACTTTCAACAGGAAATGTCTGTTCCTGGTCTCTGATTTTGATAAAATACATTTCGGTCAAGAATGCGACTTATAGTCCGAAAAATATGGTATATTTAAACTGAGTCATTTGACTACAGCCAAAGAACACAGGAGAAATAGTTTTAATACAGTTAAACCAGTTACATTAAAAATGTGTCAAATTGGACCGGGCGGTACACAGCTAAATGCTGTTAATGTTTGCGCCCAGTGATTTGATTATTGGTAACATCATAAACCTGATTGTTTGAGATAAAAGCACATAAAGTCAAACAAGTCACAACATCTCTTCTCAGAATTCCATGTTCCTGAGGAGCACAAGGACGCAACATCTTTTTTTTTTTTTTTTGAGTTTGTAAAACAGCAAACTCACCAAACGCCACAGACACCGGCCTCAGCATCCGCACCAGGATACTCTTCCTCTTGGACTTCATCTAAGCAGGCAACAAACAACTTAGTTTGTGTTAATGTGAGACAGAACAAGTCCCCAACATGACTCGGGGGGAGAGATGGCTCTGGGGTGGGTCTGGAGTGAAATGTGTCATTTTTCTGGTAAACTGACACTGGATGTTAGATGTTTTATCAACATCTCTGCCCACATGGGGAACTGAGGCTCCAAAGAAAGGGCCAAAAAGATCACATTTGGTCTGAGACCATATTTGGGATCCACATGAAAGCTCAGAAAAAAAGTGTGAGATTGTTGTCAGAAATGGTCATTCTCTCAAATATTCAGGTTCAACAGTTAGTTTGTAAATATCTGCTTGGAGTAAATAGACCTTGGACTTCAAAAATTGAAAAAATAAATAAAAATTAATTAATTAATTAATTAATTATCTGAGCGGCAACCAAATTTGAGATTTGAGACAGCACCCTCCCTTAATAAAGATACCCAATGTTTAACAGATTTAGAATCTATGACCCAGAATCTACTATAATACACATTTTCAGCTTCCTAGCTGTATTTTTTATGAAGTTCTAGTCTCTCAAACATGATTATAAATTAAGATTTCCGAAAAAGTGAACATGGCCCCAAAATTTCAACGGGCCATAACTCAGGAAGGACTCAAGGGATTGAGCTAAAATTTGAGATTCTTTCATTTGTTAATTTTAGAAATAAAAAAATAATAAAATCTGCTAAATCTGAGATGGCTCATAGCGGAGATTCCTTGAAAACAGCTGATTTCATATGGACTGACCCTTCTTCCTCACTCTTTTGCATCTTTGAGTCAATATGAGGTGGTCAGGTACACACGAGCACAAGGCTGTAGAGCAGAGCCTCCACCAGCAGGGGGAGTGGTGAGACGTTAGATCTGTGTGTCGTACCATGTTGGAGTCCATTTCGGCGCAGTGCTTCCTGTCCAGAGCCACTTCCTCTTCCTGTTCGTCTGCTTCCTGTTGTAGTTCGGTTTCATCGATGACCTCATGCTCTGAGGGTCGATCCTGCTCCAGAGGGTGACCTTTGACCCTAACGTGCTCTGCCTGAACACAGTAGAGACAGACACAAGACTGAAGTACAGATATAAGAATATGAACATGAATATGACATAAACATGAGGCTCTGTACACGGCAGAGATGGTCAAATTACACCACCAATCAAAAGTTTGGACACAGCTCCTCATCCAGTGTTTGTTTCCTACATTTATATGCTTACAGAAAACACCAGATTGATGTTTTGTGATGACAATCCATTTTCTGTTTCTAGCAGTTTGTGTCAGTGGTAAAAATCAGTTTATTAGCTGTATTTTGTGTGATTGTCTTGTGTCTTTTATCACTTGCTGCGTTGGCTTACAATTTTGGTCTTTACAAAGTTTTGGAAACACACAGTATCACTCAGGTTTAAGTTCAAGTAGCAGTCCTTTCACCCTCTTCTCTGGAGGTAACTGTCCTGCTCAGCACTGGAAGTCACAGGTAGTGTCCGAAGAGGTCCTTGTCCAGTTTCTGAAGCAAACATCAGCTCTTGTAGCTCAATCATTTCTTGCTGATAGTTCTAACAGCGCTCATAGATAGATTTGCCTTGGTTTCTTCTCCTGGACTGTCGTTGAGAAGTTATTACAAATGTAGAAATGGTTTAACGTCTTGTTTACTTGACAGCAAATAAGTAAACAGAGTTTCCAGTGGAAGAGGTATAAGGATTAAAAAGCAAACTAAAGAGGGAACAGCAGGAGCAAGCAAGGAAGTAGGAAGTCAAGAAAAGGAATCCAAATGCTTAAAGTTTCCTCCCTTTACTTTGTGGAGAGCTGCAAACCCTTGGCCTTCTCTCAGTGAGCTTCATGATGAAGTCCCTGAAATGGTTTTCACTTCACAGCTGTGCCGCCTCAGGGAAAAGAAATCTCAAAAGCACAGCAGTGGTCAAAAGAAAGGGTAAAGGACATTTTAAAAATCTCAAACAATTTGGAGTTATTTTCAGTTTCTTTTTTTGTTTACTACAGTCCATGTGTGTCTTTCATAGTTTTGTTGCAAATCCACGATGCGATGAAAATGTACAGTGTAAATAATCATGGAAATATAAAAAAGAAACATGAATGAAAAAGTGTGTCCAAACTTTAGACTGGTAGAACAAGTATTAGAAGAACATCAGCATGTACCAGTGTGAGCTGAGACTGAGAAAGAGACTCCAAGATCTCATCCACGATTCGGTCCGACAGAAAAGACGCCATGTTCAACTTCACCTCACTGAGACACAGAGAGAAAGACCTTCTTTAGACCTGCTTTAGACCTGGTTTAGACATGGTTTAGTCCTTGTTAAGACTTGTTTCGGTCCTGTTTCAGTCCTGGTATAGTCCTGCTTTATTTGTGGTTTAGTCCTAGTTTGGCTCTTCTTTAGCCCTGGTTCAGTCTTGGTTCAGTCTTGGTTCAGTCTTGGTTCAGTCTTGGTTCAGTCCTGGTTCAGGTCTGTTATAGTCCTGCTTTAATCCTGCTTTAGCCCCGGTCCAGACCTGATCTTGTTGATGATGTCCACTCCGCTCTGCTCCAGAAGAGTGGTGCAGACAAAGTCCTCAGAGATGTTCTTCCTCTGGGCTCCTCTGAGCAGCAGCTCCTGCCTCAGGTTGCTCCTCTGCAGCACGTGAGGACAGAGGGACTGGGCCGAGGAGACCATCTGCTCCAGGAGAGACTGACCACAACAAATACATCTTTAAGGGGGGGAGTATTTGACTTCTATGGGCTATTAACTGTAACACAGAGCATATTTAGATCACTATGTTACCTTTTATTTTTTTTTGAAAATGCTATATTAGCCCAAAACAATGCATTATGACCTTTTTGACACTCTGAGTCTCCTTTCCTTTACTCTCTGTGCTAAGTCATTCCCCCTTCAGAGCACTATCACAACACAATCAACGTGCATTATGCTAATGAAACTCCTGCTGTGTACAGTTTTGTGTCATGTGTTTGTATATTTATGGAGACTTGTCATGTGGGGACATGGGTGATGTCAGCTTGTGGGCGGAGCCTTGTACAGGCTTGTACTGCTTACAGTAAGGAATAGGGCCCTGAAGCTATAAAATACTCTATAAATACTATAGAGCTACAAATACAAACATGGAAGACATTTAAACCCTCTTCAGTCATGTTTTTGAAGAGGGGAAAATATAACGTGGTAGAAAGCTTCAAAAAGTCAACTTTGGATAATACCTCCTCTTATTTTTTTTACAGGGTTTACAGTGTGAGCAGCTATTAGAAGGTCAAATGAAGGTCAAATGAAAGATGTGTTTATATATGATACAATACTTGAAGAATCTTTCTAAAAACATTGAGAATTTGGACTCGCAGATTCGCCCTTTTGACTGCAGCCTCATTGAGCTTCATTTGGCTGGAGCTGGATGACGTCAGGCTCACTCAGTCCAATTCATTTCCATTAGACTTTGATTTTCCAACTGGGGAGAGCAGTGACAGACCTGCAGCTGCTGGTCCATGACTCTGAACACTTCTCCGGCCATAGACTGCAACGTGTCCTGTATCGCTCCCACACACGGCCCCCGGGAGGCGCTGTCCTGCAGGTGGTACAGGCTTGGCAGGAGCTGTCGATGACAGGGACAACTTTACTACTGTCTGGAGCAGCAGAACTGAAATCTGAACTTCAAGAATCATGTTTGTAGAGATCTAGACGACAGGGTTAGCAGCTTTTACAGAGAATAAGACTCCATGGAGACACAGGGAGGGCATCTGACACACAGGAGAGCACAGGGAGAACTTGTTTGTAGAGGTCTAAACTACAGGTTTAGCAGGTTAAATTCTGACCGTTTTGGAGTGGCGGGCGTCCCTCATGAGGCTCTGCGCTCTCTTCACGTCCTCCTGAACTAAAGCAGACTCACAGAACCTCAGAGAGTTCAGATGGTCCTGGACCTTCACACACACAGAGTCCATCATCTGAAAAGAGAGAGAGAGAATATGAGAATATATGAGAGGGGAGCAGAGGGGAGGAGTGGAGAAGAGTCCATCATCTGTGAAAGACAGAATATATTAGAGAAGGAAAGGAGGAGGGAGAGAAGAGCGAGAGAGACAAGAGAGAAATCATCTGAAAAGAGAGAGGGTGAAGAAGACAAGAGAGAGAAAGGAAGAGGAGAAGATGAAGAGAGAAAAAAACACAGTCCTTCATCTGCAGGGAAGAATAAATCTGCAGATGACTGGATTTAGATTATGGACATTAAAGAAAACCAGAGGAGGAAAAAGTACGGAAAAATTGTAATTAACTAAAAGTGTCTACTTTGTGTGTTTACTTTGCTTAATTATTACTAAAGTAAAAGAAACCATCTAAAAATCTACTCGAGTAAAAGTAAGTAAGTAATTTAAAATGTAATCTGAGTAAAAGTTACTTAGTTACTTTCAGTTGTGAAAAAGGATGAGTCATAAATCTAATCCAGCTCAAGTTGTTTTAATCAACTTTTAGGTGATAAAGACAAACTTTGTTCAGGTCAAACTTTGTATATTTTAAAGACAACTGAGCTCACCAACACTTACTATTTTAACACTTTTTAATACTTACTGTTTTAACACTTATTATTTTAACACTTACTGTTTTAACACTTACTGTTTTAACACTTACTTTTTAACACTTACTTTTTTAACACTTACTGTTTTAACACTTACTGTTTTAACACTTACTTTTTAACACTTACTATTTTAACACTTACTTTTTTAACAGTTTTTAACACTTGCTGTTTTAACACTTGCTGTTTTAACACTTGTATTATTATGTTCTTCTGTATTTTACGTCTGAACACAAATATCTGTCTGAGGTTTGGCCAGAGGTTTCCTTCTCTTTCCTCTCCAGAATGATTCAGTGCATCTTCTTGTTGAACATCGTCATGACAACCTCGATCTGTGGCTCCAGCCTCATCCACATCCAACACACACTGACGCTTCTGTTCCTCACTGAACATTCTAGAGGAACATGCTGCACGTTCAAGCCCGCGCAATTTAAGCTATGTTTACACTGAAACTAATCACCGTATCACCCTTTCAGAAACCCTTTTGAAAAAATCTGCGTCCAAACACGTTGTTTCTGTGTCCACAGTCCTTTCCTATCCACACAGCTTTGAGCATATTTGTTTACGTTTTACAGAAACGAAACTTAAAACTACATGGCTCATTTGTATAAACTAAGTGCACAAAAAACAGCTCACTAATGTGTCACTCATGCGGTTCAGTTTCTGTCAGACTAAAGGAGACAACTCAGTGGAATATGAGTGTTGTTTCTGTGACAGAGGGATGTTCTGCTGATGGTGAGTCTGTCCTGTGTTTCTCTCGCGTTGGAGATGGTTCATGTGAAACTTTTCAGAGATTATACGTCTGCAGGTCGTACACACAGACACACGTTTATATGAATGGACAGATATTCTAGCCTCTTAGTGTTTTGGTGATGAATTATTTTGCGGTGCACAGACCTACATCAGAGTATCAGAGTATGAGTGTTTTCAGGCGTCCACATAGTGTTGGATCAGATCTGTACTCAGATTAATTCATGGGAGCTGGCAGCACCTGGTCTCTGGAGCAGTTTTCCATCAGATTAGTGTGGACGAACACTGCATCCACAACCAAAACCTCCCTTACGTTTTTTTTTCACATTTCTTTTTTTTTTTTTAATCTGATTTTATTCAGTAACGAGGGCAGGTTCCACTTTAAAGTAAAATACTTGGATCAAAATGTACTCAAGTAAAAGTAAAATTACCTACTTCAAAAACTACTTAAAAATTACAAATTACTCATAAAAACTACTCAATTACAGTAAATTGAGTAAAAGTAATTTGTTGCATTCCACCCTTGAGGAGAACTCACTAAGAAGTCTGAGGGTCATATAGAATGTGTGACGGCTGCATTTGGCCCCTGGACGTCCCTGTGGGATACAACTTGTCTGTTCACAGTATTACCTGTTGTGCTGTAGTGACTGTGCCCCCTATAGTACACACAGAGAGTACTATAGTACACACAGAGAGTACTATAGTACACACAGGGAGTACTATAGTACACACAGGGAGTACTATATACACACAGTACACACAGGGAGTACTATAGTACACACAGAGAGTACTATAGTACACACAGAGAGTACTATAGTACACACAGGGAGAGTACTATAGTACACACAGGGAGTACTATAGTACACAGTACACAGGGGTACTATAGTACACACAGGGAGTACTATAGTACACACAGGGAGTACTATAGTACACACAGGAGTACTATAGTACACACAGGGAGTACTATAGTACACACAGGGAGTACTATAGTACACACAGAGAGTACTATAGTACACACAGGGAGTACTATAGTACACACAGGGAGTACTATAGTACACACAGGGAGTACTATAGTACACACAGGGAGTACTATAGTACACACAGGGAGTACTATAGTACACACAGAGTGCTGCCTGTTGTGTCCTGTGGTGAAGGTGCCCTGCTGTCTGTTTACAGTATTACCTGTTATGTTGTGGCTCCCCCTTGTGTCCGTTCAGAGAATTACCTGTTGCGTTGTCGTGGTGACGATGCCCTGCTGCAGCCTGTAAGCCTGCTCCTGCAGATATTTACGAGTCTCATGGTTCCTCAGAAGAAACTGCTCCATCTGTAAGAATATAATAAATATGACTGTAAAGGCTGTGACAGGGCATCTGGGGGATAAATATATAAATACATCTTGGGTAGTTCTGGGATAAATATTCTGCCTATAGTAAAACATGGTGCATGTTGTTGTACCTGGAGCAGAGCGCCCCCTGTCTGTGGTGAGCATGGATCTATTATCAAATCTGCACAGGCTCAGGGGTTAGACTAGAGGCCAGTGTGTGGTACTGCAGCAGAAAGTATTTTTTTCCAGAGCGCAATGTAAACACAAACTGCTCGCACTTGGCTGACAGGGACGGGCAGGGACTGACAGGGACTGACAGGGACCTACAGCTTTCACAAGGATCAGATTTTGTGGTGATTTTTACCTATTTTCAGATCATGAACATTTTCTCAGCCCCAAATCCTTCATTTGTCTTTAAAATAGCTTTTTAATCTTTATCCTCAGCTCACTCAACTCTCGCTCTGATTGGTTGGAGCAGTCACATGGTAACTAAGTCTTAAGGCTAAACGGGCTGTACTTTTACCAGAGCGCCCCCTGTCTGCAGTGAGCTGTACCTTGAGCAGTGTTTCTTTGGAGATCTCTTAGTTTCAGGTGGTTTAAATGTTGTTGTGTTAGTTCCGGGGTAAATGCTCAGTCTAGGACAGTACAGGATGTTGTTGTACCTTTAGCAGAGTGCCCCCTGTCTGCTGTGAGCCGTACCTTTAGCAGTGCGTCCTCTGTTTTCTCTGGGTTGCTTTTCAGAGCCTGTGCCGCATCTATGATGGGAACTGGCATGAACCGGATCGTGTAGTTCCTAAAATGTCATCACAAGATTCACAAACAGAATAAAAGACTGTGTAATTAAATTATTAAATAAGAATAAATCTATAAATCAAAATCTTATCAGAGTCTCACTTCTCGAGCGCTGAGGCCACGTCCTGCAGTCCCTGAGCGCTCACACCGTTCCGGTCCCAAAGAATTGTCCTGAAACAAAACAATCCACAGAATGTAGAAATTATACTTTTTTTGTTTTAAATCATTTTGTTTCTATAATACATTATTATCTTAAAGCTATCATCTGTAATTTGACTAACTTCCCTGCCCCTGTTGTATTCTCACATATCACCACTAGATGCTCTCTGCGTAGCTTCTGTCTGATGAATACTAGTGACCTGGAAAACGCTTTGTAAAGCTATGGATGTGTAATGCTGAGGCATCAAAATCACACAAAAATCTCACCAAAATCACATTAACATCACACTAAAATCACCAAAATCACACCAAACACCTTCAGCTGAACTTTTTTTGGATCTGAGGGCAGATGTTTGAAAATCATCAGTGTGCAGCCAGTGTTCCCAAAAGTTCAGATTTTTCCCCTCTGGTGCCTGGACAGTGAACACTCAGACAAACACAGACTCAGCACGTAAACTGATGAGACGAGCACAAATCAGAAACTACACATGTCTCTGGACAGAGCTAGCTCACTTGCCGCTACACTGAGCATAAGTGTGCGGCCGGTGTACTGTTGGAATGGGCTGCCCTGTCAAAATAAGCTACCTAACTATGTTTTTCTGTTTACTGTTGTATAGATCCAATAAAGCTGACCCTCTCAGTTTTACAACATATTTCTTTGGATTAGAGACATGGGTTTGATGCTGTTTGCACAAGCTGATCACACTTTATACCTTAGTTATGTCAAATCTAAACTCATTTACAGTATATGAATATATGTAGGTAGTTCATTTGGACAGTCGTGTTCTGCTCAAATAGGCTCGACTCAAGAAGCACAGATCCACAGGACAATTTATCCATCGAATAATGTCCCACTGTACAATCAACATTATTCACTCATTTCGATGAATCTGGGTAGAGGAGCTCAGACCGACAGGCCCATATCTTCTAAAAAAAAATAGTGCTCCACTAGAGGGCGCACACCTCACCTTTGTGATACTGTGGACATTAGAGATGGGACAATTCGTGTAATGCAATTTTATTTATACAGCGTCTTTCTAAACAAAATGACAACATTTTGTACACATGGAAACTAAATTAAATATGATGTAAAGATAATGATAAAATCAAATATTACATCCAAACTATTCAATCATCTAACGTAGTTAGAACTTCTGCCTTGGGAGCTCAAGTCCGTGGGCATTTAAACTGTGCCAGTGCTTGGGGCTCCTGCACATGTGCAGTAACATGAGGGAGCTCAAATTGACGGGTAGCTCAAATCAAATTCTCTTTCTATTGACAAAAGTGGCGCTGCTGCTGTCAGCCTCATTATTCTGACATGATCCTGCTGTTTTTATTTCACTATTTGTTTATTGACACTAGTTTTGTAGCATATTCGTGTGTATTTATGGAGAATTGTTGTGTGGGCTCATACTGCTAAGAAGAGCTCAATATGTGGCCCAGGAGAGATCACCAGATTACTCAAACATGCATGGATGACATCTAAAACCTCTTCAGGCATGTTTTTGATGAGGGAACATTGTAACATGGTAGAGATTTCCAAAACATTTATTTTGCATAATACCTTAAATAAGTTACTCAAGTAAATAGAAAAGAGGATTTCCCTCATCTGTCTGCAGGGCTAACCACTCTGCCACTCTACCTCAGTTTGGTGTTGATCTGCAGGGCCTTGGCGAGCATCTTGGCACCCATGTCTCCCATGGCGTTCCCGCTGATGTCCAGTTTGGTGAGAGAGGAGTTTGAGCCCAGAGCGTTTAGGACGATCGAGAGCTCCGCCTTCAACCGCGAGTCGGCCAATGAGAGCGAGGAGAGGGGCTGGAAGAGAAGAACCAGGACTGAACCAGAACTGAACCGGAACTCAACCGGGACTGAACCGGCACTCAACCCGGACTCAACCGGGACTGAACGGGGACTGAACCGGAACTCAACCGGGACTGAACCGGGACTGAACTGGCACTTAACCGGGACTGAACCGGGACTGAACCGGGACTGAACCGGGACTCAACCGGGACTGAACCGGGACTGAACTGGCACTTAACCGGGACTGAACCGGGACTGAACCGGGACTCAACCGGGACTCAACCGGGACTGAACGGGGACTGAACCGGGACTGAACCGGGACTCAACGGGGACTGAACCGGGACTGAACCGGAACTCAACCGGGACTGAACCGGGACTGAACCGGGACTGAACTGGCACTTAACCGGGACTGAACCGGGACTCAACCGGGACTGAACCGGGACTCAACCGGGACTGAACGGGAACTGAACCGGGACTGAACCGGGACTGAACGGGACTGAACCGGGACTGAACCGGGACTCAACGGGGACCGAACCGGGACTGAACGGGGACTCAACCGGGACTCAACCGGTACGCAACCCGGATTGAACCAGGACTGAACCAGCACTCAACCGGGACTCAACCTGGATTGAACGGGGACTGAACGGGGACTGAACCGGGACTGAACCGGGACGCAACCCGGATGGAACGGGGACTGAACGGGGACTGAACCGGGACTGAACCGGCACTCAACCGGGACTCAACCGGGACTGAACCGGGACTCAACCGGGACTGACCGGGACTGAACCGGACTGAACGGGAACTGAACCGGGACTGAACCGGGACTGAACACTGAACCGGGACTCAACGGGGACCGAACCGGGACTGAACGGGGACTCAACCGGGACTCAACCGGTACACAACCCGGATTGAACCAGGACTGAACCAGCACTCAACCGGGACTCAACCGGGACTGAACGGGGACTGAACCGGGACTGAACCGGGACTGAACCGGGACTCAACCGGATTGAACGGGGACTGAACGGGACTGAACCGGGACTGAACCGGCACTCAACCGGGACTCAACCGGGACTGAACCGGGACTCAACCGGGACTCAAACGGTGCGCAACCCGGATTGAACCGGGACTGAACCAGCACTCAACCAGGACTAAATCAGAACTAAACCAGGACTAAACCAGGGCTCAACCACATCTATGGTCTAGAATATTTTAGTACTCACTGAATCCTCCTCTTGGATCATGTGCACCAGATTGTCCAAAACCTGGGACAAATTTCTGTGGAAAAACAAAGGCAGAACTGATATTTGGATATTTAGATAGATATTTAGATAGATATTTAGATAGATAGATAGAAAAGATATTTTAAAACTGCACTATGTAACTTTTTTGGTGGTGGCTCTGCTACCTGCTTGTCTCCATGGAGAAATGTTCCACAGCATGGGATTATACTTTATATTTTGTATATTTTTGAGTATTTGTATTCAGTTAGGTATACTTAATGCAAAACTACACTGACAAACGTGCATTCTTATTGTGAGCAGGAGCGCCTCTCCACAGATCTGACCTACAACTTGGCCGATAGTGGCATCAGCTGTTTGTCTCCATGGAGATATACACATACAATAATACACTGGCATTTCCAGGAAAAACAATAACACATCAGTAGGTGACAGACACTCTCTCAGAAAAGTTACACAGTGCATCTTTAAAGGAGGTATTATGCATCTATAGAGTATTAACTGCAAACACATCATATATTTAGATCACCATGGTGCCTTTTATTGTTTTTATTGTTTTCAAAATGTTATATTTGCCCAGAATAATGCATTAAGGGACCTCTCTGATGCTCTGAGCCTCCCTTTCTTTTGCTCAACATGCTAAGTCACTCCCCCTTCAGAGCACTATCACAACACACTCAGCATGCTTCTCACTGATGAAACTCCTGCACATCACATCAGGTTTGTCAGGTTACTGTGTACAGTTTTGGATCATGTTTTTTTATATTTATGCAGAATTGTCGTCATGTGGGTGAGATCACTAGATTACTCAAACATGTGTGGATGACATCTAAAAACTCTACAGGCATGTTTTTGATAAGGGAACGTTATAACATGGGAGAAAGAAAAAAGCAAAAAGATTCTGCACAAACCAGTCTTTAAAATAAATATGATGTTTTAAATGATTTTTCTTACTTAGTTTTGATGTTACTGAAGTTTTTGCCCAGAGCCAAGTGTCTGATGGAGCGGTTTTTGGAAAGCCACACGAGGAGCGTCACTAGGTCCATGTCCAAACCTGGAAAAACACAAATATGAAAAAAATAAAAATAAATAGGGATATAAATAGTGTGGTAATATATTTAAAGAATGTACTGTGTGAAATACTGAGTTAAAATGCCTAAGACGGGTTTTCATGTTTTTCTAATCCTGACTTGGTTTGGTAATGCCTGAGTTTAATCTAGTTCATAGTTTTACATCAGGTAAGTGGCAGTTTGTGGAAAAAAGTTGAAAATTACACCAAGTAGTACTGATTTCCCAAATTCCATCCAAATTGCAGGAACAAATGCAGTGACAAACGTTCTGTCTGACTCAGGCACAGTTCACACTTAGTGCAGTTTAATAGACTGAGCTCACAAACAGAAACTGTACAAGCAGGTGTGTTAGTTTCAGAGTAGTTTGAGTGTAGTTAGCTCCTCCCTTCAGCAGATATAAGGGAGTGTCCACCAGAGTCTGACCTGACACTTGTTATAAATCCTACCTGGATGACTGCGGGATTACACAGACATGTTGGCAAATATGTTTGTTGTTGTAATGATAATGACTGTTGCGTAACTTTTAGCGTTGGCCCTTGTTTGCATTATTGCTAGGTAACAGTATGTAACAGTATCAGAATAACTTCTATGTATTTCAGCTTCCCACGTCCATCAAAATGATAATTCTGGTATAAAACTAATTATAAACCATATTTCTTTGGGTAAAATCTGAAATACTCTACCGGTCAAAAGTTATTCCAGTTATTCCAGTTTTTTACTATTGATCAAAAAGTATTTAAAACTTTTGATTGATGTGTGTGTCCACCTTTGGCAGATGGAACAGCTGAGCACACTCGTGGCTCGTTCTGTTTACAACAGAAATCAAATATTCTACAGAAAGTTCTTCCCAAGTCTGTTGCAGAAGTTTCCATAAATGTGTGGCACTTGTAGGTTGCTTCACTCGTCTGTCCAGTTCATCCCAAACCAGCTCCATGAGATTTAAATCTGGACACTGTGCTGCTGCTGGACACTCCATGTTTTCAAGTTCACCATCTTGTTTTTTTTTTTCCATTTCAAGCTCTTCACTGGACTTGCACAACTTGGATTGCAATAAATAACTGGAAAAATGAGGGTGTTCTAAAACTTTTGATGGGTAGTGCATATTTATGTTCACTCTGTTTAGTGACATGAGTAGTCTAACCTGTCGCATGCACTTGAAATAGAAACTTTAAATAGAATCAAAAGTAACATTCGTGCGCACCGTTGTCAGAAATGTCCAGACTGGTGATGTTTGGGATTTCTGCGATACATCCCTCCAGAATCTGAGAGCCCCCCGAACGCAACTGAAAAAAACAAGAAAAATACAAGCACTTTAAACTTTTACATCTAAATACAAAACTGACAATTTTAAATGTAAAATCTTGTACGTCGCAGCCGCTGAGGTCCAGAGACACGTCACTGAGGTTTGGATTACAGCCAAGACCCAAAAGAAGAGCCCTGGAACAGAAACAAGAGCATGGGAGGGCATCTGACACAAGGACAGAAGGATTGGAGGGCATCTGGCACATGGGGGGCATAAACCAGACACACATGGGGAGACTGGGAGGGCATCTGACGCACAGGGGGAGTATGGGAGAGCATCTGACGCACAGGGGGAGTATGGGAGGGCATCTTACTTGAGTGCATCCAGGGGCAGTCTGGTTCCTGACAGAAACACAGAGGTCAGACTCAGGGCCGAGCTGAAAAACAGTTTAAACCCGGACGAGATCTCCTTGGACTTCCTGCACACACACATGACAATACACAGTACACATGATATGAACAGTGTGTGTGTGTGTGCGGTGTGCAGGGGGCGCTCTCACCTGTTGGAGAACACACACTTGGACAGGTTCAGGACTGACAGGTGCTGCAGACTCCCTCTAAGCAGAGATGAACAGATCTGAAAAAAGAAGGAAGGGATGAGAAGGAGAGATGGAGAGAGAGACAGGAGCAGCACAATATAAGCTATTAACATTAAAGAGAGGGTTTTCACTCTCCTCGCTAAGTCACTCCCCCTTCAGAGCACTATCACAACACATCAGTGTTCATCCCACTGATGAAACTATCACATGCTTTGTGTGTTTATGGAGAAGTGTCGTGACCATGAGCAGACTTCTCCTACATGGGTGACATGATTTGATGAGGGAACAAGAAGCTGTTGTAGAAAGCTCCAAAAAGTCTATGTTGCATAAAAGCCCGTCTTTATTAATACTTCATTATTCATGGAAAAAGATACAGTATTTCTTGTCTTCTTTGTTTGAAGGTAAAGTCTGTAGAGTCGTGTACATTTGGGTTTGTGTTTTCTCTTGGTGAAGACACAGAGACCAAATCTGATGTATTAAAACAAAGTTTGTGTGACCTCTGACCTGCAGAGTGTGTGACCTCTGACCTGCAGAGTGTGTGACCTCTGACCTCTCACCTGTTCCAGGGAGCAGTCGGTGTGTGACAAATCCAACGTCTCTAAAGAGTTTGACTGAGACAGAAAACTCTGCAGGTGCTGAGAGGAAACACATGAGACAACATTTGAATGACATCATTTGGTTTGTATGAAATATGAACTATACACAACTACACACAACTACACACAACTACACACAACTACACACAACTACACACAACTACACACAAATACACACAACTACACACAACTACACACAACTACACACAACTACACACAAATACACACAACTACACACAAATACACACAACTACACACACAAATACACACAACTACACACAACTGTACACAACACTACTGTAATCCTGCACCAGACTCTGCCTGAACATAACCCTAAAGCATGAGTGTGTATAGAAGCTCAGCCTGACCCAGAGTCACACAGCTGAGTGTGTGTGTGTGTGTGTGTTACCTGTAGTGCATCTCCTCTGGTCTTATGTATCCTGACTGTAGGGGTGTGCAAAAATATCGGAATATCGATATATTGTATCGTTTAATGTGATGATACAGTATCGATATCGTGGGCTACTGTATCGATATTTCACCAAGAGTATTTTTAGGTGTGTTTTACTAAATTATTTTGTTACAGTGCTACAGTTTTGTTGCTTGTGGAGTGAAAGGAAGCTCATTTATGCGACACATTTGACATTTTTACTGTTTTGAGGATTAAAATGTTTGTGTTTCATATGAACTTTTCACAAGAAGTGATTTAACAAAGCCTTTTAGTATCAGAGCCACGATTTAGCCTTTATTTTTTATTGAACTGTATCGAATCGATTTGAAATATATCATATCAAATTGAAAGTGTACTGTATCGAGATATGTATCGTATCGTGGCCTGTGTATCGGGGTATGTATTGTATCGGCAACTCCTTAATGATACCCAGCCCTACCTGACTGTGTACTGTTTATTTAGATGAGTCCCTCAGGTGTGTGTTACCTGGAGTTCGTCTCCTTTCACAGAATTCTCAGACAAGTCCAGTTTCTTCAGACTGGACCAGACAGCAGGATTTGAGCTGAGCGCCTGACACACACTGTTCACTCCTGATTTGTACAAACACACACACACACACACACACACACACACACACACACACACACACACACACACACACACACATATCATAAATCAGGACATGCTGAGTCCTGTCTTGGTGTTTAACAGAACATAGAATCATGGATTAAGGCGGTGACCTTTAGCGGACAGTCCGGTCTTGGACAAGTTGAGCTGTTTGAGTCCCAGAGGAAGTTTGGCCAACTGTGAACTGAGGGCTGCTACACCTGAGACAGACACATGTCACTGTGTTTATAAAGGTGTAAAATCACTTCAGCATACACACAGGCTGTAATAATCCAAACCAAAGCCTGGTCTGGTCTGGTCTCTTGCTAAGCACGGCTGGACCTGAGAGGGACTAGAGCAACATGAACTAACCACACAGAGGAGAGAGAGAAGAGTGGAATCTGATCCAGACACTAGAAGAACTGTGGAAATAAGTGCTAAATTAAAGCTCCACGGTGTATTTCTGTGTATGTCGGGCATGTCTCCAGGAATAAACGACTTTGGAACATTTCAGGCATTGCCATGCAGATTTCCAAAGCAGATTTCCATGAAAACAGGCCAAGTTACGAGTCAGGTCTGTGAGGAGCCAAGTCTGTTCACAGGAAAGCTACATGTGAGCAGTATAATTACTTACAATAAAATAACTACTTTTGTTGTCCAGTTACTGACTGAAATGTTCCACAGTGGGGCTTTAATATGTGTTAGTTACCTTTGTCTTCGAGGGAGTTGTTGCAGAGAGTGAGAGAGTGCAGAGCAGAGGCCGGGTTATGAGACAGAGCCAGAGCCAACTTCTGAGCAAAATCACTACGGATCGAAAAAATTCACATTTCAAAAATAAAGTTAAAATCTTTTATGTCCCAAGACTTCTGTTATGAAAGTGCAGCTGTGTGTGTGACCTCCGGAGGGCGGCGTTGTCCAGGACCAGTTCCTCTAAACGACTGGAGCGAGCGACCACACGAAGGATCTGATCACACACGTCTGTCGGCTGAAAGCAGAACAGGAAAGATGAGGAATCACACCTGTGTGGGCTATTAACTAACACATCACAGTCCAGTGAGGTTCATTTGGTGTTCTCACTGCGTTCATTTATGTTATTTGGTTCTTTTTTCAGACCAAGAGTTTGTTTTCAGAGCTGACAGTTTGTTCTGCTCCCTGCGCTCTTCCTCAGACTGGTAATGTGGTGTTGTTGTGACGTGTCCGCTCAGCTGTTTCATCCTGCCTCCTCCGGTAGGCAGACAGCACCAAAACCTGGTTAAATCATCTGAACGACACATCACAGCAACATCACGAGACTCTGAGGAAGAGCACAGAGCAGAACAAACTGTCAGGTCTGAAAACAAATTCTTGATCTGAAAAAAAAAAAACCCCTAATAACATAACTGTAACACATCTCATATTTAGATCAGCATGTTTCCTTTGATTGTTCTGAAAATGTTATATTCATCCTAAACAATGTTAGTTTTTAGATAGTTATTTTATAGTGCTGTGAATCTCATGGCTCCCCTCGCTAAGTCACCCCCCCTTCAGAGTGCTGTCACAATCAGCGTGCATCCCACTGATGAAACTCCTGCACATCACATCAGGTTTGTCCAGTTGCTGTGTACAGTTTGTTTTACAGTTTTGCATCATGTTTTTGTATATTTATGAAGAATTGTCAAGTGGGAGAATGGGTGATGTACACTTGTGGGCGGAGCCTTGTACATGCACGTACTGCTAACCGTAAGGAGGGACATCTAAAACCTCAACATTATAATGTGGTAGAAAACTCAGTTGTGCTCAGTGCCCCCACTTTATATAAATGCATGCCAATCGCTGTAAAATGTTTTGGGTAATCCCCTGTCCTCTGAGTCAGATGCCCTCCTTGTGTGTCAAATGTTCTCCCTATATCTCCATGAAATCTTATTTGTGTAAAATCTGTGTAAAACACTGTAGTTTAGACCTCTACAAACATGTTCTGATGCATGGGGATCTTGGATTAGAACAGGTCAGATTTCTCAGGTGTAATTTGCAGTTTAACTTTCAGATTTCAGATTTGTTTTCCTGATTTTGAGTTCATATATAACAACCATAAATCAGGCTGAGGATTTAGGCTTAGAATTCTTCTCTCTATCTCAGAGAAGGACTCAGCCTAAATCTGCAGGGTTTGTATGTTAACATGTGTGAATGAAACAAAACACAACTCCAGGTGTGTGTGTTTAAACCATGAGGTACTTTGACAAGTAGCCAATCCCAAACTAATAATGGTTCAACATTTATGGATCAGAAGTTGGACACTCACCAGTTTGTAGTCTTTGATGGAGAGTTTGGTGAACCACTGATTGTGTTCAAGAACAGCGATGATCGGAACCAGGTCTCTGCAAAAACACAAAATATATTTACACACATGTACAAGAGGACGGGAGGGCATCTGACACACAGGAAGGCAGGAGGACGGGAGGATCGACGGCACCTGACTCACCTGTTCTCCAGGTGGATAAAGTCCTGGAGGTTCAGTTCTTTTGTGTCCTGGGTTAAATAAATTGTGTCCACATCCTAGAGAAAAATGTAATTTCATGTAATTTAATGTAATGTGATGTAATATGATTTTTGTATTTTTCCAGATGAGGACATACCCACTGGACTTCGTCTCTGTACGGCAGCCCCAAGTGATCACACATGACCCAGTACTGAAGAGAAAAACCTCCTAAAAGAGAGAGATAGAACGATGGAGAGAGAGAGAGAGAGGAAGAGACGAAGGCAGGAGGAGGAGAGAGAAGCAGAGGGTTAAAGATAAGACAATAAACAGTACTAATGTTAACTGCAATAATAAAGAACAACAATGATCACGTTTGGTAAATGTTGTATAATTGTGATCAGAACTAGTTACTCGTCTGAACCACAAATACAACATTAGACAAACGCCTCCATGATCACTGGGGCTTTCACATTTCACAAATCCTCTCCAGTACAGTTCTGGAACCACAGAAACATGTTCACAAGAAGAAAATGTGTGTGTCTTGGTGCATAAGTGAGTTATTTCCATAACTGCTTTTAACCTCATTTAGATTCATGTGATATTTTTTAAGTTGTGATTCTTTTCTCCATAATATCCTCAACACAAAAAGTCATTATGATCCTGAGCCGCTGGTCAAGTATTTGAGCAGCCGAGTGTGGAGTGACTGAAGAGTGACCACAGTGGACAATGGTCAGTATTATTCTAAAACAGCCTCATAGATGACTACACCGTACACCTGAAGTACTAATATTTACAAAGTATATACAGGACTGTTACAATACTACACTACAAAGTCAGAACACTGTAACATGTTTGGTCAAAAATGAGTTCATGTCATTTTGTTTGTATTTGAGAGCTCCTTTATCATGTGAATAAATATGTGACAAATATTGAGCTCAAACATGACCTTTGACCCTTATTTGTCAGTTCCTGTTGAATAAGGAGTCGTGCAAAGGCAAAAGGCAGTAACAGTGTATGTTTTGTTTAGTTCATATTCATATTCATTTATACTTCAGTGATCTTTAAAGTGAAAGTATTGTGTGTATTTATTCATACTGTACACACTCTACTGCAGAGTCACTTGTGTTAAACTGTTTCACTGTGGAAGTGTCGCCGCATGATCCTGATCAACACTAAACAGGAAATCCAAAACTCTTCTAGATCATTTTAAACAAACACATGATGACTGGAGCTTGGTGACGTGATTTTCTTAAAATGGATGAAGTCTGGGCAAAATCAAGCAAATCATGATCAGGACAGTTTCTGCGTTTGGCCTTTGCACGAAAACTTATTTTTGTCTCACGATAAAAAGCAGAGAACACAAACTGACAAAATAAGGTCAATTTTGAGCTCAATAATTTTCACATACAAATATTTTTTCATTATAGCAACTACTTGTCACATTTTGGGAGAACTGCCTATTTTACTTTTGTCTGGACAAAACAGAAACTTTGAAGTCATTTTTCACACTCTGGAGAGTTAAACTCTTTGTAGGACAGAATTGTATGTGTGTGTGTTTGGAATAAGTGTATTATAAAGAGCATTGTTCTGACCACAGGGCCCCAGCTCTGGTGCACTTCCCCATCTCTCCAGCAGAGGAGCTGTTCTCTCTGGAGGCTTTAGACTCAGCTTCTTCAACAACTTCCTGCATGAAAGAAGAGAAAAGGTTTGGTTTAAAGTCACAGAAAAGGCTCTATTCACACTTACACAGTGTTGGGAAGGTTACTTTTAAAATGTATTCCCTTACAGATTACAGATTACATACCCCAAAATGTAGTTTGTAACGTAATCCATTAAATTACTTAAAGTGAGTAACGTAATCTAAATACTTTGGATTACTTGATTTGCTGTAGAGAAGCAAAGACGAGGAAATCTTCACATAAGTCTGCTAAAAGACAATAAAAATGCCCAGGCTTTCTTAACTGTTTTAGTCTTGGTTTAGTCCTGGTTTAGACCTGGTTTTAGACCTGGTTTAAAATTGGTTTAGACCTGGTTTGGACCTGGTTTTAGTCCTGGTTTAGACCTGGTTTTAGACCAAGTTTAGAACTGGTTTGGACCTGGTTTTAAACCTGGTTTAGTGTCCGGCAATGAGTGGAATTACTGAACAAAAAAACAAACAAAAAAAGGGAATACCCTGAAATGTGAAAACAGGAAAATACCGCTGTGTAATCCATTTATTTCAATCAAGTAACTGTAATCCAATTACCTCTCATTAAAACAGTAACTCCCCTCCTTGAACCGTCACCTTATCGTGGTGGAGGGGTTTGAGTGCCCGAATGATCCCGGGAGCTATGTTGTCGGGGGCTTCATGCCCCTGGTAGGGTCACCCAAGGCAAACAGGTCCGGGGGGACGGGTCAGACGAAGAACGGTTCAGAAGCCCCTATGATGAGTGTACCAGCAAGGCCAGTTACGTCGCCCGGATTGGCGTCACCGGGGCCTCACCCTGGAGCCAGGCCTGGGGTGGGTGCTCGCCAGCGAGCGCCTGGTGGCCGAGCCTCCCCCCACGGGGCTCGGCTGGGCTCAGCCCGAAGGAGCGACGTGGGGCCGTTATCACATGGGCCCACCACCCGCAGGAGGATCCATATGGGGCCGGTGCACAGAGATCTGGGCAGCAGTCGACGGCGGGGGCCTTGGCGACCAGATCTCCGGACATGGAGACTAGCTCTGGGGACATGGAATGTCACCTCGCTGGGGGGGAAGGAGCCTGAGCTTGTGCGGGAGGTTGAGCGTTACCGACTAGATATAGTCGGCCTCACCTCCACGCACAGTTTGGGCTCTGGAACCCAACTCCTTGAGAGGGGCTGGACTCTCCATTTCTCTGGCGTTGGCCGTGGGGAGCGGCGGCGAGCTGGTGTGGGCTCATTGCCCCACAGCTCAGTCGCTGTGTGTTGGAGTTCACCCCGGTGAACGAGAGGGTCGCGTCCCTGCGCCTTCGGGTCGGGGACAGGTCTCTCACTGTGGTGTCGGCCTACGGGCCGAACAGCAGTGCAGAGTACCTGGCCTTCTTGGAGTCCTTGGGAGGGGTACTAGACAGTGCACCGACCGGGGACTCCGTTGTTCTCCTGGGGGACTTCAACGCCCACGTGGGCAACGACAGTGACACTTGGAGAGGGGTGATTGGGAGGAACGGCCTCCCTGATCTGAACCCGGGCGGTGTTTTGTTATTGGACTTCTGTGTTAGTCACAGTTTGTCCATAACGAACACCATGTTCGAGCACAAGGGTGTCCATAAGTGCACGTGGCACCAGGACACCCTAGGCCGGAGGTCGATGATGCGGATACAAGCGCTCGAAATGAGTTTCCTCCGCAGGGTGGCTGGGCGCTCCCTTAGAGATAGGGTGAGGAGCTCAGTCACACGGGAGGAGCTCGGAGTAGAGCCGCTGCTCCTCCACGTCGAGAGGAGCCAGTTGAGGTGGCTTGGGCATCTGTTCCGGATGCCTCCTGGGCGTCTCCCTCGGGAGGTGTTCCGGGCATGTCCCACCGGGAGGAGGCCACAGGGAAGACCCAGGACACGCTGGAGGGACTATGTCTCTCAGCTGGACTGGGAACGCCTCGGGGTCCCCCTGGAGGAGCTGGAGGACATGTCTGGGGTGAAGGAAGTCTGGGAGTCCCTGCTTAGGCTGCTGCCCCCGCGACCCGGCCCCGGATAAGCGGACGAAAATGGATGGATGGATGGATAAAACAGTAACTGTAACCGAATAGTTACTCATAATTTGTACTCTGATTACGTAACTCCAGTACATGTAATCTGTTACTCCCCAACACTGCACTTACATCACAAACAGTTTTCATCATTTCTCCACTGACGCACAACTCCGAGCTCACTGGGTACATGTGATTAGAAGAGATGAGGCGCCAAACTCCAGATGATTCCAAACAGCACATACATCTGCAGTCTTCATTTCACCACTGATCACATTTACTCCAGTGGGTTTGATCACGGTCGGTCAAGCCCAGTGTCGGGAACTACACTGGAAGTTGTCATCGCATCTTTCCAAATGTCTTCCTGGTTTGTGACGTAAGTGTGAATAGAGTCTATGAAGCACTGCACTGCGATGCTTTGAGGACACTCAAATCCACTTTTGATGCTGATAATTCTGTAGCCACAGCTGCCCTGAGGCGGTTAGAATGAACACAATGAGCAGAGCTTAAAGGCTGCAGTTTTGAAGCAGCATCATTTCCTCCACAAGCAAAATCTCTGGTCTTATTCTGCATGAATACAAATAACCCTCGATCTATATGTTCTGAAATGCCCCTGTGTGTCAGATGCCCTCCCATTCTCCTCCTGTGTGTCAGATGCCCTCCCATTCTCCTCCTGTGTGTCAGATGCCCTCCCCGTGTGTCAGATGCCCTTCCTGACTCACGCTGGAGTGATGTTGGGGCAGATCTTCTGGAGGCTCAGGCCGATGTCAGTGATGATGTCGTCCACCTCCAGATCAGGAGAACGCAGCAGCCAGCTCCCTCTGTCATGCTCCAGGACCAGCTACAGGGGGCGCCGCAGGACGAGGACAACCAGGGAGAGAAAGAGAGAAAGAAAGAGAGGGAGAGGGTGGTGGGTGCAGGTGCAGAGGGAAGCAGAGAGGAATTCAGCAAAACTATTTTAAGAATGTAAAAGGACATAGATAGGTCTATTTTTTAACATATATCAGCCACAAACAAACAAATATTATGCTCATTTATTTGGTAATATTCACTGATTATTATTCATAATTGATACAAATATGAATCAAATTATGAATCCAGATCTTGAGCTGGTGATGCTCAGGACTAGGTGTTAGTGTTGGTCAGGACTGGGTGTTAGTGTTAGTGTTGGTCAGGACTGGGTGTTAGTGTTGCTCAGGACTGGGTGTTAGTGTTGGTCAGGACTGGGTGTTAGTGTTGGTCAGGACTGGGTGTTAGTGTTGATCAGGACTGGGTGTTAGTGTTGGTCAGGACTGGGTGTTAGTGTTGGTCTGGACTGGGTGTTAGTGTTGGTCAGGACTGGGTGTTAGTGTTAGTGTTGGTCAGGACTGGGTGTTAGTGTTGGTCAGGACTGGGTGTTAGTGTTAGTGTTGGTCAGGACTGGGTGTTAGTGTTGGTCAGGACTGGGTGTTGGTGTTGGTCAAGACTGGGTGTTAGTGTTAGTGTTGCTCAGGACTGGGTGTTAGTGTTGGTCAGGACTGGGTGTTGGTGTTAGTGTTGGTCTGGACTGGGTGTTAGTGTTGGTCAGGACTGGGTGTTAGTGTTAGTGTTGGTCAGGACTGGGTGTTAGTGTTAGTGTTGGTCTGGACTGGGTGTTAGTGTTGGTCAGGACTGGGTGTTAGTGTTGGTCAGGACTGGGTGTTAGTGTTGGTCAGGACTGGGTGTTAGTGTTAGTGTTGGTCAGGACTGGGTGTTGGGTGTTAGTCTTGGTCAGGACTGGGTGTTGGTGTTGGTCAAGACTGGGTGTTAGTGTTAGTGTTGCTCAGGACTGGGTGTTAGTGTTGGTCAGGACTGGGTGTTGGTGTTAGTGTTGGTCTGGACTGGGTGTTAGTGTTGCTCAGGACTGGGTGTTAGTGTTGGTCTGGACTGGGTGTTAGTGTTGGTCAGGACTGGGTGTTAGTGTTGGTCAGGACTGGGTGTTAGTGTTGGTCAGGACTGGGTGTTAGTGTTGGTCAGGACTGGGTGTTAGTGTTGGTCAGGACTGGGTGTTAGTGTTAGTGTTGGTCAGGACTGGGTGTTGGGTGTTAGTCTTGGTCAGGACTGGGTGTTGGTGTTGGTCAAGACTGGGTGTTAGTGTTAGTGTTGCTCAGGACTGGGTGTTAGTGTTGGTCAGGACTGGGTGTTGGTGTTGGTCAAGACTGGGTGTTAGTGTTAGTGTTGCTCAGGACTGGGTGTTAGTGTTGGTCAGGACTGGGTGTTAGTGTTGGTCAGGACTGGGTGTTGTGTCAGGACTGGGTGTTAGTGTTAGTGTTGGTCAGGACTGGGTGTTGGTGTTGGTCAGGACTGGGTGTTAGTGTTAGTGTTGGTCAGGACTGGGTATTAGTGTTGGTCTGGACTGGGTGTTGGTGTTGGTCAGGACTGGGTATTAGTGTTGGTCTGGACTGGGTGTTGGTGTTGGTCAGGACTGGGTGTTAGTGTTAGTGTTGGTCTGGACTGGGTGTTAGTGTTGGTCAGGACTGGGTATTAGTGTTGGTCTGGACTTGGTGTTAGTGTTGGTCAGGACTGGGTGTTGGTGTTGGTCAGGACTGGGTGTTAGTGTTGGTCAGGACTGGTGTTGTTGTGTTGGTCAGGGGACTGGGTGTTAGTGTTGGTCAGGACTGGGTGTTGGTGTTGGTCAGGGACTGGTGTTAGTGTTAGTGTTGCTCAGGACTGGGTGTTAGTGTTGGTCAGGACTGGGTGTTAGTGTTGGTCAGGACTGGGTGTTGGTGTTGGTCAAGACTGGGTGTTAGTGTTAGTGTTGGTCAGGACTGGGTGTTGGGTGTTAGTGTTGGTCTGGACTGGGTGTTAGTGTTAGTGTTGGTCAGGACTGGGTATTAGTGTTGGTCTGGACTGGGTGTTGGTGTTGGTCAGGACTGGGTGTTAGTGTTGGTCTGGACTGGGTGTTAGTGTTGGTCAGGACTGGGTGTTAGTGTTAGTGTTGGTCTGGACTGGGTGTTAGTGTTGGTCAGGACTGGGTGTTGGTCTGGACTGGGTGTTAGTGTTGGTCAGGACTGGGTGTTGGTGTTGGTCAGGACTGGGTGTTAGTGTTAGTGTTGGTCAGGACTGGGTGTTGGTGTTGGTCAGGACTGGGTGTTGGTGTTGGTCAGGACTGGGTGTTGGTGTTAGTCTTGGTCAGGACTGGGTGTTGGTGTTGGTCAGGACTGGGTGTTGGTGTTGGTCAGGACTGGGTGTTAGTGTTAGTGTTGGTCAGGACTGGGTGTTAGTGTTAGTGTTGGTCAGGACTGGGTGTTAGTGTTGGTCAGGACTGGGTGTTGGTGTTGGTCAGGACTGGGTGTTGGTGTTGGTCAGGACTGGGTGTTGGTGTTAGTGTTGGTCTGGACTGGGTGTTTAGTGTTGGTCAGGACTGGGTGTTGGTCTGGACTGGGTGTTAGTGTTGGTCAGGACTGGGTGTTGGTGTTGGTCAGGACTGAGTGTTAGTGTTGGTCAGGACTGGGTGTTGGTGTTAGTGTTGGTCAGGACTGGGTGTTGGTGTTGGTCAGGACTGGGTGTTGGTGTTAGTCTTGGTCAGGACTGGGTGTTGGTGTTGGTCAGGACTGGGTGTTGGTGTTGGTCAGGACTGGGTGTTAGTGTTAGTGTTGGTCAGGACTGGGTGTTAGTGTTAGTGTTGGTCAGGACTGGGTGTTGGTGTTGGTCAGGACTGGGTGTTGGTGTTGGTCAGGACTGGGTGTTAGTGTTGGTCAGGGTTGCTGGAGGATTTGACCTGTTGTGCATGTTTTGGGTTGATGGAGGAGACCAGAGCTGGAGAACTGTGACACATGACTAGGGCTCGAGTCAGACTTGAATTACTATTTTTAGGACTTGAGACTTGACTTGATAAAATGGACTAAGACTTGGGACTCAACTTGGACTTGAAGGTCAGTGACTTGGGACTTGACTTGGACTTGAGGCCTGTGACTTGAAAAGACTTGATGCTTCTAAAAAAAACATGTTTTTATAAAATACTTTTTCTCTTTACACTTGATAAATGTGGTACTGAATTTTACAGGAACAAACTGGAACATGTCTCTCCCACTTCTGTTTGTACTTTGGCTGTAACTGAAGTACTGTGAGACGGTATCCTCAAATGTACTGTAGTACACTAAAACAGAGAGAACTACAAAGAACTACAGAGAACATGATCCTTCACGACAAAATAACAGTTATTTAGCACTTTTGAATCTGAATTCTTTCTATTCTGACCGTAATGACATTTTAAAAGAAAAAAAAATCACTTCTTATATAAAAAACTCTAATATAAATACTATAAATAATAGAAAAATACCATGACTATTTAAGTGCAATTTACTTTGAAAGTCATATAGATTGCAAAAATGTAAGCTATAGTTGGTACTTAAAATTAAAAACTTGAAATGACTTGAAGCGCAAAGCAGATGACCTGGACTTGACTTGGACTTATGAGCCAGTGACTTGAGACTCAACTCAACTTGTGTTAAAATCTTGGTCACACAAGAAAAAAACAAAATCTACTCACTTGAAGAAAGTTTTATCATGATTTGAGTAAATTTCACTTGACAAGTAAAATGATCTGCCAGTGGAATAAGACTTTTTGTAGTTAAATTATGAAAATATATCTTGCTACACTTAAGAAAAACAACAACGTTTTGCACTTCAAATAAGAAAGAAAAATTGAATATTGCTTGAATTAAGAAAAACACACTTATTCCATTGGTCGATCATTTGACTTGTCAAGTTGAATCGACTCAAATCGAGTCAAATGTTCTGAATTTAAGTCATTTTAATTTACACCAATATTTTTTTTCCAGTGCAGATCAGAAAAAATTGCAGTGCAGACACAAGGAGAACATGCAAACTCCACACAGAAATGTCCAAGAGTGCTAACCACTGTACTACTGTACTACTGTACTACTGTACCACTGTACCACTGTACTACTGTACTACTGTACTACTGTACCACTGTACCACTGTACTACTGTACCACTGTACTACTGTACTACTGTACTACTGTACCACTGTACCACTGTACTACTGTACCACTGTACCACTGTACTACTGTACTACTGTACCACTGTACTACTGTACTACTGTACTACTGTACCACTGTACTACTGTACTACTGTACTACTGTACCACTGTACCACTGTACTACTGTACTACTGTACTACTGTACCACTGTACCACTGTACTACTGTACTACTGTACCACTGTACCACTGTACTACTGTACCACTGTACTACTGTACTACTGTACCACTGTACCACTGTACCACTGTACCACTGTACTACTGTACCACTGTACCACTGTACTACTGTACTACTGTACCACTGTACCACTGTACTACTGTACCGCTGTATTACTGTACTACTGTACTACTGTACCACTGTACTACTGTACTACTGTACCACTGTACCACTGTACCACTGTACTACTGTACCACTGTACTACTGTACTACTGTACTACTACTGTACCACTGTACCACTGTACTACTGTACTACTGTACCACTGTACTGTACCTGTACTGTACCACTGTACCACTGTACTGTACTGTACTGTACTGTACTTACTGTACTACTGTACTACTGTACCACTGTACTACTGTACTACTGTACTACTGTACCACTGTATTGTACTGTACTACTGTACCGCTGTACTACTGTACCACTACTGTACCACTGTACCACTGTACTACTGTACTACTGTACTACTGTACCACTGTATTACTGTACTACTGTACCGCTGTACTACTGTACTACTGTACCACTGTACTACTGTACCACTGTACTACTGTACGGCTGTACCACTGTATTACTGTACTACTGTACCGCTGTACCACTGTGCTACTGTACCGCTGTACTACTGTACTACTGTACCACTGTATTACTGTACTACTGTACCGCTGTACCACTGTACTACTGTACTACTGTACTACTGTACCACTGTACCACTGTACTACTATACTACTGTACCACTGTACCACTGTACTACTGTACTACTGTACCACTGTACCACTGTACTACTATACTACTGTACTACTGTACCACTGTATTACTGTACTACTGTACCACTGTACCACTGTACTACTGTACTACTGTACCACTGTACCCTTGTACCACTGTACCACTGTGCCACTGTACTGCTGTGCCACCGTGCCATTGTGCCACTGTGCCAATGTACCACTGTGCAACTGTAACAACGTGCCACTGTACAACTGTACCACCGTGCCACTGTACCACTGTACCACTGTACTACTGTACTACTTTACCACTGTACCACCGTGCTACTGTGCTACTGTGCATCTGTGCCATCTTGGCATCTTAAACAAAATCAGTTGTGTGTTGTATTTTTAATTCATTTATTAGAATAAACCTTAAAGCTCATCCAAACCTGAAGCATGTGCACTGTCTCCTTACACAGAGAGAACATGCCCTTATATGGAGAGTGTATGTCCTTATATGGAGAGTGTACGTCCTTATATGGAGAGTGTACGTCCTTATATGGAGAGTGTACGTCCTTATATGGAGAGTGTACGTCCTTATATGGAGAGTGTACGTCCTTATATGGAGAGCGTTTGTCCTTACACATCACTGTGCACGTCCTTATTTGGAGTTACCTGTGTGGGCTTGTTGCTGCTGACTCCCTGTAGATCCAACAGACTGAACGACTGCTCCACCTGAAATACAGAAATATGACACTTTTCAAAATGATGAAAGGAGGAGACTTTGATCCAGTTTTGGTCCGTTATCGTTTCAACGTTTAAATCGTGTTCTGATATTACAGAGGCGTGTTGGAGCAGGAGGAGGCCCATTGCCCCACACAGTTTGGAAATCCAGACCAGTCCAGACCTGCTCAGACCAAGACCTCAAAAATGTGAGAGGAGCGTAAAGGAGGGTGTGTGTGAGAGCGCCTCCTGTGGCTCTAACACGCTACTACAACACGTGTGCACTTCTGGCTCCACTGGGCTCGGCATTCTGACCTTCAAATGTTCATATAAACTCGTTCCACATGATGCAGGAGTTTTTATTTCACTATTTCGTCCCTAAATGAATTCCTGTTCCAGATGGGACTATATCTGCTGGCCTTGGTGAACTTCGTTTGACTGGAGCCAAACGCTGTGGCTGACGTCACATTCACTTAATCCACTTCGTTATACAATCTACAGGGCTAAACCAGGACTAAACCAGGACTAAACCAGGACTGAACCAGGACTAAACCAGGACTGAACCAGGACTAAACCAGGACTAAACCAGGACTAAACCAGGACTAAAACAGGACTAAACCAGGACTAAACCAGGTCTAAACCAGGACTAAACCAGGACTAAATCAGGATTAAACCAGGTCTAAACCAGGACTAAACCAGGACTGAACTAGGACTAAACCAGGACTGAACCAGGACTGAACCAGGACTAAACCAGGACTAAAGCAGGACTAAATCAGGATTAAACAAGGTCTAAACCAGTTCTAAACCAGGTCTAAACCAGGACTAAACCAGGACTAAACCAGGACTAAAGCAGGACTACACTTGGTCTAAACCAGGACTAAATCAGGATTAAACCAGGTCTAAACCAGAACTAAACCAGGACTAAATCAGGACTAAACCAGGTCTAAACCAGAACTAAATCAGGACTAAACCAGGACTAAACCAGGATTAAATCAGGTCTAAACCAGGACTAAAACAGGACTAAACCAGTTCTAAACCAGTTCTAAACCAGGACTAAAACAGGACTAAACCAGGACTAAAACAGGTCTAAACCAGGACTAAACCAGGTCTAAACCAGGACTAAAACAGGACTAAAGCAGGACTACACTTGGTCTAGATTGGGTCCATGCGTCGCTCTCAGAGACATTTGATCTGTTTTACCCAAAATGCACCAGGGCACAGACTGTGGGAAACAAAAACAGAGAGAGAGAGGGAGAGAGAGAGAGAGGACGAGAAAGTGAGGGGGGTTTAAAGAGAGAGAGCGAGGGAGGGGGATTAAAGACAGGGAAAGAGAGAGAGAGATAGATAGAGACAGAGAGAGAGAGAGAGAGAGAGAGAGAAGCAGAAAGGCAAGTGAGGGCAAGAGGGGAAACGGACTGGAGACGAGATGAAAGAGAGAACGTAGATAGATAGAAAGAGAAGAAAGGAGAGAGTCGGAGAGAGAGATGGGGTGAGAGAACGAGAGGGGAGAGAGGTGGAGAGAGAGAGGGTGGACAAAAACAGGAACACAGGAGTGGAGAAGTGAGAAAAAAACGAGTGTGAAAGAGAGAGGGACGAAAAGAGAAGAAAAAGAGTGTTGGAGTGTCTTGCCAAAGGACACAAGGAGAAATGGTGGGTTGTAGGGTGGTGTTGAAATCAAAGCGGTGGCCTCCCGGTGCCCGAGTCCGACGTCTTTTCCTGTTTGTGCGGAATATTAAACGTCCGTCTGAACTTTGGGAATTTCAGGGAACAAAAATAGAACTGTGCCTGAACTCAGGAAGGAGAGAGCGTTAAAGCCCCACTGCGAAACATTTCAGCCCATTCCTGCCTCTGGGATAGTGTGAGTGTGAGAAGAAAGTGAAAGACACATGAGAGACAGAAAGAGAGAGACAGAAAGAGACAGAGAGAGTTTTGTTAAGAAAAAAAAAAAGCATCAGGAATTTAACAGCTGCTGTAGAAAGAGCGAGGGAGCGAGGGAAGGAGAGAGAGGAGGAGAGAGGAAGAGAGAGAGGAGACAACGAGGGGCAGAGAGGAAAGAGGGAGGAGGAGGAGGGGACAGAATAAGAGAGAAGAGGCAAAAGAGAAGAAGAAAAACAGGAGGTATAGAGGAAGGAGAGAGGGAAAGGAGAGAAAGAGATGGGAGAGAGGGTGAGGAGAGAGAGCAAAAGAAGATGGAGGATGGAGGGAGGGAGGAGAGGAAGAGAGGGGGAGAGAGAGGTACAAAGGAGAGACGGGAAAAAGATATGGAAGGAAGAGAGGAATTTACAGAGAGAGAGGGAGAGGAAATGAAAGAGAGAGTGAGAGACAGAGAGAAAGAGAGAGAAAGAAAAAGAGAGAAAGAGCGATAGATAGATAGAGTGACAGGGAGAGAGAGAAAGACAGAAACAAAGAGAGAGAAAGAGAGAGAGAGATAAATGGAGGTACTATAGAGGAAGAAAAGAGTGAGAAATGAAGAAGGTGAGAAAAGGCTACTACTTCTACTGTTACAGAACTACTACTACTACTACTACTACTACTACTACTACTACTACTACTGCTGCTGCTGCTGCTGATGTCATCAACATTTCCTGTGATGTATTTCTAACTAGAGGCACTGTTGTGTCTGAAGTTTGTTAGACTTTCATCTGATCACAGACTCCTGAAAAAGTGCTGTTTTTGGACTTGTATTTTTAGTGTATTTAACCCTTACATACTGTTCAGGTCAAATTTGACCCTTTTCGACATTCAACAGTAGTAAAAATACACATCATTCTTTGATGAAAATTCAATGACTTTTCCTAAATTTTGACAAAATACACAAAAATGAATAATATAAAATAATATTTTTAAATTGTATACTTTTGAACAGGTGCTACAAATTTTTGGACATTGAGGCTGTTTCGGGTCAAATTTGACCCGTATCTATTCAGATGGATTTTAGCTCTATCAGTGTGGGTCAAATGAAGCAAAATGGAAGTTTTAGGGAAACTTGAAACTGTGAAACTGTACAGATCATGTTTGTGTGTATTTTTTTGATGGGACAGTGGTGACAGAGTTCAAGAGTTCACTGTTTTGAGATTCCCCCATGCCCCAGGTTCACAGAGACAGACGCCTGTTGGTTTTTGAAGGAGCAAAGGGAAATCTCTTAACAGTGAAAGGAGTGATCATCCTGTTTATGGAGCACAGAAGAAACACAAGTCAATCAAGTGGGAGATCTTTTCTTCTAAGTTTGAGTAAGTTCACCCAGGACACCACAGTCGTCTCATACATGTAAAAGAAAAACAAGAATGTCATAAGAATGTCATTCTTATGACATTCTTGTTCACAAGGATGAAGGAGAAGAACTGCAAAACAGGTACAACCTGCTGCAAATGTGGGAAACACAGATGAAAGTCCCACACTCACAGTTTTCTGCCACTGCTTTAAATGCACTGACTAGTTTGAAATAAGCAGAATGTTGTCATGGAAAAACATGGATAAACTATAAATTCCTACAGTTCCAGAATATTCATGTTATTTTCAAATGCAATAAAATGTTCATGTTTATGTTTTTATGTGTTTTGTAAAACAGGACATGATACTTTGTGATACTAGATGTTTTCTGCAAAAAAACGAGTGTAGTAAAAAAAAAAAAAAAAAAAAAAAAAGGCTCTTCCTGCTCTCAGAAACATTATATTTATACATCACATATATTTATTCATGTGGGACATTTTAAATAGATCTGTAGATCAAAATTTGGTTTAGACACTTGAGGGAATGAGGGAATTCGTGGTCTGGGTCACATTTGACTGACCCATGATTGATTGATTAGTTTTTATTTGGAGTTTGTGCCAAGAGAGAAACAATAATCATGTATACTACATACACACTGTAAACAACAGAAAAGCACATTTCTCAAAAAGGAGTGTGAAGAAAAAAACTTATATTAATCCACGCCTCGCTTAAGAAATGAAAAGATTGTAAAGGCTCAAACTTATTTGGCTGTTTTCACTGAGGTGTGCATTGTGTCTCCATGGTAACTGCTGAACATTCCAGCATCAAAATACATGTAGAACACCCCCCGCGTGATGTCAGCACAAAGTATCAACAGAGAAAGGACGGAGCCGGAGACACTGACCTTGGACGGGACTCGAGCTGTGAGGAGGAAGAGTCGATGAGGAGCCAAAACCTGAAACACACAAACACATTTTTAGAAAAGAAAGAAAAGCAGATAAAGAAAAGAGTTTTCTGAGCCGCCGCGGGGCAGACGGACGAGGGAGAGCCGGCCAATCTGCACCAACACCTCATATCACACCCCAGCAGTAACCATGGAAACAACAACAGCAACACACCGACAGGAATCAAACCCCCAACTCCACACTGAAAAAAATCACTTCTTCTACTACTACTACTACTACTACTACTACTACTACTACTACTACTACTACTACTACTGCTACTACTACTAATACTACTACTACTACTACTACTACTACTACTACTACTTACTACTACTACTACTACTGCTACTACTACTACTACTACTACTACTACTACTACTACTGCTACTACTACTACTACTACTACTACTACTACTACTACTACTACTACTACTACTACTACTGCTACTACTACTACTACTGCTACTACTACTACTACTACTACTACTACTACTACTACTACTACTACTACTACTACTACTACTACTACTACTACTACTACTACTACTACTACTACTACTACTACTACTACTACTACTACTACTACTACTACTACTACTACTACTACTACTACTACTACTACTACTACTACTACTACTACTACTACTAGCTACTACTACTACTACTACTACTACTACTACTACTACTACTACTACTACTACTGCTACTACTACTACTACTACTACTACTACTACTACTACTACTACTACTACTACTACTGCTACTACTACTACTACTACTGCTACTACTACTACTACTACTACTACTACTACTACTACTACTACTACTACTACTACTACTACTACTACTACTACTACTACTACTACTACTACTACTACTACTACTACTACTGCTACTACTACTACTACTACTACTACTACTACTACTACTGCTACTACTACTTACTACTACTACGCTACTACTACTACTACTACTACTACTACTACTACTACTACTACTACTACTACTACTACTACTACTACTACTACTACTACTACTGCTACTACTACTACTACTACTACTACTACTACTACTACTACTACTACTACTACTACTACTACTACTACTACTACTACTACTACTACTACTACGCTACTACTACTACTACTACTACTACTACTACTACTACTACTACTGCTACTACTACTACTACTACTACTACTACTACTACTACTACTACTACTACTACTACTACTACTACTACTACTACTACTACTACTACTACTACTACTACTACTACTACTACTACTACTACTACTACTACTACTACTACTACTACTACTACTACTACTACTACTACTACTACTACTACTACTACTACTACTACTACTACTACTACTACTACTACTACTACTACTACTACTACTACTACTACTACTACTACTACTACTACTACTACTACTACTACTACTACTACTACTACTACTACTACTACTACTACTACTACTACTACTACTACTACTACTGCTACTACTACAACTACTACTACTACGACAACTACTACTACTACTACTACTACTACTACTACTACTACTACTACTACTACTACTGCTACTACTACTACTACTACTACTACTGCTACTACGACAACTACTACTACTACTACTACTACTACTACTACTACTACTGCTGCTGCTGCTGCTATTACTGCTACTACTACTACTACTGCTACTACTACTACTATTACTGCTACTACGACTACTACTACTACACTACTACTACTACTACTACTACTACTACTACTACTACTACTACTACTACTACTACTACTACTACTACTACTGCTACTACTGCTACTACTGCTACTACTACTACTACTACTACTACTACTACTACTACTACTACTACTACTACTACTACTACTACTACTACTACTGCTACTACTACTACTACTACTACTACTACTACTACTACTACTACTACTACTACTGCTACTACTACTACTACTACTACTACTACTGCTATTATTACTACTACTGCTACTACTACTACTACTATTACTGCTACTACTACTACCGCTACTGCTACTACTACTACTACTACTACTACTCCTGTTACAGCTACTACTACTACAACAACAACAACTACTACTACTACTACTACTATTGCTACTACTACTACTGCTACTACTACTACTACTACTACTACTACTACTACTGCTACTACTACTACTCCTGTTACAGCTACTACTACTACAACTACTACTACTACTACAACTACTACTACTACTATTGCTACTACTGCTACTACTACTCCTGTTACTACTACTGCTACTGTTACTACTACTACTACTACTACAGCTACTAGTACTGTCACTACTTCAACCACTACTACTTAACTTCTGCAGGTAGTAAAATATATTAAACAGACTGTGGTCATTTTTACACTGACATAACATCATTGTGTGAGAACTACAAGTTATTTAACAGTTATGTATAAAATGTACTTCTTTTCTTGATGTAGTAGAAGTACTGCGTGTCATGAGTCAGTTCTACTACAGAATCACCAACACGGTTAAAGGTTTTACAGTCATTACTCCCAAACACACAAATTACACAAAGCACACAAAGTACAACAAAAGTCCTTCTAGATGAGTCCCTGAACTCATCAGCTACAGATCTGGAGCTGTGGCAGCGGGAGCTCAGGTCGAGTGTTTGTCCACTGAGCTGAAGGTTGGCAGTTCAAATCCAGCTCTTGACAAAAAAACAAAACAAAAAAAACATAATTGGTTGAGCAGTAAGATCCACAGATTGGAAGTGCAATTCTTGCTCCCACAAATGATTGCTGTCATTGTGTCCTTGGGCAAGACACCTGATCCATCTGGCCCCCAGTGTCTGCACACACAGGTGTATAAATGTGTGTGTGAGTGGTTCCTTGCTCCTTTGAGTATTTATTTATTTAATGAGACAGGGACAGTGCACAATTTTCATGAACCTTAACAGGAGAGATGTTTGTAGCAGGTTGTAGCACCAGGGCTCATGTCCACCTGTCGTCCTGGGCAGGTTCATTGATTGTATTTAACTGGCCTTGGCTGTTCTTCCTGGAGCATGTTCTGGGTTGATGGGGGAAAACAGAGCGCCTGGAGCAAACCTGTTAAATACTTGGTTGTCCTTAATTGACTTCGTGACCCACTTTTGGGGTGTGGGTGTGTGTGGTTACGCACCGGTGTGCAATCCTGATAAATGGTATCAGCTCACTTCCACTGAGTGAGTGCGTGCAGGCCAAACCAAGTCCATGTCGTTGCATTTTATTTTGTCCTCCGAATTTAACTGGCTATACTTTCTCTTACTGCGATGGCTGCGCCAACAAAACCCATCCAGACACGGGGAGAAATATGCAAACTCCACACAGAAAGGCCCGGACAACCCAGGGATCGAACCCAGAACCTTCTTGCTGCTAACCACTCAGCCCAAGTCTTGAAGTCTTAAACACTACACATATTTTTACCATTTATTATACATCAGTAAATGCTACACACATAATATTTACTTCATTACTTCATTTCATCACTGAAATACAATTCATTATAACAATACTGTATATATTTTACTTAATTTATTTACATAAATATGACACCGTAAAAAAAAAAAAAAGTAAGTGCATTTTACTTAATACTAGTGTTGTAGTGAAGAGCGCACTATTCGAGACCAAGACCAGTTCAAGACCACAGGGTCCAGAGACCAGGACAAGACCACAGGGTCCAGAGACCAGGACAAGACCACAGGGTCCAGAGACCAGGACAAGACCAAGACCTCTGAGGGTCGAGACCGAGACTTTTAAAGGCCGAGACCAAATCAAGAGCATCTTTGTCATTTCCTACATTTGTTTGTATTATTCAGTTATTTTGGCACATTTATATCAATGCTTTTATGAATCTATCTCCATTTGATCTGATTCATGTTCATTTAGGCTTAAAATAGGCCAAGCAAACTGCACCGAAATAGTTACTGAAACGGGTGGGAAAAACAGGTCAAAGTTCAAAATGTTTGTAACTAAAAGACAAAGAATAGAATTCTGATTTAAATTTGAATATGATTTCCCAGACATTTCAAAACACGTGTCGAGGTCTGAACTACAGAGTCAGCAGCTTTTACACCGAATAAACCACACGGAGACACAGGGAGGGCATCTGACACACAGGGAGGGCATCTGACACACAGGGAGGGCACCTGACACACAGGGAGGGCACCTGACACACGGGGAGGGCACCTGACACACAGGGAGGGCATCTGACACACAGGGACATTCAGGATACAACCCAAAGCAACGCAGACTTTGAAAAAAAAAAAAAACAAACAAAACCCCCTACAATTTGTAAACCTAAAAAGTGTAAATGTTTCTAGGAGCTGCAGAGGCTCTGAGAGGAACATCTGGGACACAGAGACCAGACTGAACCAAGACCAGGTCCAAAACCAGATCTAGATCCAATCCAGGACTTAAACTGGCCCAGATGTGGAGTCTGGATGGAACAGGTGCACAGCAGACACAGTCCTTTGTAAGACCTGCTTCAGTCCTGGTTAAGTTCTAGTTTGGTGCTATTTAAACCTGATCCTCTAGTCCTGGTTTAATCCTGGCTTAGTTCTGGGACAGTCCCAGTTCAGTCTCGGTTCAGACCTGTTTTAGTCCTGGTTTAATCCAGTGTTAGTCCTGTTTTAGTCCTATTTTAGTCCTGGTTTATTTCCTCCTCTCAAGTGGAATGTTGTGGTCATGTCCTGACAGATCTTTGTGGGAGGAACTTCTGCAGTGAAACAAAATAGGGAGAACATCTGACACACACAGGGAGGGCATCTGACACACACAGGGAGGGCATCTGACACACACAGGGAGGGCATCTGACACACACAGGGAGGGCATCTGACACACACAGGGAGGGCATCTGACACACAGAGAGGGCATCTGACACACACAGGGAGGGCATCTGACACACAGGGAGGGCATCTGACACACAGAGAGGGCATCTGACACACAGGGAGGGCATCTGACACACAGGCATACAGGATGGGAGGGCATCTGTCTTAAACTTACCAGGATTCGATTCTCCACTTTGTCCTTGACCTCCAGCTGAACTTGGACCTTCAGTTCAACCTTCACCCCTCGACCCAGAGCCTCACGAACGCTCTCTGAAAGACACAAGAACCAGGACTGAACCAGGACAGAACCAGAACTGAACCAGGTCTAAACCAGGACTGAACCAGGACTAAAACAAGACTAAACCAGGACTGAACCAGGACAGAACCAGGAGTAAACCAGGACTAAACCAGGACTAAACCAGGACTAAACCAGGACTAAACCAGAACTGAACCAGGACAGAACCAGGACTAAAACAAGACTGAACCAGGACTAAACCAGGACTGAACAAGGACTAAACCAGGATTAACCCAGGACTGAACAAGGACTAAACCAGGACTGAACAAGGACTAAACCAGGACTGAAATAGGACAGAACCAGAACTGAACCAGGACAGAACCAGGACTGAACCAGGACAGAACCAGGTCTAAACCAGGACTGAAATAGGACAGAACCAGGACTAAACCAGGACTGAACCAGGACTGGACTCAGTGGTTTGCGGTGTCTCTGTTGTGAGATCTCAGACTCGGTTCACATGACTCCTTCAACCACACACTTAAACACACTGTGAGAACATTTCCACTAACATCCAGCATCAAAATCAACTACAACTACTACTGCTACTACCACCTCTACTACTATTATGAGTACTACCACCACTACTTCTACTACTACTAGTACTACTACTTCATATCTGAGTGAAAGTGGAGCTGAGGAATGTCCCTCCCCCGCTCACTCTGATAAGGAAGTACTCAGGTACACAGCCCCAGGACATGAAAAATCACTGCACTGTCTGCATACTCGACTTCTACTACTGCTACTTCTACTACTGCTACTATTTCTACTTTTACTTATCCTCTACTATTACTACTACTACTACTACTACTGCAGCTGCCACTACAACTCCTACTACTGCGACTATTACAGTACAGTTACTGATCACAACACACAGAGGCACGTGAGCTTTAGTTTTGCATAAAGTAACTGGACATTAAATGTCCCACATGACACAAAAGAGATGACGGGGCTGAAACTATTCAAAGAATTCTAGGTTTATGACATTTCAAGTACGAAGGTTTGTGTTTTAAAATGTGTGAATAAAACAAAACACAGCCCCAGGACTGTGTGTGTGTGTGTGTGTGTGTCTGTGATGACATTAGATGAGAAAACAGACTAATCTGAGCCCTTCTGGATCACTGACTGATCCTCCTCTTTAGCTTCCTTATCTCCTCACCTTGTTCCCACCTATCTGGTCTCCTACCTCCTTGTCTTCTACTTCCTCCTCTAGCCCCGAGTCCCTGTGGACTGGGACAGGGGCGGGGCGCGTGTCCAAACGTCCCGCGGGCTGTTTACGGTCATGTGTTTAAGATATAAAACTTTTATAACACTTTTATGCACTAACGCTTTAATAAGACGGACCCAGCGGTGTGTTCGGTCCGGTCCTGTCAGACCCGGTACCGGTTCTCTGTCTTCCCGCTCGTGTCCTCAGTCCCCCGCTCCCCGGACCCCTCTCACCGAGAAGCGCTGTGGGGAACTCCGTATTCTCCTCCATGGTTTCAGCGGGAGCCCGCAGCAGCTGTGCCCGCTCAGAGTGCAGCAGGGCCGGATACAGTCCGGGGAAGGCTCGGTGTCCCGCGGAGCTCCGGTTCTCTGTCGGAGCTTAAATCAAAGGTGTCCCGCTGTCTGACGTACGGTGCGTAAAAGGTGTGCCGCGCGCGTTACCTGTGGACGCCTGACGTGCACGGCCATTCCTCCGTGCACGCGCGCGTACAGGTGAAGTCCAGCTGCGCAGCCCGGTCACGCGCGCGGTCACGGGGTGTCACGGAGCTGACTGTGCTCCACGCTGCGCTCGGGTACAGTTTGAGTTTGAGTTCTCATGCGCGCACACGTCTTCTTACGTCTCCTCACGCGCTCCAGGAAACTCCAGCTTCACTTTTGGAGCTTTTGTTTTCCTTGTGACACGCGAGAGCGCGCTGACCCCTACTGGACACAGGGGGAGGTGTCGCAGGCAGATACAGCTCACAGGACTTTGGATTAGAACCAGTGTGAGAAATACCCTGCGAAATATTCAGGGGTCCTCATCTCCGAATTGTTGCGCAATACAGACTCAAATGTGAAAAAAAGAAAAAGGCACCAGGGTGGATGCCACAGACAGACTACAGCAGGAGTATTCAACTACACTCTGAGGAGGTCCGGTGATCGCCTTGAACGCACAGATTTGAATGACTCATGATTGGTTTGTATGTCCCTTGCTCCGTTTATACAGCGCTGTAAAGTTTAGAGTGTAAACTGAATAGGCCCTGTTCAGTTGACTCAACTTATACAATTAAATGGATTCAGCCTCGTGTGAGAAATGCTACAGTTGGACCAGATCCAAACCCAGACTCCCGAACAGCGGGAGCAGCTCGGGTTGAGGCCGGGCTCAGAGGAGCTGGAGCGGGGAGTGGACGGACGCTCAGAACAACATATAACGAACTTAACGGGATTCACGCTTCTGTCCAGATGCTTTGCACCACCTCAGAACTCAGAACCAGCCGCGGTCCTCCAGCACGGAGGACAGGAGCAGCCCCTGCACCTGTGGTCCACAGCACTTTCTCACTTTCCCCGCACGGATCCAGCGCGCAGACAACGGCACGGAACCGTTCAGACCCAGTCCACTGCGTCTGGAACCAGGACATGGAGGACAGAGACTCCAGACCATCTGACCAACGCGCTCGGAGTACGACACAAGACCAAGGACCAGACCCCCAGTCCCGTCCCGAGGGGTTAAGGTGAGTGCTCCTCTGTCTTCAGTCTGTTACCCGAACTCAGAACTTCTGCTCCAGGCTGATGTGCAGGGAGTTGTGTACAAAGTTATACATGCTGCTGTTTTATGTCATACATGCTGCTGTTTTATGTCATACATGATGCTGTTTTATGTCATACATGCTGCTGTTTTATGTCATACATGATGCTGTTTTATGTCATACATGATGCTGTTTTATGAGTTTATGGTGATAACTTGAGATGACGCCCGCAGTGTTAATGGGAGCATCGAGATCTTTCACAAATGCACCTGTTCAGAGGTGTGGGGAATATCGGGCTGACCCTGGGATGGAGGCTGGACTCGTGTATATTATATATTTTTTATAAAATTTGAGCCCCCTCAACATGTTGCTTTTGAGGCTTTTTAGGGGGTGTGATGGGTTAATCGGGGTCAGGATATTTCACACTAACGAGAACAATACTCAAGTACATGTCATAAATACACACACGCACACACACGCACACACACACACACACACACACACACACACACACACACACACACACACACACACACACACACACACACACACACACACACACACACGCACACACACACACACACACACACACACACACACACACACACACACACACACACACACACACATACACATACACATACACACACACACACACACACTACACACACACACACACACAGCACAGAGATTGCAAAAGAGCAATCCAAACTCATTAAAGCTGCTTCTTCAGTTTTGTGCTGTAGTTCTGACACTCTTAAAACACACAAACTGTGTTTTGTTTTTGTTTTTTTTTTTAACCTCTGTGTCAAGTTAATAGTGGAGCTGTTAAGGACCAAAATAGTTTGCTTTTATGGTACAAGCATGAAACTTTGCCAGATTAATAACACCCCCAGGACTATTATTTCTGGATATGGAACCAAGTATAATTCAACACTGGAGCTGAGAACTGGACATGTCACAAAATGGACTAAATGAAAATGAGGCTGACTTAAAAAATACTACATAATCCCTTTCTTACAGTCTAATTTGTTTAGTTATCCATTTTGTAATGCTGAACAACTATTTTTCATTAAGGCAGTCACATGATCGTTTTCCTTGAGGCTGTAAGGGTTGTGTGGGTTCCTTGTGGCTGAAATCCAAGTTAATACAATATTTTATTTTTCAGAGCCATATTTATTGGGTTTTTGATAACAAAACACATTTTACCATCTCTAAAGATCTGTAAATGCCATATGATGGTTCATAATGATAATTAAATGCTGCATGGAAGTGAGGCTTAACCCCAAACACAGAACAGAGATCTAACTTAAATCAGTAAACATATTCAAAGTGCTCTAAGTGCAGCTGCTGCCACATTTACATGAACCTGTACACGCCAAATTTGTCTTTGCGCACTTGTATCACCCAGCATAGGCTTCTGCATCCACACTTTTTAAGATCATAGAATGCATCCTTTGCCACTTGTCCTAACCACTGACTGCCATCACGCTTCCATCCCCAATCTGCAGGGCTGGGCACATCTGGTGTCTTAAAATTCAAAAATTCTTAATGGTGCATTATAACTTTTCTGGTGGGGGGTCCACAACCTGCTTCTTTCATGAAGATGTTACAGTTTTGGCTGGAATGTTCCACTGTATGGCATTAAACATACCAGTCTTGTGTTCATTCAGTTAAGGATTAAAAATGTGTTTATTGCTCAAATATCTAAAATGCAGACATTCTTCCATTTAGCAGAGTCTCTTGCATGTCACCAGGAGATGGATAAGGTTAATGTCATACAGTGAAAGCAAAGCAATAACATTTCCATGGAGACAAGCAGGTATCTCACCTTCCACTGGAAATGTTACATTGTGAACATAAAGACGTTAAATTGCATTGTCCTTTTACATAGCTTTTATATATCCATCTCACATTATGGGAAAAAAAAACAAAACAAAAAAAAACCTTTATTTCACCAGTTTAAGCATTTTGTTTTTTTAATTAGACTTTATTTTAACATTTAAAGCTAAAACATAGTAAATTTGTGGTCTTAATAATGGTTTTATATCTTTATTACAATTCATATCTCACTGTAGTACAGGTGTGAACAGAACCTCCTCTTTTGATTAAATTATAGTCTGAATATCTACAGCTCATTCCACATTGAGAGATCGCAATAAAAATACTACAATTTCTTAGGTGTTTTCAGTCTGGTGTGGGATTACTGGAATGAGCCGTCCACCTCTGCTCTTGTCATGATTGTTATTATGATACTGTGATGTGTTTTAGGGGGGGTGAATTAATTTGGTGATGATTGTGGTTTATTCGTGGCACATGCCAAATTTAAATTCATCACCGTGACCCCTTAAAAGACAATTTAAGCACAGATGTTGCTAATCTAACATTCATTCATTATGGTAAGGATAATAAAATGCAAGATAATTTACACACTGGCAATTCTAATATTAATGCAGATATTTTTGGGGCAGACATTTGTTAGTAGTATTAAAGATGTACTATGTAACTTTTCTGCTGGGAGCGATAATGGCAATGTTATATTGTTCCTCAGTATGGCATTAAACTTGTGTGTCTCCTTGGAGACAAGCCAGTGGCACAACCAGGCCATGTTTACAGGTCAGATCTATGGAGAGGTGACCCCACTCACAATAAGAATTCATGTTTTTTCAAGGTATTTTGAGCTATTAAAACACCCCAAATAAAATGAAGGTTACATAAATAAATGTAATGCTATACTGCTGAATATTTCAGGCAAAGCAATGAAATCTCCATGGTAACAAGCAGCCGTAACGTCCATAACAAGACTGCATTAAGGAAACTTAAGTCAGCTTCAAGTTTTATGTACAAAGTCTTAAATACTAGTCACATTTTTCTATAGCACATTTCCACCTTCAAGGCACTCAAAGCACTTTACAACAAGGAACCCATTCACACACCAGTGTACACAGACTCTGTGGGCAAGGTGGTTGAAGTGTCTTGCCCAAGGACACAACAACAGCATTCATCTGTGGGAGCTGGAATCACACCAGCCAACCTGTGGGTCAGTGGATCTGACCACTCAACCTGTGATGTTTATGTCAAGAGCTGGAATCAAACTGCCAACCTTCAGATCAGTGGGCGAATGCTCTATGAACTGAGCTAATGTGTAGTTAGTGATTTTTATATGTGTACTTTATACTTTCACTCAAGTACAAGTTTCACAGTAGTACTTGTAATTGAGTAGATGTTTTGCTATGTAACTGTACTTTTATTCATAGATTTTCAGTAGTTTTTTCACCATTTGAACCAGGAAACTTAAAGGACGACCAAAGAGCTGATTGAACCATTGAAAATATAGACTAAACAAAGAGGAGGGAGAGAGAAATGAAAATAGAAAATCAAACCTACACAAAACTCTGTTTTACATTTGCCTTAAAGTGGGACTAAACACCTAAACCTCACCCACAAACACATTTCAAATAGATCTGATAAACTGAGTTACCTGGAGGACTAAAGAAGAGAGTGAAAGGAGCGAGGGGCGGGGCTAGGGGGTATAAGGAACAGTGTGACAGGTATCCACACGACAAACTCCCCCTCATAACCAGGGTTTTATAAACAGAAACAACAGGCTGTAATCAGGGCAGTCCTGTGTGATGTCACATAGTACTTGATACCACAGAGGCCACTAAAGTTCACATACTCTCATTTTTACACATTTTTGATCAGATTATTTAGTAAATTTACCTAGTTTGCTCTAAGATTACCAAAAAAAAAAAAAAAAAAGCACTAGAAACAGTAAATAATACTATTAAAGATGCACTGTGTAACTTTTTGATTGGGGGTCTGTCAGCTGCTTGTTACTATGGATATGTCACTGCTCTGCCTAGAAAACACCATTAGTTTAGTAGCAAATATCTTTTAATGATTTAATTTTTACTTCATTTTAAAAATGGCATTGAAACCGCTTTGCAGTAGCTAGTATCTTGAGAATACATATTCTTCTTTATAACCTATATGATTATTTAACATTATTTTCCAAAAAAGGCAGTTTAAGCAATAATTTAGCTCCCAGCCTTGTTTCCATGTCAGCCATTATGTGACATGCATGGTACTCGGCTCCAGGGTCGACTTGGGCTCGGTTCCATATCCAGGAATGTTGCTCCCAGGGATGTTACTAATCTGGCAAAGTATCATGCTTGTACCATAAAAGTGAACAATTGGGCACTATTTTGGTCCTTAACAGCTCCACTATAAGTTCAGGACAGCACGTGTTGTTTTTCACACAGTCATTGTGCTGGGACTGTGTTGAATCATTTAACACACTGATTGTGTTAAATGATTCAACACATAAGATGAGTTCAGATGTACACATGTT